GTAGAAGCACTGGAACTGAGGAATGTGTGTTACAAGTGTCTGTTGCAGCTTTGTTTGAAGTGACGGCAAAAAAGAAAAAAGGGAAACTGGAATAAATTTACGTACATCCGCACTGCGGAATACTACACAGCTATCGTAAGGGAAGGTTTAGAACTGCTGTACTAGTTGACGTGAGGGGTTTCCACATGGCGATGATGTTAAATAAGAAATAAAGATGCAGATAAGTAAGCATAATAGTGAATTTTTGTAAGACAGATTCTCTTAATCTCCTTATTTGTACATGTCCTCGAGCTGTGTCTGTAAGTATGAAGAAAAATCTAGAAAGGTTATACCTACCAGTTTGTTAACGTGTGTTCCCTGGAATGGGTGGACAGGGAAGGAGGAAGACAGTTTAAAAAATATTTTTTTTAAAGGCCGCACTTCAGGAAGACTCAGAAAAAGCCTCGCAGTCATATAACCCAATTTACGCAGAATGTGTGTGTGTGCATGAGAGGGGTGGGAACGCCAGAGCTCTAGACTGGTGGGGCTGGCTGTGCGTGCCGGCCGGGAAGAGGAGCGTGCTGCAGGCTGTGCGTGTGAAGTAGGCAGGAACGGCGAAGGTGAGTGTCTCAGACGGCAGGCCACCTTGTTTGGGGTTCTATCCCTCGGTTTAAAATCATTTGTTGTATATAAAGTATTAAACGTTCCATTTTTCTAGATGGCCTTAGGCCCCATGGGAAAATTAATGTTTAATTAATTTGTGGTGAAGTGCTAGCTGTCTTTTTAAACCAGGTGGTTTGCCATTTGTGAAAGTGTGCACACATGGAACGTGCCGGCCGTCTTTGATCCTGGTCTGCTGCGGCCTTCTTGTCTAGGCTTGGATTCTGGGAGCTTGTCTGATAGGTAGTATGGCCTCACCCCAGGCCTCCTGCGTTGTCTGTGCCCTCCAAGTGATTCTGATGCACAGGCAAGTACCAGGATCAGAACCCTGGCTGTCCACTGTCCAATACCTGAGAACCGCTTCCTTGTATATTTTGTCCAGTTTTGTAGTTGTTTACAGTGGAAAGATAAGCCAGAAGTTGAGAACCATGTAGGCCTGAAAGTCCAACTCAGTGTTGGCCCTTGCCCAGCCCTGGGGAAAACTCAGAACTAAAGGCTTTATCTCCATTTTATCACCAGCCCACAAAACTCAGGCCATCAGTGGTGGATCACATTCCAGCCAGAGGCATTTTCCTCAAGGTCCATCCAGAATTTCACAGTGGAAGTATTCTCTGTACCGAAAACCTAGCAGGCACCTGAGATGCAGCAGGCGCTCAGTAAAGGTGGTATGGTTCAGCCAGCAAGGACTGACCTAGTAGGCAAGGGCGAAAGCTGTCAAGACGCTAAGTCAGGTCGCCTCTTTGTGCCATATCAGAATCCTCTGGCTTTAATCTTCTGCTTGCGCCTGTTTGAGCAACATCCCGTCTTCAAGTGATAAGGGGCAGAGTCTCTTCAGAACCCGTGTAATGATTTTGAGTTTGAACCTTCGTGGCTGCCAGAGGCAGGGTGGTGGTGTGGTGATCACAGCGAGACTTCGGGGTTGAGGTTGTTCATTCTCCTCTCATCAGCTTTACTCGTTTAAGCCACGATACTTAATCCTTCTGAGCCTCTTTCTTCTGTGAGATGGGGATAATCTTTACCCTGGAGCACTGTTGTCAAGATTACGTAAGGTAACGTATGCCAAGCCCTAGAAAACGGTCGGTAACACTCAGTTCTTTTGCTCGCCATTTGTTACTTTTTATCAGGAATTCAGGTTGCCCAGAAAGGCATTGTAGGTAACATAAGCAGAGGTGTGGGTGATTTGAAAATGGCTCCAGTCCCACTGAGCTGTCTCCGTTAGAGCAGTCCTGCTGTGGATGGGTGCACTCTAGTTCTCCTGTGAGTTGGGAACAAGTGATGATGCTTTGTGAATTGCAGTGGGGACTCTTGAAATCTGTGGGCTCTACTTCCTGTGTCCATCAGCCCCACTCATGCGGCCGAGTCCCACACAGTCACTGTCAGCTCAGGCGACAGCAAGTGCTGCCAGCCCAGGGGAACCAAGCCAGGGCCTTGAGAGAGCCTTTCAGGGCTGGATCGCTTGGCAGCCTCGCCCCTAGACCTGTTTTTCAACTTGAAGGAAGAATATCCTGGGTATGTTTGTATTTCCTGACCCAAACCAGCCATTGACGTCAAGAGTTACCTCTGTTGTTAAGAAGTTTTCCCTTTGTGTTGTTCTGTTCTTTAGCTTTGCGTGTTATTGAGCTTCAGAGAATATTTATTTTTACCAATTTTGAATCAAATAGCATCGTCATCTTGCATCTGGATAGCACTTCAACGTTTTGAAATATATTTTATCTCTCTAGTTTTTAATTTTATCTTTATGAAAACCTTGTGAGTTGGCCCTTACAAGTGCATCTCTCTTTTTTTGTGAGGTAAGTGAGGCTCCAGTATATTAAGCGTCTTGCCCAAAGTCGCGCAGTTCTTAAGTGGAGCCAAGAAGTGCCAGGTCTTCTGACTTGTCCAGTGCTTTTTCCACTGTACTGTGGTGACTGGGATGTTTGGGGTGGAGACGGGGAGCGGGTTTAGAAGAAATTCCTCCAGTCGCCGGATTTCAGGTAGTGAGAAGCATTCTTCCTTTTCCTGGGAATATCAGTTGAACTGTATTAGAGTTTGTGAGGCCTTTTATAGTGAGAGCCAAAGGCCTTTTGCATATGGAACTTTCCATCTTTTATCTAACCTTCACATCTGCTCTATCTAAAGACCTGCACTGAGCATGGGTAAGGAGAGAGGAGAGGAGCGAGGAGGCCGGGCGGGCCAGGAGTTAGTTGCACGAATGGCCTGAGTGGAACTTTCCAAGTGCCCTGAAGGTGTTCCAGCCAGCCTCAGGCCTGCGGGTGACACACGCCTGCCCCTGTTGGAATGCCGGCACCCAGCTTTTCATTCTGGCCTTAGGAGGGGGATGTTGGGAAGGTTGAGAAGGATCCATCTGTAGAGACTCTAGAAATAGTTGTCAGTGGTGCTCAGGAGCAGAACTTCTGTTGGCAAAACCCACAACATTGTCCATTGCAGCCGTCAGTCCAGTAGATAAAACTGCCTGACTTAAGGCATTTTCATTTTCTTGCCCTCAAATGGCATATTACTCCCCTGTCCCTCCCCTCCCTCCATTCCAGAAAATAGGGACCAATTCTCTTCTTAAGATTGGAAGTTTCTGGGGCCGGCCCCACGGCCCAGTGGTTAAGTTCGTGCGGTCCACTTCAGTGGCCCAGGGTTTCACCGGTTCAGATCCCAGGCGCAAACGTGGCACCACTCGTCAGGCCATGCTGAGGCGGCGTCCCACATGCCACAACCAGAGGCACTCACAACTGGAATCTACAACTATGTACTTGGGGGCTTTGGGGAGAAGAAAAGAAAAAGAAGAAGATTGGCAACAGTTGTTAGCTCAGGTGCCAATCTTTAAACAAAAAGATTGGAAGTTTCTGTATTGTTTGTACCAGTGGCGTGATGTGTCCTGAGGTTTTCCCAGCCACTTCCACAGGCCTGAAGGCTTCTGGAGGGAGCTCTGTGAAAATCACCACTTGTAAACAGAGAGAGTGTAGAGAGAAATTTAATATAACTAACTGGAAATTCAGATCAGCACATGTTTGTTGAGGAGCAGCCGTATGCGTGGGACAGTGCTCTGGTTGTTAATGTGTCATTGATAGTTACTGCTGGTGCCAGGAGGAAAATACTACCGAATGGTATCTTGCTAGCTTTGTGATCCTAGCAAAGTTACTTCAGTTCTCTGTGCCTCGGTTTCCTGCTCTGTAAATGGGGAAAATAATAGTACCCACCTCAAAAGTTTGTTGTGAAGACTAAATGAGTTAATGTATGTCAAGTGCTTAGAGAAATGCCTTGCGTAAAGTAAGCGCTTTGTAAATATTAGCCATTATTATATAATTGAACCAATGTTATTATGTACCCAGCAGCCACTGAGTTATATCAAGTTAGCTGTCACTGTCGTCATTATTATTATTATATTTCAGGCGTGAGCTTTGGAAATGAAAATCAGAATTTAAGAATTAGTTTTAAGTTTTTGGTCTTCTACAGTCATAGAAACGCAAACGTTTATTTTAAGATTTGGACTATAGAAATTGAGTCATTGATAACTTTTATTTATGGTTTAAAACTATAAATTAGGTGTCCTTTTCTATTTTAATGTAGTGGCTTTTTTATTCGTATGCCAGTTGAAGATTAAAAAGATTCTAAGGGCTAAAGCCAAAATCCAAAACAATTTAATCTTTTGTCTCTGTGGGAAGTTCCTTTAGAAAAACTGGTTTTTACTTTTCAAATTAGGTGTTTTTGAAAGTTAACTTGTTCTTAAACAATATAAGTAAATTGTTTTAAGTAAGTCTTGAAAATATGTTCTTTACCTCCCTTGTGGGGAGGTGGAGTTTGAAAGAGATGAGAGTAATTTGGAAAGGACCTCTGTATACCACTTGTATATTTTTGGAAAAGAAGTTAAAAAGCACACTTTTAGCGATGTAGATTATTTTTGGATGCTTGAGATTGTGACATTATTAATCCTTCCTTATAATAAATAGACTACTACTAGACTATTACTCAAGTAATGCAAGTTACTGTAAAAAAAAAATATGCAGACATTTTAGCCAGTAGTATTTTAGAATTCTTTCTTGGTCACTCTTAAAATACTAGGAAACAAGCCACAAATCTGGCATTAATGCAGAATAAGGCACAGATGTGTCAGTGCAGTGTTGAAACTTAGCAGTCCCAGTAATAGTCAGAGTTGCAAACACACCTGATCATCTCCATTATTTAAGTAATGAAGAATATGATATTTAAGCCTTTTTCTGTGGAAAAGAATTTTAAAACATTAATTAAGCAGGGAGTTCAGAGGGCTACTCTGATCACAAGAGCAAGCCTTTTTCCATGGCAGCTTCACGTCACACTGTCCTGGCTGCAGATGTTTCTTGTTCCCGTGTTCACTTCACCCTCTCTGCTTTCAGTGATTTAGCCCTGCGGAATTGTTTTCTGACCTCGGACTTAAATGTGAAAGTGGGAGATTATGGAATAGGATTCAGCAGGTACAAGGTAAGCCAACGGTTTAAGGGTCTCCCCTTAATCTGACTTAATTTCATAGGTGGTATCACAAAACGCCACTCCGTCTGTGAACGAGGGTAAGAATCTCGGCCACGTTACCACTTGGAGGGGGTTTGTTCCAGTCATTTGGATGATGGTGTTGGCTTCCGATGTGTGGTTTGTCTGAATCTGTGGCCTTGTCCCTGAGGGTTGGTAACAGCTTTCCGAATGCTTTGTTTGAAAAGACTTATCCACAGTGTAATTGAGAGAGCTTGACAGTGCAGCGTAGATTTTAGTGTGGACACTGGGCAATAACAGCTATTACCACTTGTATAATAACGTATGTCATATAAATATTTCCCTGTTATGTGTTCAGTAAAATTCTGGCTCACATTCCGTAAGCTTGGGGTTTTTATTTTTAAATTCTGTCATAAATATATCCCCAGAGAAAATGAGAAGTTGATGAGGTTTCGCTTGTGCGTGTTTGTGTAGCCCAGCTGAGGCCACACGATGTGAGGCAGGGACCGTGGCTGTCCCGCGCCATGCTGTCCGGGGCCTCAGAGAAGTCACCTGCCCTCCACTTTCTAAGCAGCGACGTGAGGATGATATCTGTTCTGTTTTAGGGGCTTCTGGTGAGGACCAGAGGGGTCCTATCTTCACAGTACTTTGTAACTAAAAAACATTAGGCAAATATTAGTTGGTTATTTGTCTACATGGTAGCTCTGTTGTCTTGAGCGCTTGCTGTATACCAAGCACTCTGAAGTACTTGACTGCATAATCTCATTTAATCCTCACCCTAAGGGGAGGTAGGTATTGTATCATCCTCATTCTGCAGATAAAGAAAAAGGCTGAGCCTCTTTGTTGCTTGCGCACAGTTGCATAACTGGTGAATGGTTGAACGTGGACTTACAACCCAGTCTGTTGGATTCTAAAGCCTGAACTCTTATTCATTAACCAGCACCACTCCCCTATTCGGGGCGTAAGGCCCAGCGTATTTTAAAGATGTTTTGCTCAGAGTCTGTGTTCTGTGCATCAGACACAGCGTACCTTCCTCTTCCAGGAAGGATGACTGAGCGAGCGTTCATGGCTCAGAGGCCAGCTCGTGAAGCCCAGGAGGCTTCGGAGAAACCCTCCCCCACCTTCTGCCCAGAAAGTCTCTCGTCATGCCCACTTTTTTCTCTGATATGTCTTTTGGGTTAAGTGTCTATTTTATGAGAATGACCTGAAATTAAATCATTGAGCTCACTAAAAGTATAATAGAATTCAAAATTCTGTATGCTTTCTAATAAAACAGGAGGATTATATTGAAACAGATGATAAAAAAATTTTCCCTCTGCGATGGACTGCTCCAGAATTAGTAACCAGCTTTCAAGACAGACTACTAACTGCAGATCAAACTAAGTATAGTAATATCTGGTATGTATTGATTTACCATTCTATTAGGCTTATGGGTAGCAAAGTACCTTCTTTCTCACTGGGTACTTTCTTAAGGGAAAGTAATTGAATAAGATGTAGGAACACAAGAGTGCCTGATGCTATGAAAAAGACAGTTTATTGACATCATAGTAATTATCACAGTTGTGATGATATAATTAACTTTTCTCTTATCCATTTGACAGTAATAAGCTCCGTAAAAACAAGAACCAAGTCTATTTTCTGTGCCCGCCACAGGGTCTGGCATATAATGGATATTTAATTAATATTTATTGAATCGAATGAAGAAACAGAAAGAAGTCTAGACTATTATGTAATACGGTGAATTATAGGAGGACAATTTAATGGAAATTGAAAATGTATCTAAGTTTTTGACTAACAATTTTTATTACTTCTTTATTATTTTATATCTACATTTTTTATGCTATTGTCCTGCTTTTTCTATTTCCTTTGTCTCTTCTTGCCTTCTTTTGGGTTGATTTTTTTAAACTGTTTTTTCCTCTTAGTTTGGGAGCTGTATTCTCTATTCCTGTACTTTTTTTGGTTACCCTAGAAATTATACCATGTATATGTCACTTACCTTAGTCTAGTATTAGTTTACTTCTTGGCCTTTCTGATCAATACAAGGACCTTAGAGTACTTTAACTCAGTTTGACTATACACCACACACACATGCAATTATATGTTATTATTGGGTATTTTAATTTTTTCTTTTAACCCCACAAGACCTTATTATTATTATTTTTTTTTTTAGCATCAATGTTTCTTTAGGTTTATCCACGTAATCAAATCACTTTAGTCTTTCTCCTTTTTTTTTTTGTAATCTCAGACCTTCCATCTGGGGTCACTCTCCTTTTGCCTGAAGTATGTCCTTCAGAATTTCCTTGAGTGAAGGTCTCCTGGTAACAGACTCTCAGTTTTCTGTAGGTCTGAACATACTTTTATTTTGTCCTCATTCTTGAAATACGTTTTTACTTGATGACAGTTATTTTCTCTCAGCATATTGAAGATATCATTCTACTGTCTTCTGGCTTCCATTGTTGCTATTGAGAAGTCAGCTGTCAGTCTACCTAAGCTCTTTGAAGGTAATGTGACTTTTTCTCTCTGGCTGCATTTAAACTCTTCTCTTTGTCTTTTGTTTTTAGTAGTTTCACTATGATGTGTATGGGTGCGGATTTCTTATGTTTTTCTGCTGGGGATTTATTTGGCTTTTCAAATCTGTAGGCCGGTGATGTTCTTAGCCCTGACCCTTCAAATATTGCCATTTCCCCATTTTCTCTCCTTTTGGATGTCTGATGAGACATGTGTTATGCCTTTTTGCTCTGTCTTCTGCCTCTTAATCTTTCTTTTATATTTCCTCTCTGACTTTCTGTGCTACATTCTAGATAATTTTTCAGACCTGTGCTCCAGCCACTAATTCTCCCTTTTTGAAATTCTCTCTTCAGCTCTGTCTATTCTTCTATTAAGTTTTATAGTTCGGTTACTGATTTTTCAGTTTTGGGAAGTCTGTCTGATTTTTAAAATTTTGTCCCAGTGCTTTTAATAATTGGATTCTGATCTGCATCAGATAATTCCAATATCTTCAGTCTTTGTGGATTTGATCTTGCTGGTTCTTGATGGTTCCTTGTTCCCTTGGGGACCTTTTTGTGGTGAAGATCTTGGAATCCTGGAATCGCATTACATTCCTCCAGAGAGGATCTGTCTTTGCTTCTGTTGGGCACCTGGGTGTCCTGCCATGTGAGGTCACTGTACAAGTCCAGGGCTTTACGTGTCCAGCTTGAGATTTTTTTGGACCACTCAGATGATGTGAATTTGGGCTGCAAATTCAAGTAAGGGCCAGCTCTGTGGTTACAACTTCTTAGGGACTACCCCCCCACACACGTGTCCGTATACACACACACACACTCACACGCCTGTACTCTCACCCTCACACACACACACTCACTCACAGCACCTCAATGCCAAGGCTATCTTTCAGGTTCCTGAAGGGAGGGAGGGGCAGGTTTATTCCCGCTATGAGGAGGTCTCCCTGTGAGACCCTTTACCTTCGTCAGGCCCAGACTTTGAGGCCCAGAACCTAAGTTCTGTGTTGCAGCAGATGCTCCAAGGGTAAGGTGGTTTTAGTGTTCTACTTAGTTTTGAAGTTCTAGATTTTGTCCTGGCAATTCCATGTCTTATCTGCTGCCTTTAAGAAGATGTGTTTTATGCTTTATCCATATTTTTACTGTTTTTAGCATTGGGCTTGATCTGGAAACTTAGCCTGTGTTCCCAGATGCAGAACCTGCCCCTTGTTTTTGACAGTTTGAGAAGTGTCTGATGGCAGGGCTGGCAGCAGTGCCAGCTCCCACCAGAGGCAGGGACCACATCACCCCATGCCAGAGGTGAACAAGGGGGAATTCTGTTCAGAGAGTTTGGTGGAAGAGGGGACAAGCACTACAGGACATTTTTCCTCCCAGAAGAAAGAGGCTTGAAGGTACTCAGGGAGGCACAAGCCGGTGTGAGGTGAAGAGTTGAATAGATAGGAAGAAGAGGAGGTGATGGATGGCGATTATCCTGGAGGAGACTGGAGGGACAGAATAGAGAGCTACAGGGCAGGGACTGACCTTGAGCGGGAGACACATCCGTCTTTCTCCGTGGCCTGTCTGAGGAGATAAGGAAGGGATGCTCAAGAAGGATGCTAGAAGTGATGGCGTGGGGAGTGGAGCAAGCGCGTGCTTGGGCGGAGGCTGGAGGGGGGTTTGGTTTCGGAGTATGCTTCACCAGGAGAGGGCAGGGAGCTAAATCAGGGCTTTGGGGAAGTTGAGCCAGGTAGTTATGTACCCGAGGTTAAGCTTGGTGCTGATAACACTCATTTTGCTACTAATCATACGCCACCCTTGTGATCTTTAATATTTCATGTGAATTTCTTATTGTTTTCGGATAAATTATAGACTCTCTAAAGTCATTGACTTCTTAGACTTCTCTTAGACTTCTTTTGTATCCAAAAATGTCCTCTGCTCATAGCAGTTCTGTGCCCAGGAGAAAGCACTTCTCACTTCTTGAATTGGGTTTGGAAATTTGAGTCCTTTTATTTCCTTATTGATAGAAATGATCTCTTAACTTAGATACTGAATATGCTGGGTTTTTTTCACTGATTTGTGAAATTAGCGTAAGAGAATTTAGCTTATAAGTTATATTGTATTATACAATGTCAAATGATAATCTTTTATTTATTCAAGATAGTTTATTATTCAAATAAGCGTTCTGGTGGATATTGATAAAAGTCATATAAACCATCAGTACCCAAACTGGCTGGATGTCAGGATCACTAGATAGCTTTTTAAAAATACAGCTTCCTAGGCCACGCCTTCATCTACCAACTCAAAGTCCTTGGGGTGGGTCCTAAATACCGATGTGTTAGTTTAAAGCTTCCAGATGACACAGGTGATCACCCAGGCTTGGGAGCCGTTGCAGTCAATAGGAGACTGTGGCGCACGACAGAAGGCTCACAGTATGTGGTGGGAAAGAAACGCAGAGGTGGTGTCGAGATGAAGAGTGAGTGTTCACGTGACTTGAGCGGCAGAGGCCGTTTCCTTGGGGACAGAGCAGTGGGACAGGTCCAGAGAAGGGGCATTCCTGCCCGTGGGAATGGCAGTGTACCTGGAGGCCTCGAGAGGCTCGGCAGGCGGCCTCTCTGTCACCCAAATTAGCTGGCAGAGTAATGGAGGGAAGTCCTGTCCTAATGGCAACAAAACCCAAACTGCTTAGGAATAACTATAACAAGAAACGTGTGGGTCCAGCTGGGAAGAGATGAGTTGTTCACATAAAGATTTCTAGATATTTTCTGGTGTTTACTGCTATTGGGAATGGGATTTGTTTTCCACCGAAAAACTCAGAATTCAAGATATTTATCTTGTTTCCAGTCATTCTGCTGAACTCTTAAATCATTCTCATGATCTTTCAGATACTTAAGTTGACAGTCATATTCCCTCCTCCCTGTAATTATGCCTTTTATCTCTATTTCATAATTTTTTGCATTGGCCTAAACTTCTAGAGAATTCAGTAGTAAACACGAGGAGGCGTTCTTGTTGCGTTCCTCATTGTGATGGAAATGCCTCTTTTTTTAAATCATGTTAAAGAGCTACCCTTAATAACCTTTTCAGTACACTCCTTGTCCTTAAAGTTACTAATGACATACAAATAAAAGTGTGGGCCTTACAAAATTTGACACCTAATGGGAGAAAGAAATAACCATTTTCTTTTTTCCGCAGGTCCCTGGGTGTGACACTTTGGGAGCTTTTTGATAATGCTGCTCAGCCTTATTCCAACCTTTCCAACTTAGATGTTCTCAATCAGGTCATCCGGGAGAGAGACACAAAGCTCCCTAAGCCCCAGCTGGAGCAGCCTTATTCCGATAGATGGTGAGTGTCTTCACATTTTACCATCTTCACGAGATAAGGAAATCCTCTTTCCATGGGCGTTAGTTGCATATTCCTTCTTCTTAAAAATGGATGTCATGAAAAGCAATCATTTGTACGTCATTCATGATTAATTTTAGAATTAACATCTATTTTAAAAATTTAATGTAATGTTTGAAAAATGTTTAGAACAAGCAAGAATTTATGTATTACCTGCAGTAAGAAAAAATATTAAGTCTGACCTAATTAGAAAAATCAATAGTAAGGGAGATCCTCTCGTGGAATTGTTTTAAAATGAGGCTAGTTATATGAGTGATAGCTAATATGTAAGAAAAGAGTATAAAAATGATAATATTTAAATTGTCTGTTGAAACTGCTTTGCATACTGTGTGGTGACATTTACAAAACAAACTTACTTCTTTTACGGATTTACTTTTTATGAGTCCTCAGACAAGTTCTTAGTTTCTTTCCCGTTTGGATCAGGTTCACCTCTCTTTCGATCTCTGTCTACACCACCACATGCCCATCTGGCACTACCTCTGAAGCTTGGCACCTCTCCATGTAGGCATTGCCCAGCCATCCAAGTTGGTAGAACTATTTCACCCACAATAACTTGACATTTACTCCGTAAATGTAATGCTTTGAAGTTGTCTTTGTCTTCCCTTCTGCTCATGGCTACAGTTTAAGCTCTTGGCTGTATTCAGCCAACCCCTTGAAGACCCAGCTCCTCCTGGCTGCCGCCCTCTTTGGGCTTCATTCTCTACCCTTTCCCTTCTACCTTCAGCTCCTTTTCTGAGCCAAGGAAGGCACATGCTGCAGAAGATTGTAGTGTTACTTTTTATTGGGGGAATAGTCGGAGATTAGTTACAACAGCATTTGTTTGTGTGAATTCTCGCAAAATAAAGTGAATAAATCTAAAAACGTGAGACAGGTGCATTCTTTACTACACAGAATACGTGTGGCAATTGTTTTAAGAGGAGAGCATGGTAAAACCATTTCTAAATTCGGTGGATAGGTCCCTGGATAAACACCAGAAGAACAAATGAGAAAAGAGTTGCAGCGATACTGTGAAGTGTCCTGAGAACACACAAAGGAGTGGGCCAAATTTTATATTTCTTCATTTCCTCTCTCACCATGTTCTCACCTCCTTCATGTGGTTGGCAGTGATTAAAGTGTAGAAACTTCTGAGGCGTTGAGTTGGGTTAGGGGTCCTTGTAAAGTCTTTTCTTATTTTAAAACAATTCATTATCAATCCGTGAATTCTCTCTCTTGTGTCGCTCAGGTATGAAGTTTTACAGTTTTGCTGGCTGTCACCAGACAAGAGACCAGCAGCCGAAGACGTGCATAGACTGCTCACCTACCTGCGGATGCAAAGCCAAAGGGACTCGGAAGTCGACTTTGAACAACAGTGGAATGCTCTTAAACCAAATACAAACAGCAGAGACGCTTCCAGTAATGCTGCGTTCCCGATTCTCGACCACTTTCCCCGGGACCGGCTTGGTCGTGAAATGGAGGAAGTCCTCACCGTGACTGAGACGAGCCAGGGCCTGAGCTTCGAGTACGTCTGGGAGGCGGCTAAGCACGATCACTTCGACGAGCGCGCTCGGGGCCACCCGGACGAAGCCCTGTCCTACACAAGCATCTTCTTTCCAGTTGAAGTTTTCGAGAGTTCGCTTTCGGATCCCGGGCCCAGGAAACAAGACGACAGTGGCCAGGATGTCCCCCTCAGGGCCCCTGGAGTTGTTCCCGTGTTTGACGCCCACAACCTTTCTGTGGGGAGTGACTATTACATCCAGTTAGAAGAAAAAAGCGGGAGCACCTTGGAGCTCGATTACCCACCTGCACTGCTTACCACTGAGATGGATAATCCAGAAAGAAGAAGTGACGAGGCGTCTCAGTTTCTGACACTCAGGAATCTGGAATTGGAGGAGTCCAGTACAGATGAGGATTTCTTCCAGAGCAGCGCAGACCCCAAAGATTCCACCACACCCGAGGACGTACACGTTACCGGGGGCCCTGAGAGTCCTTTCAACAGTATATTTAGTGATCTTGACAAATCAGAGGATTTGCCCAGTCACCAAAAAATATTTGACTTAATGGAACTGAACGGAGTTCAAAGTGACTTGAAGCCAACGACTTTACGTTCGAGTTTGGAGGACCCCAAAGAGTCAGTAGTCACGTGCCACTTTGAGAAAGAAAAGCCCCATAAACTTTTTGACTCTGAGCTTCTTTGCTCATCAGAAAACCTTGTGCACCAAGATAATTTCGATCCGCTGGATGTTGAAGAATTGTCAGAAAACTTTTTATTTCTTCAAGAGAGGAACTTAGTAAAAGACTCATTGTCTAGCAAAGAACATATAAACGATCTTCAAACAGAGCTTAAAAATGCCGGTTTTACTGAAACTATCTTAGAAACTCCACGTAGAAACTCTTTAGATACTGAGCTTAAGTTTGCTGAAAATAAACCAGGCTTTTCTCTGTTGCGGGAGAACACGAGTGCAAAGGGGAAAGATGCAGGTGTCCTGCCCAGCGACAGCGCTTTGCACACCTCACTGCAGTCTTCCCCAGAAGTGCAGGGGCCCCCTACCTCGCTCGAAACAGAAGGAACGCCTCATAGTGCACCCCCAGATACGTGCCCGAAGCAGGGAGAAACCAAGCCCACGTGTTTAGATGCCGGTCTCCATGAAGACCGTCTCTGCCAAGAAACCAGCCCAGACTCTGTGACCGTCCCAGCTGAAATTCCCCTGACTGATGCCAAGACACAGGGTGTTGGCGACAGGTCCCGTGACTTGACTCAGCAAAGTGAGGCAGCCTTGAGACTACCCAAAAGTGACTCAGTGCTTGTTGATGACGTTTTTGCCAGTAAGGTGGGTATAGAGAAGAGTCTTCCAGAATTGAGACAGGACTCAGAGAATCAGCCACTTTGCGAAGACCATCGCAGTCACAGTCTGCTGGAGAAAAGCTTGGAGGCTGTGGAGACTCTGAAGCAGCTGAATTATAAAGATGCCGCAAAAGAGACGGGCCTGGTGTCTGCCCTCTCCTCGGACTCCACCAGTCAAGACAGCCTGTTAGAAGACAGCTTGTCCACACCCATTCCAACATCGGAACAGTCTCTGGAGACCCCGGACTCTCTGGACTCTGTGGACGTCCGTGAAGTTCTGCTGGGCTCTTTGGGCTCTCACACACCTCAGAAACTCTTGCCCCCCGATAAGCCTGCAGACAGTGGCTACGAGACAGAGAACTTGGAGTCCCCTGAGTGGACTCTGCACCCTGCTCCTGATGGCACCTCAGCCTCTGAGGCGACCACGGCAGGCAACAGCGGTCATGGCGAGTTGCCTCCCAACCCTGTCATTGTCATCTCAGATGCAGCTGATGGCCACAGGGGCACAGAAGTGACTTCACAGACTTTCACGTCTGGCTCCCAGAGCTCATACAGAGACTCTGCTTACTTCTCAGACAATGACTCTGAGCCTGATAAGAAGTCGGAGGGGGTCCCAGGAACCCCAGCGTTGGCCTCGACGATAGTAGCGGATCAGCCCCTGCCTGAGCCAGTCATCCCAGAGCAGAGTCCTGGCACCAAGGACAGTTGCCCGGAAACCAAAAATAGCCAGCCTGACCAAAGTTGTCTGTCTGCTTTGCAAAATTCCAGTCACCCGGAATTAAGAGAAACGTCAGAACCAGCAGTGACTGACGTTTCCAGACAGACGCATCCTGAAGACGAGGCTGGCAGCCCCTTGAGTCTGTGGAACTCAGAGCTGAGCAGCGGTGATGACTTTGAGGCCCAGGAAGAGCGCCCCTGCACGCTCGCCTCCACTGGAACCAACACCAACGAGCTCCTGGCGTTTGCAAATTCCACCCTCCGCTCCGGCAGCCCGGCGGACCTGACGGAGGAGGAGTCCTCAGGCGGCCACTCCGAGGGCCCCAAGCTCAAGGAGCCGGATATCGAAGGGAAATACCTGGGGAAGCTTGGTGTATCGGGGCTGCTGGACCTCTCCGAGGACGGAATCGATGCGGACGAGGAGGACGAAAACAGTGACGACTCGGACGAGGACCTGCGTGCGTTCCACCTGCACAGCCTCAGCTCCGAGTCGGAGGATGACACCGAGCACCCCGTCCCCGTGATCCTCAGCAGCGAGGACGGGAGGCACTTACGGAGCCTCTTGAAGCCCTCGGCCGCTGTTGCCGTTGACCAGCTACCAGATGACTGGAAAAAGGAAAAGAAGGCCGTGACGTTTTTTGACGATGTCACAGTCTATCTGTTTGACCAGGTATCTGTTGCCTCCAAATTGTCGTATTCGAGAATTCCAGAATGCGTTAGGAAATTGAGTATGCTCTGTTTTTCTGATTGCCGTTTTGAGGCCACAGGGTGGTTTATGGTTACTCAAAAGAACGGATTTGGGGTTGGTTATAGTTACGGTTCCAAGAATATGCAGAGACAGGGAATTCCTATTAAATTAAGGGAAGGAGACCTGGGTGCTCGGCCTGGGTCTCCTGGCAGAGTCCTACTGAAATTAGTTACCCTTCGCAGACCACAGTTTGATCTGACAATTGGCAGCAATACCCAGCATGCAGGTGCACGCTGGAACGGTTCGTGGCTCACACAGAGCCCTGGAGATGCCGACCAGTGGCAGTGCCTGTGGAGCAGGACCCGGGGCAGCGGTGACAGAGTCTGTGGCCCTCCTGCCGGAGCTGGCCCCGCCCTGCCCTCCTCCCCCGCTGTGGAGCAGACTGCTCAGTGGGCTCAGACTTCAGCTTCTTTAAAAATGAAGCAGCCTGGGGGCCGGCCCGGTGGCGCAGCAGTTAAGTTCCCACAGTCCGCTTTGGCCACCTGGAGTTCGCAGGTTCGGATCCTGGGTGCGGACATGGCACCGCTCATCAAGCCATGCTGTGGTAGGCGTCCCACATATAAAGTAGAGGAAGATGGGCACGGATGTTAGCTCAGGGCCAGTCTTCCTCAACAAAAAGAGGAGGATTGGCAGCAGATGTTAGCTCAGGGCTAATCTTTCTCAAAAAAAAAAAAAAATGAAGCAGCCTATAATTCAATATTTTTAATTAAAAAAATTTTTTTTAGTTATATTTGAAATGTTCTTTGTTGACTAGTCCTTGTAGCCCTTGAATTTGCTTCTTAAATCAGCTGACTTTTAAGTGAAGCTGTGTCAGACACCTGAGGAGGACCCCTTCACCTTCCAGAAGGCATCCTTCAAGCTGCTTGCCCTCCCGTTGTGTTGTCCTGGGAACCGAGACCGTGGCTTCTCAGGCTTCTCAGCCTCTCGTTCGGCTTCCTGCCTCCTGGGCTCTGCCCTTCAGGCTCTGCCCACGCACAGGGGTCCTGGGCGGCTCCACCTCCTCCCTCGGGGCTGGCTCTTCCTTCATTTGCTTGTTGCTTTAGGCTTTGTTGTTCCTCTGTGTTCTGTTTTTATGGTGTTGCTCAAAAAGCCATTAAGCCACCACGTTTGAACTACAGCACGTGGTGGGGGGAGGGTAGAGGCAGGTAAGTGTTTGGGAAAAAGAAAAGGTAGACTCCTGGACTCAGCCTCCATTTATTGAATCTGTGAGAGGGGCCCGGAGGCTTATGCACACGCCGGCTTCAGAGCCGTGAGCTAGGTCTGCCATTTTCTCCTGAGGGTGGAAGGGAGGGGGGTCGCCTGGCCCAGGTTCTGTGTTTTGTTACCAGTGCATTCCAATTCAGATATCTCCTTCTTCCCCATCTCTCTGAACTTGAACTACAGTCACATTTCCCTGCTGACCAGGGCGATCTATAGGTGGGACAGAAAAATAAGCTGTGTTCTGTGAGAGGAGTGGGAGGGGGGCTGGGGAAGCTGTCTGGGGTCTTGTTGGAGCAGTGAGCGGGGCACAAGTCCAGTGGAAGGCAGTGTGCGGAGGAGGCCCCCGGGCTGCGCGGGGCCTAGACCCACGTGGAGGGCTTTGGGGGGGTGTTATGTTGTGCTGGCTTCAGAAGACAGGACAGGATCGCAAAGGATGAAGACTTAGAACGGGCATGCCGGCTGCGGGAGCGGAGCTGCAGAAATCAGATGTAGGACGCGCTTAATGGATGTGAGGTTTGGGAACGGGTTAGTGTCGTAGAGAAAGTCGGAAAGTGGGTGCAGGCCGCAGTAAAATCCTGCAGCTCCTTCTGGTGATCTGCAGTTGCTTGTCTTATGGTCCCGCGCAGTTTGCCGTGGAGGTTAGGTTAGTTTCTAAATAAGTAGTTTAAGTGTCTTAGCTCCAGCCCTTTAACTGAGTGTTCAGGGGTTGTGGCAGCGTTGCCTTGCGTCTTGCTTGTTTCCCTATTAGTTAGTTCAGCAGATACTTAGCGCACTCTCGCTGTATGTAAAGCAACGTTTGTGCGAGATCACGGCCCGGCGACTCAGCAGTCTGGGTGCCACCACGTTATGTGCAGGGTCTCTTTATTCTGCACGCAGGTGTGGTTGTCACCCGTCTTCACGGAGAAGGCCCCGAGGCTCAGGGAAGCTGGCGCCTTGTGCAGGGGTATGGCCCAGGTCTCCGCTGAGCCCAGCAGCCTCCCGCACAGACCCTCAGACGAGCCTGGCGGCTGTTTGACTCTCAGCTTGCCTGTGGGTCCTTCCTGGACACACTGTATTCTCGAGGCCAAAACAGTGGCTGATGACACATGGTTGCCCTCCAGCCTGATGAGATGGTTGTAGGACAGATGAGCTTTGAGCTCAGTCCCGTTCATCTCAGCCCTGGTCGTGACTGTCAAGACAGGGCCAGGGCTTGGCAGTGTGGCCTTGGAGCTGTGCTGAGCGGTGCTCAGGCCCATGCCATGAGGCCACCTCCCGGATCACAGTCTTAGAGCCAGGAGACCCCACAGCTCATGAGGAATAAATGTTCCTAGACTTCACCCAGGTGGACCGCCTGGGCAGATGGGCAAGAGGGGGCCTCTACCTGGGGTCCTGTGGGCTGCTTTTTTCTTGTCTTTTGAGTTTATTTCCGTTTTCAAGGACATTTTTCTGAAAGAATATAAACTGTGCATAAGACAAAAACACTTACTTGGGCAAGATTTTTTTTTCAGTTTGAGGAACAAAAAAAACACTCAAGAAAATGAAACTTGGGGGCTGGCCCAGTGGCGCAGTGGTTAAGTGCACACGTTCTGCTTCAGCAGCCTGGGGTTCACTGATTCGGATCCCTGGTGCGGACATGGCACCGCTTGGCAAGCCACACTGTGATAGGCGTCCCACGTATAAAGTAGAGGAAGGTGGGCATGGAGGTGAGCTCAGGGCCAGTCTTCCTCAGCAAAAAAGAGAAGGATTGGCAGCAGTTAACACAGGGATAATCTTCCTCAAAAAAAAAAAAAAAGAAAACTTGTCTATAGTTCCTACCACTTAAAGTCTCTCTCTCTCACACACACACACACACACACACACACACACATACACATACACGAAATTCCAAAGACTCATTTCCTCACCCCCATCCCCACTACAGTCATGATACAAACACTTCCATCACCCCACAAAGTTCCCCAGGCCCCTTTGTTTTCAGTCCCCTCCCCCTGGCAACCACTGGTCTGCTTTCTGTCACTGTAGTTTTGCCTTTTCTAGAATTGGTGTAAGTGGTGGGATCATACAGTATGTAATCTTACATGTCTGGAGTCTCGCTCGGCATAATGCTTGTGAGGGGCATCTGTGTTTCATGTTTTCATTACAGAGTAGCATTCTACTGTGTAGATATGTTACATTTTATTTATTCATTCATCTGTTGACCAGCATTCACATCAGTCATTTTTATTATTTTGTAATTTTATTTTTTAAGTTAACAGTAAAATTGACCCTTTTTAGGTGGACAGTTCTATAAATTTTAACATTTATGTAACCACCACCACAACTGTGATACAGAACAGCTCCTTCACCCCAGAAAACGCCCTGTGCTCCGTCCTGGTCCCACCCACCCCGCACCCCTGATCCCGGGCAACACTGACATGGTCCGGGTCATTCTAGGTTGTCTTTTTGCGAATGTCGTGTAAATGGACTCACCTTTTGAGGCTGGCTTTTTTCACCCAGCCTGTAAGTCCTTTGAGATCCATCCACGTTGTCGCATGTACAGTAGTTCCTTCCTTCGTGTCACTGAGTAGTGTTCCACGGGCTGGATGAAGAAGTTTGTCTGACCATTCACCCATTGAAGGACGCTTTGGTTTTTCTGCTTTGGGCTATTACAAATAAAGCTGCTTTGAACAATCGTGTACAGGTTTTTGTGTGGACACAAATTTTTATTTTTCTGGGAAAAATGCCCAGGAGTGTGATTGCTGGGTTGTATAAGTGTATGGTTAGTTTTTAAAGAAAATGGCAAACTGTTTTCCAGCGTGGCTGTACCGTTTTACATTCCCACCAGCAAGGTAATGAGAGATCCAGTTTCTCTGCATCCTTGCCAGCTTTTGGTGCAGTCATTATTTTTTATTTTAGCTTTTCTAACAGGTGTGAAATGATACCTCGTCGTGGTCTGGAATTGTGTTTCTCTGTTGACTGGTGACATGTTGAACATCTTTTCATGTGCCTCTTTGCCATCCATATGTCCTCTTCAGTGAAATGCCTCTTCTTGTGTGCGTTTCTAATTGGATGCTCTGTGTTTTTACTTTTGAGTTTTGAGAGTTCTTTATAAATTCTAGATAGGAATTGTTTGTCAGATGTATGGTTTGGAAATATTTCTCCCAGTCTGTAGGTTGTCTCTCCCAGAGCAGAAGTTTTACATGTTGATGGATTCCATTTTATTGATTTTTTCCTTTCATGGATCATGCATTTGGTGTCACGTCTAAGAACTCTTCCCCAAACCCTAGATCCCAAATACTTTCTTCAAAAGTTTTATGTTTTTCATTTAGCTCTGTTATACACTTTGAGTTAATTTTTGTCTAAGGTTTAGGTTGGGCTTCATTTTTTTTTGCATTTGGTTGTATATCCAGTTGTTCCAGCATGGTCTGTTGAAAAGACTATCCCCTACCTAAATTGCCTTGGCACACTCTGTCAGAAGTTAAATGGCCGTGTTTATATGGGTCTGTTTCTGGTGTTTTTTTCTGTTCCGTTAGTCTGTGTATTTACCCCTTTGCCAATACCTCAGTCTTGGTGATTAGTGTAGCTTTCAGTCTTAAAATTGGGGAATGCAATTCCTCATCTTTTTTCTTCCTTTCCAAAATTGTTTTGGCTTTTGTAGTTCCTTTAATATTCCACACAAGTTTAGAATCATCTTGTCTATATCTACAAAAAAATCCTCCTGGGATTTTGATGGGAATGGCATAAAATATGTGGATTAATTTGGGGAGAATTGACATCTTTACTATGTTGGGTCTTCCAATTCATGAACGTGGTAAGTCTCTCCATTATGCTTGGTGTTTTATAGTTTTCAGCTCATAGATCCTCTATATGCTTTGTTAGATTTATACCGAAGTATTTCATTTCTTGAGAACCTGTTATAAAAGCTAATTTTGAAATTTTGGTTTCCATTTGTTCCTTGCCAGTATATAGAAATGCGATTGATTTTTGTGTGTTGAGCTATACTCACTTATTAGTTTTAGGAGTTTGTTTTGTTTTTTGCAAATCCCTTATAGTTTTCTACACAATCATGTTGTCTTCAAATGGGGACAGGTTTATTTCTTCCTTTCCAATCTGTATCTTTTTAATTTTTTTTCTTACCTTATTGCACTAGCTAGGGCTTCCAGTGCATTGCTGAATAGGAGTAATGAGAGGAGACCTTCTGGCTTTGAACAGGGTCTTAGAAGAAAAATATTCAGTCTTTGACCATTGATTGTGTTGTGGGGTTCTTTGTAGATGCTGTTTATCAAGCTAAGAAGCTTCTCTTCTGTCCTTAGTTTGAGAGAGTTTTTCATCCTGAATGAGTGTTGAATTTGGTCAGATGCGTTTTATACATCACTTGGTAGTAACGTGGTTCTTCTTCTGTTAATATGGTAGATTACGTTGATTTTCAAATACTGAATTAGCCTTGCCTTCCTGGCATAAAGCCCATTTGGTGGTGAGGTTTTATTGTTATGTGTTGCTAGATTTGATTTGGGGATTTGTCGTTGAGGATTTTTGTGTCTGTGTTCGTGAGGTACGTTGGCCTGTAGTTTGGGGAGTGTTTTCTCGTTTGGCTGATTTGGGTTTTTGCGTTTTGGGTGCTGTCTTTGGTTTTGGTACCTAGGTAATGCTGGTCTCGTAAAATAAGTTGGAAAGTATTTCCTCCACTTTCCAGAAGAGATTGTGTAGATTATTGATCCTTTCAAAGAACTGCTTTTGGTTTCATGGATTTATTTTTTCTTGACTGTTTTCTTTTCACTTTTATTGATTTCTGCATTATCTTGATCATTTCTTTCCTTCTGCTTGCTTTGGATTTATTTTGCTCTTTTTCTAGACTCTTAAGGTAGAAGCTTAGTATTTGAGACCTTTCTTCTTTCTAATACTAGCATTCAGTGCTATGAATTTCCTTCTATGTACTACTTGAACTGTATCCCACAAATTTTAATATGTTGTATTTTCATTCAGTTCCACATATTTTCTAATTTTCCGTGAGACCTCCTCTTTGACCCATGAATTATTTATAAATATATTGTTTAATTTCCAAGGGTTGGAGATTTTCTTGTGTGTTTCTATGATTGATTTCTAGTCTAATTCCATTATGGTCAGAGGACGTATTTTGTGTGGTTTCAATTCCTTTAAATTTGTTAAGATTTGCTTTGGAGCCAGGATATCGTCTGTCTTGGTGAGTGTTACGTGTGCACCTGAAAGAACATGTATTTTGCCTTTGATGGTGGATTGTTGTATAAATGTCAGCATTTCCCCTTCCTTGGCAGAGCGTTTTTGTTAGTCTCTTTCAGATAATTCCAACGTCTCTGTCATCTTGGCTTTGGCATCTGTTGATTGGCTTTTCCCCATGAATTGAGGTTTTTCTGATTCTCTGTATGCTGAGTAGTTTTAGATTGTGTCCTCATTATGTTACATGGCTCTGTGTTTGCTTTAGATCCTACAGAGAATGTTGATATTTCTATCTCAGCAGGCATTGACCCAGTCGGGTTCAGGTCACAAGTTCCAACCAGTCTTCTGTGGGTTGGGGTTCCCCTTTCGAGCCTTTGCTGTACTGTTTGGACCTGTCCAGTGCATGTGCCACCCACTGGCCAGACTGGCCCTTGGCAGTGGATGCCTCACGCTTCCTGCATCTGTGCAGGACAGAAACAGGAAAAGCAGTGGGGATTCTCCTCGCTCTCAGGATCGCAGCTCCTCCAGGTGGGGAGAAGTTCACTGCCCTCAGAATTATAGGCGCCTGCCACCCTGGGGTCTTGGGGCTGGGTGGAGAGACAGGGCTGAGCCTTCCTTTTCCGCCTTCCCCAGACAGAACCCCCTGCTTTAAGGTGAACATCGCACCACTGACCAGGCAGGTGCCCTTGGCCTGTGGCGCCTACCCCAGGGGTGCCCGTGAGCAGGCGTTGGTGACGGGAATTTCTCTTTGGCTTTTCAGGAGACCCCAACCAAAGAGCTGGGACACTGTGGAGGAGAAGCGCACGGCCCCGACTTGAGCAGCCCAGCACCTTCGTCAGGCTTCCCCTACCTGAGCAGGTGTATCAATTCCGAAAGTTCAACTGACGAAGAAGGTATTTCACTTCCTTGGTGGGTTGAAAGAGGAGCTAAAGGAGTGCATTGTGCATGACGTCAGCTCTTTGAGGGGAACTTCACATATGGCCTTAAATGACCCCGTGACCCACGGGAGCAGCCCTGCCACCTGTCGGGCCCGAGTTGGTGTTTGTTGATCTGCAGAGCACACCTGTGTGTTTGCGCTCTGCTCTCTAGTCTTTATCACGAAATGATAAAAGAATGATGTTTTGTTTTTTTGCTTGTAGGTGGAGGCTTTGAATGGGACGATGATTTCTCCCCAGACCCTTTCATGTCAAAGACAACGAGCAACCTTCTTAGTTCCAAGCCTTCTCTTCAGACATCAAAGTACTTTTCTCCGCCGCCGCCGCCCCGGAGTGTGGAGCCGAGCTGGCCCCACGCGTCGCCATATTCCAGGTTCTCCATCTCTCCTGCCAACATCGCCAGCTTCTCTCTCACTCATCTTACCGACTCGGACATCGAGCAAGGAGGTGAGACAGGTGTGTGCGAGCGTGGTGGCAGCCTGGGGGACCTTCCCCACGGGGCTTGAGTGCCTGTCAATCTGACGCTTGCCTGGTATTTCCTGGATTATGAAAAATCCTTTACAAAGCTCTCACGGTCTTGACAGTGCGCTCTTGGGGCCATGGGCCCCACTTTTAGGCGTCTGTCCCTCCAGGCCTCTCGGCCCTGCGGGGCTGGGTGGCCCGGTGGAGGCGGTGAGCAGCGTGGTGGCGTGGCTCGGGTCTAGAACTTGCCCCTGGTGCGCGCCACCTTCTGTTCTCTGTTTTTCCCCTTTTGCTGTTAGCACCCCCTACCCCACACCTCTCCTTTCCCCAGAGAGAAGCAGCCCCTGAGAAAGGGTGTGCTCCTAAGAGCACCTGGCCTGTGATTGGGATTGAGCCCAATGTGCTCTGGCTCTTCCCAGGAATGTTGATTTTGCCATGAAGTCTGGGTCTTCGCGTGACGCCAGAAGGCCTGGCTGGGAAGTGCTGGGCAGCGCACGCTCGAAGTGGTGTTATCTGAACGTGGGGACCCTGTGTTCCTCACGGCTCGCTGGGAAGATCAGTGTTAATGGGTATAGTTTTTGATTTGAAGTTTGCCGATCAAATAATAACTGAAATATAAAGAGCTTTTCTTTGTGTTTGTGCGATGTTTAATTGTGCCGATTAGATAATGCCGGTACCTAACGAGCTGTCAGGGCAGATGTGTGGAGATCAGCTGATGCTCTCCTGTGCCCTCAGCAGTGACATTGACCCACGTGTGAGCCGCGCAGATGTGTTTGCAAGAGAGTCCGGCAGGTGCGACTGTTACGGGAAGAAAACCTGCAGCCGGCCAGGTGGTGCAGCCGCACTGTGGCTTCAGTTCCCTTTTCTGCAGTGCAGATCAGAGCGCTCCACACTATTTTTATCTGTCACGGTCATTTTAAAAACTCAGCTTTGCTTGCTCTCTCCTAACTAGGAAGCAGCGAAGATGGAGAAAAAGATTAGGCGGATGCTGACACCCTCCGGGGTCCCAGGCTGCTCCCCCAGGGCGGCATTCGTGCGCTGCCAGCGAGCTTCGACATCCACTCCACATCTGCTGAAATGGAACAGGGAGAGACTCAGGAGGCAAAAGGGAGCCAGCGCTGGGCTCCGAGCGCCGAGCCCGCGGCCGGAAGCCGGGCTGGGCAGGCGTGGTCTCGTCCGGTGCGGAGTGCTGCCCTGCAGCTGCGCCCTGCGGCCGCTCTCACCGCTGCAAGTGCTCACGCTCAGGTGTCCTTGGGGAGCGCCGACCCCGCTCCGGTGTGCAGGGGACTGTAGGCTCCGGGTTGTTCCTGGTTGCCCTGCGGGGTGCTGTCTGAGTCCACACCTGTATGCAGGGGCCCAGAGGACGCACAATGGGAATTGGCACCAGTGAGCCATATTTATTACTTTTAAAGAAATCACTAATTGCTTTCTGTAATTGCACTGTGGATAAATGTTCCAAGAGTCCCTGATATTGTACAGAATCTTAAATTATTCAAGGAAAATAAGGCAGGTCAAGCTGGTGCTATCCACTAGTTTGATTTTTTTTCTGTTTTATAGTTTGTTTGCATGGTACTTGTAAAGCTTCCATATTTTGAGTGTCACGCTGTCTTTAGAATTGTTGGAATTGTACATATGGTACTCTTTCGTACGCGATAAATGATTCCGAATGTTAGTGTTTTATGTTCTTATAGGAAATATTTTTGATGAGTCCAAAAAGACTGCTCTGTTCTGTGGGGTGAGTGAAACACATTTTTGTCTCTTCTCTATAAAGTTTCCCTGCAGCAGATGAGGCTTCTGAGGAGCTGAAGGGTCTTGCACCCCATTCGTGTCATTCTCCCACCCTGCCCCCCTATTTTTTAGACCGTTTTGGTAAAAATCAGCAGGTGGTGCACCCAGAACTCAGCTGCAGGTTAGAATGCCTGGGTCCCCCGACCCCTCTCCCTGGGGAGCCGAGCGGCTCCCTGCCTGCTGTGTTCTGAGTGGCAGGTCGAGTGACCTGCAGACAGAGTGTGGCGCCCAGGCCTCCTCCCCTCAAAGCCGGCTCTTCTGCTCGATTCTAGAAGTGCAGACTGCTGTGGCTTCCGTGTCCTTGTACCGCCTTCCCCCGGGAAGGTGGAGGCTCCGAGGAAGCAGCCGCCCCGCAGAGGGCTCTGGCACCGAGGGCGGGTTGGCTTCTTTCTTCTTTCCACTTCAGGTGTTGATCGCCCCTCAGAACCCCTTCGAGTGTGTCACATCCAGGTGTGGCTGCTCTCTGTAACCGAGGACATACACTACATCCCTACATCCCACAGCCGTGAGGGGCGACAAGGGACAACGGTAGAGCCTCTGCAGCTGGCACATCCTCCTGGTCGGAACCTTGAGTGGCCCCGCGTGGCTGTCACATCCAGACGCCGGCCCGGGGCTCGTCTGCCTGACCCTTCCCTCTGCATTAAGCACCAAGTTCTCCCCTTGCTTCGAAAGGGACCGAGCATGTCCAGCGCAACCTCATCATGGTGGCAGGAGTCGGTGTTCCAAGTAAAAAGCTGACCTCCCGCAGTTCTTGAGTTCTGCTCTGATGTCAGGAAGTTTCCAGGGGCTAGAGCAGCGGAGCGGCGTGTGCTGAGGGAGGCTCGCCGTGTCCCTGAGGAAGCCGTGTGTACCAGGCAGGGCCTCAGGTCTGCCGTCCCGGTGCTGGCCTCAGCCCAGGCGTTTTCCGGTGCTGATGCGCTCTCCCGACTCCAGCGGAACACCAGGAGGACCCCAGGCCCGGGCTGTGGCTGCGGGATGTCGGTCACAGGCGCTCGGGGCCTGGTGCGAGGTGCAGCGTGTCCTGGCCAGAGTTAGGCTGCGGCTGCGGGACGTCAGTCAGGCGCTCGGGGCCTGGTGCGAGGTGCAGCGTGTCCTGGCCAGAGTTAGGCTGCGGCTGCGGGACGTCAGTCAGGCGCTCGGGGCCTGGTGCGAGGTGCAGCGTGTCCTGGCCAGAGTTAGGCAGCGGCTGCGGGACGTCAGTCAGGCGCTCGGGGCCTGGTGCGAGGTGCAGCGTGTCCTGGCCAGTTAGGCAGCAGATTGTGACCTTTCTGCTCAGCTCTGGGTCACTTCACTGACTTTATAGCAGCAATAACTTTCCCAAGCAGGGAAACTGAGGGTGGAGAAAGGGCCCTGCACCCTCCACTCGGGGTGAGCTGGGGCGGGCGTCGCCGGAGGACCCTGCCAGCCAGCGCTGGGCCTGCCTCCGACGTGCACAGCCAAACACATGGGGAGGTGATTTTGCCAAAATTGTGATAACGCCGAATTTATTGCTATGGAGGCTTCCTGAGTTTTCTGGATTTTTACATCTGACTGCCAGTCTCAGTTGAGAGAGAAATGAGAGGCACTTAACACCAGTTTTCTCGAATTAAGGAGCTCAGATTAATCACTCACATCAAGCAAATCTGTAGAATATATAGTCTTCTTATACAGTCAGCCTGGGACAAATTTATTGATATTTTGGGGCTGTACATTTTTCACTATGATTAAGGAGATTTTAATGACATAATTCCCATTTTAATTTATTTTAAGTCTATATCACTGTCATAATTAATTGCCAAAAAAAGCATTTTATACGTTGCGTTGGGGGGCGGGCTGGGGTAGTAGATACTGTTGTGGCGTTGCATGGTGGGGAAGACTCTATTTATAATAAACATGTGACTTGACATGTTCTTTTGAAATCTCAAGCAATACACGGGAAATAAATTATGTAGATTAAAATTTTCAGCCCATTTTTGAAATGTCAGCATGTGCTTTCTTGTTCGATTTTGTTTTTTTTACTCAGTTGCTTACCAGTGGTGGGTTTTTGAGTCATACTTGTTCTAATGAGTTATGCAGTGACATAAACCAGTGGCATTCTCTAGATAGTATGGGTGAGGTTCATAATACCTGGTTCACACTATTTCCTGGCCTCCTGTGGAATCTGTCAGATTTTAATTAGTCTTACTTTGGTGGAATTTACGTATTTTAAATCCTACGATAGAAATAATCGAACCTTCATGTCCTTCCTAGCTAGATGTTAATTTGTGTTATCCAATGACCCTGTCATTAGCCAGAAAGAGAAATGGAGAAAAAGTGCTCCCCACATCCTTGTGGCCTGGCCTGTGCGCCTGGGGAGAAGCCATTCATCTTCAGGGTGAAGACGCCCAGCGCCACGAACAGCGTTCCTTCTATTTTTAAACGTACAGGCGATTGTTTCTATAGAAATGGGTTTATCTAAGAGAAGCCTTTGTATGTCTTGCTGCCGTAAAACGCCTTTCAAAACCTCTTCCTTGTATTGCATTTTCCATAGGGTGTTCGTAGGGTCGATGACTTGCTGCGTGTCTGCCTGAGGGCCCCGGGCACAAGGGAGGCAGCTGCCGGCTTTGCTCTGCCCTGCCCGTCATCTGAAAATTCCAGAAGTGAACCAAGTGTCAGGCTCCAAACGTTGGGCGTCAGTTATGGGGGCTTCAAATTATCAGCCTTACGAGAAGCAGCCTTAAAATAAGAATGGGTGTACACAGTTACTTCAGATTTAAATCCCCCAAAACAATATTCCTAGGTAGTAAGGAGGTTGGCTCAAGTTTTGGCTATTAAAAAGAGACTTCTCTGTAGTATATAAATAAATTCTTCAAGATGTGTCGACAGTATTGATTACCAACAGCCTGGTACTGGAGTGGCTTGAACCTGTTGTGGTTGTCCCAGTTCGCGCAGGCGTGGATGGAGCTGGATACTGGACTGGCGTGTGTACCCACTGTCTAATTCCGTCCGCAGATGAGGACCTCAGGGCGGTCACACCTACGAGGTGTCCCTGTCGTGCTTTAACACAGCTGTAAGAGGTTCATGGCAATATAACAGTTCCTGAACTTTCAATTCAAATTGTGTACATTTTTAAATTGTAAGATTTTTACTGTATATTGATGCATAGTGTGATTCAATAAATTGCTTGTAATTTAAAAACTATTTAATATTCAAAATAAATATAGTTATATATTTATAAACTCTGTTGCTGCGTTTATTTCGTGTTTTTTCCACCGTGCAAGGCCCGGGGTGGGTGGCCTGGCGCCTGCAGCCTGCAGCCCTGGGTCACTCACTGTCCTGGTGTCTAGAGATGGGAAGCCCCTTTCGGTGACAGATCTAAATCCCGACGCTCCTGACAGCACAATTTGCATAGTCACTGGAAAATGAAACTGTTATGTAGTGCTTGTGCTGCCTTAAATGTATCTTAATTCAGAGCCTCTGCACTAACTGATGAGTTTCAGAAGCATTTTAAGTTCCGAGGTCCAGCCTCTCCATGCCCCGAGTGGACGTCGGCGGCCCCCACAGCCGTGCTTTCCCCCTCGGTCACCACCTCCTACGAAAACCCGAGCCTCGCCCCCACCCCTTACCGCCTCCCGTGGGACTTCAGGGAGTCGATGGAGGAGACCTGTGAACCCCCATTTGGAGGCGCCTGCGACACACAGCCAGGGCCGGTGTCGGGGAAATTCGGGGACAGTCTGAGCCTGGCCCTGCGGGGCACAGGCGGGTGGGAGCTCAGCCCGTGTGCGACCGCGGGGCCTCTGCCCTCGCGCCGCCCCCATCAGCCCCGAGGATGCTGCTCTCAGCACCTTTTAACGCGCCTGTAAAAGGCGGGGAAACGGGCAGGGCTGCCATTAAGTAAAGCAAGTGGGCGGCAGCCGGTTTTGAGCCCAAGCGTCTGCCTCCCGCCCCGCAGACCTCCTCAAACCCATGACCAGTCGTTTCCCGGCCACCTGCACGCGGGCGGCCGGCCGGGGCCCCAGGGCTCCGCCTCCTCGCACCTGGACCGGCGCCGGCGGGCGGCGTGGTGGGGGCGTCCCGAAGCCCCGGTGCCGCCGGCCAGCCCGAAACCTGGGGTGAGGGCGCGGGGGTCCCCGGGCTACTGCCCTCCAGGGGTGTGGCCGCTGCCCGTTTGAGAAACGGGTATTACTGCAAAACGACTTTTCCGCGAATTCTCCTCGCTCGGCCCTGTGCTCTGAGCCTCCACCCCGAGGCCAGGCGCGGCGGCCAGGCGCGGTCCCGGGGCTTCCCCTGCACCGCGGGCTCGCAGAGGGCTCGGTGCCCCGCCTGCAGGTGCGCCCCTGCCCCCGCCTCGGTGGGGCGGGGGACCCACGGACGCCGGCCCCGCCCCGGCCCCGCCCCGCGGGCTCATTTACATGCGGCCGCGGCCCCGCCCGGGGCGGCTAAAGCGACGTGTCCTTGTCCCCCGTGGGCAGCCCTGGCGCGTGCGGCCGCGGATCCCCAGGTAATGAGGGTCGGGGGTCCGGGTGGGGCCGCGGGGTGGGCCTGGGGCTGCTGCAGGCTCTGGCCACTGTAGACCTCTGACCTGCAACAGCTGCCCTATATCCACAGCGGTTCTCGCCCCAGTGTTGTCCCTGCATGTGCGACATCCAGCCGGGCAGGACGGTCAGTGTGGTGGCCGGAGCCGGTGCCTGGCGAGCAGGAGGCAGCGCAGCCTCAGGCAGAGGGGTCTCCCTGAGCCAGGATGGGGCCCGGTATCTGGTGGTCTGAGCAAAGTGTCAAAGGCCACCTAAGTCCAGGAGGCACTCAGGGGACAGTGAGGGGCATGGGGCCAGAGAAAGGTCCAGGAGTCAGTGCATGTCACCCAGAGGGAGAGGGGGCTACCTGATCAGGGAAAGTTCTGAGGGGTCACAGTGTGAGGTCAAACAGGGGTATGGGGAGTGGAGGTCGGTTCAGGGTCTGTGTGTGAACGGGAGGGACCCTGGGGTCACTGTGCACCAAGTGGCCAGATGCCATTGGGCAGCAAAGAGGCTGCCAGGGACAGCAGCCCTGAGTGTCCACCAGCCTGCCAAGTGACCACGGGGTGGCCTGTGTTCTGGATTTCAGCTCCAAGGGCCTCCCCTCAGAGCCGCCAGCCCCCCGGAACGACCAGCCTGGAGCCATGAAGACCAAGAACCGGCCCCCCAGGCGCCGGGCACCACCGCAGGACACAGAGGCCACCCCAGGGGAGCGGACCCAGGACAGGCCCCAGCCGGGCTCCGGGCCGGAGCTGACCAAGGGGCTTCGGAGCAGGACGGCGCGGGCGCAGGGGGCACGAGCCGAGGGCGGGCGCCGGCGGCCGGGGTCCTCGGGGCCTGGTGGCCGGCGGGAGAGCAGCGTCCAGCGGCGGCTGGAGAGCAACGAGCGGGAGCGCCAGCGCATGCACAAGCTCAACAACGCCTTCCAGGCCCTGCGCGAGGTCATCCCGCACGTGCGCGCCGACAAGAAGCTCTCCAAGATCGAGACGCTCACACTGGCCAAGAACTACATCAAGTCGCTGACCGCCACCATCCTCACCATGTCCAGCAGCCGCCTCCCGGGCCTGGACGGGCCAGGCCCCAAGCTCTATCAGCACTACCAGCAGCAGCAGGCGGCGGGGGGCGCCCTCGGGGCCACCGAGGCCCAGCCCGAGGGCCACCTGCAGAAGTACTCCACGCAGATCCACAGCTTCCGAGAGGGCTCCTAGCACGCCGGCCTGGGGCTCGGGGTGGCCCGGCCTGCTCATCCCTCCGTGCTCATCCCCAGACTGTTGGAGACACCCCACACAGACATGGCCCCAGCGGCCCCATTTGCCCTCAGCTCTCAGCCGCCTGCCTGGAGCACCTCCGGGCCCCGGGGGACAAGACCAGTGAGGGGCCGTGGCTCTGGATAGCAGGAAGCCCAAACCTCCATGGGGGTCCCAGGGCCTGCTCTGTAATCGACTAGGCAGGCGTTGACGGGCCTTTGTCCCTAAGTTCCCTTCCCTCTCGACTCCCTCCTGAGGCGAGGGGAGATTCCAGGAAAAGGTTTTCTTTGGTAAGTTCCCCCAGTTCCTGCTGAGGCTCAGGCCCAGGAAGGGACTTCCTCTGACCTGCATCGGCGCCTCCTCTTTTGGGGTAAACTGAGGCACGGAGCAAGCAAAAGCTCACAGCCGCTCGGGCAGTGTGGCTGAGCTGCGAGGGTCGGAGCGTCTAGTTCTGCATCCGTCAGATAGAAGCCCTGGTCAGATGCCACCTCAGATTGATTCCACAGGGGCCTTGTCAGGGAGAGGCCTCGGGGCTGGGGTCTTTTCCTCCCTCCTGCCCGGTGGGGGCTCCTGACTGTGGAGGGTCTGTCCCTGGGCCTCCCTTGGGGTCCACCCAGGTTTGCTGCTCATTGTTATAGTTGTCACTGATGTGGGTGGTCATGAAACTGGCAGAGGTTGGCCTGACAGGACTTCAGGATGTTCTTGGGTCCCGGTTGGAGTTGAGGGCCCCCAGGGAGGAGCCTGGGGTGGCGGGAGATCTCCTCCCCCGCTGGCACTGCTCCTTAAAGGCGGGACTGGGCAGCTTGGCAGGTGCTCACTGCCTCGGGCCAAGCTTCCTTCTGTGGCGTTCCTGACCGGCTGCCTTGGACAGGCTTAGCCACTTTGCTCCCGGCCCCAGCTGGCCTCTTCCCTTCCTTGTCCCTCTGCCCACAGCCGATATGGGGAGAGGACAGGGTCCTTGGCAGCCTCAGGCAGGAACCCCAGTGACAGCGGCTGTGGTGAGGGTGGAACTGGCCTGGCATGTGGGGCCGGGTCTTCTGTGCCCACGCCTGTCCTGGGGCGCTGTGGGTGGGGGCTGAGCTGGGCCAAGAGTGGGGCTGCCACAGCCAAGGGCCCTTCCCAATTTGTGGCCTCACCCTCCCTAGCCTGGTAGTCCCAGCCCCGGCCACTTAACGCACCACCGGGCTTGATGTCAGCTCTGGCCACATGGAGGGTAGCATGTGGCAGTCCTCAGAACAGCCATTAGCTGCTTCGGTCCTAACTTTCCTGGTCAGACACTGTCGGGGCCCTCTAGAAGGCAGCCCCAGGAGGGCCAGGCCCCATCACTCTAGCGGTCGGGTAGTGTGGGTCAGCTGGGGACCCCAGCACTCCGGGCCTCCCCTCAGGGGTGGCCACTCTGGAAGGTCAGTGGTCAGGGCAATCCATCAACGGGAGGCAAGGTTGAAGGCAGCTCCAACCTTGGGACCCCTACTGTGGGTGACCTGCCAGGCTGGGATACAAGAGGGCAAGGCCTGCAGACCTGGCAGCGCTTGTTCCGGCCGAGCTGGGGCCAGAGCAGAGCTCAGTGCGTCCCTGAACTTGCTGAGTGAACGGCAACTGAGCCAAAAGCACAGGGAGGGGTGCCCAGCAGGGGCTCCGTCCGGGAGACCATGCCCGGTGATCGGGCAGCAGGAGGGCCTGGGGGTCACCACCTTGCAGGACAATGGCCTTCGTGGCTCCTTCTCTCTGTCCCAAACTGGCTCCTGCATCCCTTCTGCTTCCCAGAGGGTGAGTTGGGCCCAGATATCCACTCCTTCTTCACCTGAGGCTGGAGGGCATCTCCAGACCCTGTGGCCACATCATAAATGATCCTTAAAGGTCCCAGTCTCATGTTGGGGTATTAAATATGGGGCGGGGGAGGTGAGGGGACAGGTCGGGTGACAGACTAGTGAGGCCTGCTCCCTTGACCCTCGTCTTGGACCCTTAAGTCAGAGACTCACACGCTCTGAGCCCCCGCTGCCTGGCCCGACCGGGGGCCACAGACCCGCCTGCACACCAGCCCTGACTGAGCTCGGAGGTGGCGATCGATCCCCGTGGACTCAGCAGAGAAACCAGAAGTGCGAGTTTTCTCTCTGGGGAAACCTGCCAGGAACTGAACGGCCAGTGCCCCAGCTGTAATTGCGGCGAAAATGTTTCTTAAATGACCCAAATTTGCTTTCATTTTTCCTAATGGCCCCTTCAAAGTACTAATAAAACCGATGCTGTGTCATGAAAGAAAAATAAAAGATTTCACAGCATTTGCTGCTTTCGCCCCGTGCATTCGAGCGCGGGAACTGTGCATTTTAATCATAATGTGGCAATAAAATATATCACGTCATTTACACTCTGGTGCAAGTTTTTATTGAACGAAGCATCTGAGGAATCCAGATGTTCGCTGATGCTGAGCAGGTAAACAGTTGGTGCTCAGCAGTGAGAGGACGGTCGCCCTGGAGAAAGGGCAGGGTGAAACCAGCTACAGACAGAGTCCCAGCAGAACGACAGGTCAACAGGTTGCTGCCATAGAAGAAACTCATAATGCCCATTTGGAGAAAGCCTGCCATGCAGTGTAGACAGACAAGAGGGCGTCACTCCACTCTGCACCCAGACTCACGCCTCCTGGTCCTATCTCCAGGACACACGGCCAACGCAGGGACCATGGGCTCCCTCAAAGCCCCGTGGGAGGGGACCCCACAGGAGACCTCCTTAGCGTCAGCTTCAGGGTGACAACACCACACACCACACAGCAAAACGGGATCAAACACAGAGCGGACCCCTCCCGAGGGAATGCCCGCAGAGCTGGGGACAGTTGGTTCCATCTCAAAAGGAGGAGAGACTGACCTGAGCTCTGATGACTGGGGCCAAGGGTGCGGTTGTAAGAAGCAGACGGCAGACGTCCCCAGGTGGGGCCGGGAGGGATAAAAAGCTGCCCGGTGGGACCAGGGCCACTGAGAGGTGCTTTCCTCCTGGCCTGGCCCGACTTGCCCCAGGGGGGATGATGTGGCCTCCACAGCCCTCCCTTCATCCCCACTCCCTCCCTCTCCGCTGAGCCCCCTGCCCCCTAACCTCATCTGGGGAAGGGCTGGCACCTTCTCATGGTCCTGGGGCAGCCCCACTGTCCTCCATCCACTCCAGGAGGGCCCGTGCCCAACGGGGGAAGAAGATGCTCCCTCCAGCATTTATTCCCAACCTGCCAACTCCTTCCCTAACCTTTGAAATGAAACTGTATTTTCAAGTCCTGCTCTGAGAAATGACCACAGCACGGGCCAAAGCAGCGCTGAGCCCCACAGCCGTTTTTCACGGGGAGGCGGCAGGGCCCTGATGCTGCTTGGGGACGCCCGGGGCTCGGGGACTCCTGTGCGGCTCCGCTTCCCCGGGGGCAGCGCCCCTGGAAAGCTCCCGGATCCATTTCCCACGCTGGGAGGCAGAGGGGAAGGGGCCCCTACCCTCCACCCTACGCTCCGAGCCCTCCTTGCAGACCAGGGACATGTGTGGGGCATCCACAAAGCTTCACATTTCTGGGCTTTCTCAGTTAGTGCCTCCGAGGCGGCCGCGACCTCAGGCCAGGTTCCCGCTGGAGTCTCGAGGATCCACATTTCAGCACAGGAAGACTCAGGCATCAATCTTCATCCTTCAAACTGGGCACCACTCTCGCTTCCACGTGAGGGGAGGCGGCCTCAGCAGCAGACGGGGCCGAGCGACTCCTGCAGGGCGCCGGCCACCTGCGCGGGCCCACTGGGGAGACCCTGCTCCCCGCTCCGCTCGCCGGCTGTCTCCTGGGACGCGCTCCTGGGGGCCCTGGTGGCATTGGCCCTGATGGAGATGTGATCCCAGCCACCCTGGAAGGGGAGAGCCATGTCACCCAGGGCTGCCGGGGGCCAAGGGGCAGAGACCATCCTTCCAAACCCTGGAGCTCAGGGTCCTCCGAGGGGCTCTGCCTGGGGCATCCCACCAACCCTATGGCAGGTCCCAGCCAGAAGCGCCCCCGAGGCCCGGAGCACACACAGGGTGACCACGTACTCCCGGCCAGCACAGCCGCCCTTGCCTGCCCTGCTCACCCCGATGCCGTAGTCCCAGCCCTGCCCCTTGGGTTCGTGGGGCTGCACGCCTGTGCGATGACACACGGTTCCCCGGCTCAGGCTGTGGCTCCCCTGGACTTTGTTGGCGATGACCCAGACCTGGAACGCAGACCCGTTGAAGGCCTGGCCCCCAGCTGCAGAGGGACCATCGGGACAGCAGCGGGGAGACCAGAGTGGGATCCCCGGTGTCCCCCACATCCCCAGCCCCAGAGGGAACATGCGCCCTCCGTCCCCGTCCCCCCACTTGGGCACCCAGACCTGGTCCAGGGGCCCCACGGACACGCGGCGCACGTTGTTGGACACGTGCTCCCAGCTGGAGCCCTGCGGGTAGCTGGGCGTGACCCCCTGGCGATACCACAGGTTCCCTGGGGAGAGAGGGTGCTAGTCGTGAGGCCCCAGAGTGTCGGGACCCACTTCAGGGTCCGCAAAGCCGGGGGTGGCCTGACCACTCTTCTTTGTGTCTCCACACTCTCTGGGGCTCTCGCCGACCCTCAGGAGCCAGCTCTGCCCTTCCCACCCCTGGCTTCACCCGAGCTGCCCCATCGGCCCGCTGTGCCCAGCTGGCATCGTCCTCCTCTTTCTACGCATGAGAAACTGAGGACAAGGAATTGTTTAAACAAACAAAGAGAGCGGGTCCGGACTGAAAGCCCTGGGTTCCAGGCCCGATTCTGCCCTCTCCTCGCCTTGCTCCTCTGTGACAATGACAGCACAGGAAAGGGAACTGGCCAGAGCGCTGCCCGAGGTGGCACAGGGGCAGGGAGGGTCCAGGCCCAGGCTGCCGTGGGGGTCCAGCATCACGGGCCTGGGCGGCACCTTCCAGAAGACGCCCCCCGCACAGGCCCCGCCGTGCAGCGTCACCCCTGCCTTGGTACTGCGCTCTGTGACCCAGGTCCAGGCAGACTGACCACCGGGGATCACTGGTGCCCCAACCCTGGGTACCTTGGGGAAGGAACCTGTTTGGAGGCTGATCTCGGGCCGGCAGCCTCTCAGGGTGGCTTACGGAGTCTCGTGTCAGGGACCTGGGGCCGGCCAGGGTCTCGTCCCGTCGGGGTGCTCGGGGAAGCCCTAACCTCCCCTGGTGACCACTGAGGATGGAGACAACTTGCCGTTTTCGTCCAGGGCGTAGACGGCCGTCTGGCCCACAGACACCTGCTTGAGCCTCTGTTTGGGAGGAGACGGGATGTGGTACCAGCAGTCACCTGCGACGGGAGATGGGACGTCGAAAGCAGCCGGGAAACACCAAACCTGTGGTGCCCGGGCTCGTGGAGCACATGGCTTCCTCTGCAGCTCACAGGGTTGAGGCGGGGGTGGCCGGCCTCTGTCCCCAGACCACACACGTGTGACAGGGCCTGGCCTGAGCTGAGGGTCAAGCAGGGCTGACTGGTGCCCTGCTGTCTCTCCAATACCCCCGCCTTGCCTGGGGCCCTCTGGAAGCCGTGGCAGGTTCCAGATGGTGGGGCTGGATGGCTGATCACAGGGGCACAAAGGTGCCCAGCTCGGGATGCAGCAGGAGGCCAGCCTTGGGGCTGGTATGTGAACTCCCTGCCCAAGCCCCGCGGCCCCCTGGGAAGGGGGCAGTGACGCACCAGCCACCACTCATCCATCTGTCTGGCCTCCCCTGTGCCGGACACCGTCTAGACATCCAGCCAAGAACAAGCCAGCACAGCCTGCACTCCCAGAGGGTAGCCAGAGCGGTCACTGTGGAGTGGGCCATGCAGGGCCACCCCAGAAGGGGCAACCCTGGGAGGGCCTGGGCAGGCCTGTCCCCTGGAGTGCAGGATGTGCAAAGTGCCCACCACCAGCGACGCCCTGGGCAGGAGGCCGAGCGCAGTGAAGGGCAGCTGTGAGGGGCCCCCCATCCCCGGGGGTGACCGCTCCCCAGTCCGTCCCAGCGGGAGAGGAGTGCAGCCTCTGGGGGGATCCCAGCTTGGCCCCCAGCGCCTGGTCCACAGGCGGCACTCAGTAAATGCTCGTCGAGCTGAGCTGAAAATTAGGACACCTGTGAGCATCTTCTCCTGGAAGCAGGAGCACGTGCAACCTGGCTCTGACCAGCCCTGCGTCCCACGTCACAGCTTGGTGGCACCAGGTGGGGGTCCACGTGGAGGGGTGGCACTCACCGGCCGGCTGGGAGGGGGACACCGAGCCCCGGTAGAAGGCAGAGCCGTCCCTCGCCACGGCCCACACCTGGTAGCAGGCCCCGATGGAAATGGAGGCGAAGGGCTGGTCGGTGCCCACGTGCAGCCAGGAGGAGCCCTGAAGACGGGCAAGGAGGGACACTGAGACACTGAGGCCTCTGCCACCCCCCACCCACGGGTCCCAGGAGCTGACGGCTCCTCACGCCAACCTCATCCTCAGCTCCAACTGCCCACAGAACCCAGTGACCCTCTCGGGCCACAGGCAGTGGCCAGCGGTCCCAGGGACCGTCCTGGGCAGGCCCGGGGACACCTGAGCTCAGTCTGACTCCACAGCAAGAGTCCTATTTCTGGAAGACTCCGCCAGAACCCCTAGAGGGCCCGATGGCTGGCACCCCTGGAGGAGGCAGGGATGGGGGAGCTCACCGCAGGGTTGAGCTCGGACACACCCAGGCGGCACAGCACGTCCCCTTTGTCACTGACGGCCCAGAGCGCGACGCTGTGCCCGTTCCCACTGGCGCCCGGGCTCTCGGGGATGATGGACACGTCCCCGAGGGCAATGGGGGCCACCTCCAGCCAGGGTCCACTGGTCACCAGCTTGCATTTCCTGAATGGTGGAAAGAAACACAACCTGGGCACCTGGATGCTCAGAGTCTCTGCTCTAGACACGTGCAAGAAAGTGGAAGCAAGAGCCACGAGGACCTGGCCCCAGAGGACTGCAAAGAGAGCAGCCAGGCCCCCTCTTCCCCACGGCAGCCTCGGCCGGGTCCTGGGGAGGGCAGGGGCCAGGACCCCCAAAAACACCCAGGCGGGCACCCTTTCCCCCAGATGGGCAGGAATAAGGGCCTAGAAAGGCAGCCCCACCTCCGGGCCCTGCCCTGCCCCCACCCCCAGCCCCGCCTCCCATCCAGCAGGTCCAGCACAGAAGCAGAGCCTGCCAGTGACATTTCTCTTATTTGTTCTAGAAAACAAACGAAAACAAACGCTTCAAAAATGAGAGAGCACTGGGAGCCTGCGGGCATTTCCTGGGCTGACATTTACTTTGATCCTGTTTTCCCTTCCCACCCCCCCCTCCCCTTCCTTCTCCTGGGACTGAGGTCAGAGGTTGGGAGGTTTGGCCCTGGAGGAACCAGCAGGAGGGACAAGGCCACACCCCCCACTTCCCTCACCGCTCCTGTCTTTACCTGGCCCAGCACCTTCTCCTGACAAAATCCTTCATGGTTTTGTACCCGTGATATGAGCTGCAAGAGGAAGAAGCTGAAATCGAGACCACTTTGTGGAAGTTTCTGGAAAGCGACACTGCACACGCTTTCTCTCCCCACCCATCACAGGGTACACAGCCTCAGCGTGAGCCACGGAGTGGGCTCAAAGGGCATCACGATCCTCGTCCTTTAGACACCTCTAGCCTGGCCAGGGTGTCCGTGGGGTCTGGGTCTCCCTGGGGTTGGGGTCTTCCTGGGGTTGGGGTCTTCCTGGGGCCAAAACATGGCAGCTGCCCAACTAGTTGGTGGGGGGTTCTAGGTAAGGTGCCTCCTAGCCCTCCTGGCACAGGCCCCATCAGAGCCCTCTTGGGGACAGTCAAACTCAGGGCCAAGGCTGGAGGGGAGGGTCAGTCTGGGAGGCCCCTGACCCCCGCCTTGCCCCAGCTCAGGTCTGCTCAGGCCCTGGCTCGGGCTCCCCGGCTCAGTCTTCCATTTGGACATGACGCGTGTACCATGAAGGGCCTGCAGCCCGCCAACACAGAGCCCCTGGCTATGCAGGCCGTTACCCACTTCTCCTGTCACCACCCGCCCTGACAAGCTTGGCCTCCTGCCTCCCAGGACAGCACCGGCCTCACTCCATGCTCTGCTCAAGCTGCCCCTTCACCCCGACACCTCCCTCGCGGGGGACCACCCCCACGCATCACCCAGGGCCTGGCTCCAATATTCCCAGCGCTGCTCCTGAGGTTCCGGAGGCCACCTCAGTCCAGGGAACCGGGTTCTCGGCTGGCCTTCCCAGAGCCCGTGCCTGGCACAGCAGGCACACTACCAGGTGCTGGGGGAGCCATGGTGCCATCCCTGAGCCCATCCACTGAGAACGGGTGTGCCAGGTGTGCCCCTCCACACCTCTCCAACCAGCTGAGGTGGGCACGCAGGGGTCTGCTCCTCGGCCACACCTGGGTGCTTGTGGGGACCGGAGCTATCCAGGGCAGGGAGGCATGAGGGCAGGGGGACAAGGGGCTGGGGAGCAGGGGGACGGCCTGGCAGGATGGTGAGGCAGCCACTGCTGGGGAGGACAGGGTCTGGCTGATCACACGCCCGGGGGCCTGATGCTTAAGCCCCACCCTGGGATGCCCCGCCCCAGGCAGAGAAAGAGAGGGGGACGCTTACGCAGGGAAGTCACTGGCGTACTGCCACCCTTCCTGGTCAGTGCCCCCAGGAACGCTGAAGTCGATGGACCAGTCAGAAACCTGGGGGAGGGGAGGGTCAGCGCAGGCGGACGCCCACCCCTGGACCCCCCAGCCCCTCCTCTGCTCAGCCTGCAGCCCGGCGCTCACCCAGCTCCACTGCAGGGACGGGGGCTTCGTGCTGGCCTTGGTGCACTCCTGCAGCCCCGTGGCATCGCTCCACATGTACCGGTCGGTGGGCAGACCCCTATGGCGAGACAACAGGGGTGGGGTGACTCGAGAGAGGGGCGAGAATGGCCCGTCCTGCTCAGGCAATGGCCAGTGACAGACACACGCAGCTGGGATGTCTGCATCTCCGAAGGGGTGTGGGGTAAAGCAGAACTGCCCCAGGGCGGGGACAGCAACTGGGGTGACCCCATGTCACACGGGGGCCTGGGCTGCAACCCCAGCCAGGCCATCCCCCGAGGGCTGGGGCGCATGCGTGGTCTGGGAGCCCACCTCTCCTTCCCTTGTATTGTGGATTGAATTGTGTGCCCCCAAACGATGTTGAGGCCTCACCCCCAGTACCTGTCAGGGTGATCTTATTTAGAAATAGGGTTCTGCAGATGGTCAGGTGAGATGAGGTCATTAGGATGGGCCCTAATCTAATATGACAGCGTCTTTAGAAAAAGGGGAAATTCAACCCAAGTTTCCCAAATTGAGAAGACGACGTGAAGACACGGGGAGAACGCCATGCGATGACTGGGATGATGTTGCCACAAGCCAAGGAACCCCTGAAGCCACCAGAAACCAGGAGAGAGTACCAGAACAGATGGTCCCTCCTGGCCCTCCGAGGGAACCAACCCTGCTGGCACCTGGATGTCAGACTCCCCAGCCTGCAGAACTGTGAGAGAGGAAACGTCTGTGGCGCTTTGTTACAGCAGCTGGAGCTGACTTATACACCGGCAGAGCAGCCAGCAGCACACGGGGGCTGCCGGGCCGGTGTGGGAGCCGGGCCCCCCGTCTGTACTCTCTCTATGAACTGGGGAGCACCAGCTTCCTTGCCCCCCTTCCTCAGGACTGAGGAGAACGTGGAGACGCAAGCAGGTCAGCCTCGTGTGTGGATGCCACACACAGCCGACGTGGAGCTTTCCAGGACCTGTTCAGCAACGTGTGTCGACTGCCTTAGACGAGCTCAAATCTCGGTTTACTGGGGCTGAACAGAGACTCACAGATATTCACACACAAGAAAACCCTCCAAACTGTTCTTACGACAGAGAAAGGTCGCGAACGGTCTACACATCCAAGACTGAGTCGGGGTTGGGTAAACCGGATGGCTCCCGGGTATGACTGCGAGGCCATCCCTGACCATCTTTACGTGCCTGATTTTGTCCCCCTTGTGCAGGCCCGGAGACACACACAGAGGGCGGGCCAGAGCAATAGACCAAAATTTGAGCAGTGGTTGCTGTCTCTGGTTGGTGCAGAGCTTGTTCTCATGTTACTTGGTATTTCTTCTTTTTGCCAATTTTGAAAAAACAGCAGGGGAAATCAATTTCTGTATCCAGCCACAAACAGCCAAAAAGATGAAATAAGAAAGTTGGGATGTGCCGTTTACAATAGGATCAAAAAATACGAAACAGCATCTAATAAAAGATGTCAAGACCCCTCTATAAAAAAATTACAAAACCTTATTAAGAAAAAAATTCAAGAAGACCTTCATAAATGGATTTGTAAATTACGGCCACATTTTGGAGAGAGGATTTGTGAGGCAACTTTTCTACCCAAATTAATCTACAGATCTGAGGCCATCCCAACCAAGACCGCAATGGTTTTTGAGAACTGTGACGGGCTGCTTCTAAAACTCATTGCAAGTGATACGAGAACGGCCAAAACGCTGTTGATGAAGATGAGATGGTTTCTTCTACCAGCTTTGAAAACTTCCCGTAAGGGGACAGTGGGTGGAACAGCGTGGGGTTAGCACGAGGATAAGCAATGGCTCAAAGGAGAGGAAGGCTCAGGCACAGAGCAGTGCCTACACGGACACTCGAGTTAAGACAAAGGTGGCCGCTGTGATGCAAGGGGGACAATAAATGGTGTGGGTCACTGTGTATTCAAAGACCAACACTTGACCTCCAGCCCACACTATATACCCAACAGTTCGGGGGTGGGGAGGTGGCACTCTACACCTACATGGACAAGGCAGAAGAATAAAGTTTCTTCCCTTTTTTTTTTTTTGAGGAAGATTAGCCCTGAGCTAACATCTGCTGCCAATCCTCCTCTTTTTGCTGAGGAAGACTGGTCCTGAGCTAACATCCATGCCCATCTTCCTCCACTTTATATGTGGGACGCCTACCACAGCATGGCTTGATGAGCGGTGCCATGTCCGCACCCGGGATCTGAACCGGTGAACCCCGGGTTGCTGAAGCGGAATGTGCGCACTTAACCGCCGCACCACTGGGCCGGCCCCAGAATAAAGTTTCTAGAACAGGATCCACAAACCATGACCTGTGGCCTTAACCAGGCTCACTGTCTCTTTTTCGGCACAGTCTACAAGCAAAGGCTGGTTTTTACATTTTTAAATGGTTTGAAAAAAATCCAAAGAAGAATAACGCTTTGTGACACGTGAAAACTACATGCCATTCAAATTTGTGTCCAGATAGAAACCTGACCGGGACATATCGATGCTCATCCGTTGACATGGCTGCTTTCAAGCGACTAGTTGTGACAGACCGTATGGCCCACAAAGCCTAAAATATTTACTACCTGGTCCGTTATGGAAAAAGTTTGCTGACTGATCTTCTAGAAGACAGGAGAATGTGTACATTCCTTCAGAGTTCATGAGATTTCTTAAGAGGATCTTTTAAAGGCCCAACTTTATAAAAAAAAGGATCAGAGGGCTGGCCCTGTGGCCCAGTGGTTAAAGTTCCGCGTGTTCTGCTTTGGAGGCCTGGGGTTTGCAGGTTTGGATCCTGGGTACAGACCCACTCCACTCATCAGCCACACTGTGTCAGCGTCCCCCATACAAAGCAGAGGAAGACTGGCACAGATGTTAGCTCAGGGCTAGTCTTCCTCAAGCAAAAAAAGAGGAAGATTGGCAATGGATGTTAGCTGAGGGCGAATCTTCCTCACCAAAAAAAAGAAAAGAAAAGAAAAGAAAAGAAGGATCGATCAACTGGACTACATTTAACAATCAAAAGTCACCAGTAAGAAGTTGGAAAGACAAGCCACAGAACGGAAGTAAGTGACAGAGGGCTCACATCCTGAATGTGCACAGAACACTGACAAAGCCAGAAAAAGAGGATGCAATCAAAACACGGGACAAGGACTCGAAGGGGGCCGTCCAGAAAGGAGGGTATCCAAGTGCCAGTCAACTCAGGAGAGGGGCTCTGTCTTGGTAGCCAGCAGGAAACAGAAACCGAAAATAGGCGATGCGAGCCACACTTGAGTACGGCTAAAATAAAAGAAACCGGCAAAGGTGTGCTGGTGAAGTGTGAACGGGTGCATCCACCCCAGCTGGGTGTGCTGCAGTATGACTCTGACGCTAACCCCCCAGCTAGCACAGACCCCGCAGCCAAAGGGCATGGTCCCAAACAGGACCGCCCCACTGCAGACATCAGCCACACTTCAGACGCCCAGGCCACCTGCACTTCTGACCGATAGGCTACGACTTTGGCAGTTCTCATTACCTCAGGTTTGATAATCTGCTAGAATGACTCTCTGACGCAGGAAAGCGCTAAACTTAGGATCGTAGTTTTATCATAAAGGATATGAAACAGGATGAGCCGAGACAAGAGGCCCACAGGGCGGAGTCTGGGAGGGGCCTGGACGCAGAGCCTGGATGATGCTGAAGTGTGGGCAGCACTGCTCCAGCTGCCGGAAATCTTACAGTGGGTTTTCTGTTTTTGTTTTTTTTAAAGATTGGCACCTGAGCTAACAACTCTTGCCAATCTTATTTTTTTTTCTTCTTTTTCTTCCCAAAGGCCCCCAGTACATAGTTGTATATATTTTAGTTGTGGGTCCCTCTAGTTGTGGCATGTGGGACGCCGCCTCAGCATGGCCTGATGAGCGGGGCCATGTCCGCGCCCAGGATCCAAACCAGCAAAACCCTGGACCGTGGAAGGGGAGTGCAAGAAATTAACCACTTGGCCAAGGGGCCAGCCCCTTGCAGTGGGTTCTAAAGGCTAAGAAATACCACAACTTGCTTACTTTCTAAAAAAACAGACAACAAAAAACCCCAGGACAAGAGCAATGAGAAATACGTGTCTATGCTCAGTGGGTGGGAAATAAAAAGCCACATATGATCTGGATTTTATACAGCATCTCCTCTTCTGCCCAAAACACAACACACTGACTGTCTTGTCCAAAGGTCTCAAATTCGGAGGATTAAAATAATTTTGGTGGAGGCACCAGCCGGGCAGCATGGCACTTAAGTTCACGCGTTCCATGTCGGCAGCCCACGGTCCACGGGTTCGGATCCTGGGCACGGACCTAAACACTGCTCATCAAGCCACGCTGTGACGGTATCCCACATACAAAATAAACGAAGACTGGCACAGATGTTAGCTCAGTGACAATCTTCCTCGCCAAAAAAAAAGTCATAATAATAATTTTGGTGGAGGCCACGATGTTCTCAGTAGTTTAAATTAAGCGAAACTTAAAAAAAAAAAGTTAAGTAACCACCACTCCCCCCACCCCAAAAAAGCAAGCAAAACTACAATAGTGTTAGAAGTTTGGATGTTGGTGAGGAGGGAATGGTGACGAAAGATAAGGGGCGCCAGAGGGGGTGGAGGGTTGTGGTCACACTGGGTTCGATTTGCGACAACCCAGTGCTTAATATACACCTAGATAGAGAGAAATCTCACGGCATATATGTTCACATATACACGCTTTTACGCTCTTTAGGCATGCTATACCTCTCAATATGTGAGTTTTTAAAATGCGTGTCACACGTAAAGATTTAAGAAAAAAACTGTAAGCAGAAGATCCAGTTAGTCCCACGTCGGGGGCCGGACGCCAGCTCTCACGCCACCCTGGACGTGGTCATCCAGTCTTTGTCAAGACCGTGGCCTGGACCAGGAGCACCCTGGCCGGCGCCCGGGCCGCTCACCTGCTGGTGTAGCCCGTGACGGGGTTCCAACGCTGGTTCTCGTAGATATAGACGCTCTTGACGTCCGACTGGGTGTAGATGTTACTGGAGCTGCTGGCCAGGCCTGTAGGGACAGGAGGCTGCTGGGACTCGGGCTTCTGTCTGAAGCACCAAAGGCCGCAGAGAACGGGCGGGGAGGGCCAGCCGAGAGGGCTTCAGGCCTACTGAGCTTGTTTCCTGGGGCCGCCCAGCTTGGGTTCCCCCTTACCGCCTGGATGAGAATCCGCTGCTCAATAAACCTCCCGTCCACACCTCCCACTCTGTTCTCGGTTACACCCCTTCTTCCCTTGCCGTCCCACCCACCCGGCACCGGGCAGGTGGGGAGGCCCACCCAGCTCTCTCTTTACTGACACAGGTACTTTGGACCATGCACAAAACCCCCATGAGCCCCAATTTCCTCATTTGTAAGACAGGGACAAGGGTAATTCCCGCCTCACAAACGGGGAAGCTGTTAGGCCTGTGCAGACGTGCGTTCCTGCGGTCTTAGTGGACCACAGCTCTACAGGATTGACCGCCCCCCACTGTGGGGCGTGTGGACTGTGGCACGGCCCGTTCCAGTGCCTGTTTCTGCCTCCATTTACCAGTAGGGGGACACAGGGACTCTGCCTGCCAGATCTCAGGGAGCCCACAGGGGTTTGGCAAGGTCTCATCCCCTAAGGCGTATGACCCACCTAGAGAGGGGCTGAAATTCAGGACTGGGACTCAGGAGATGGGGGCCCGGAGCTGCCCCAACGTGCCCTGAGGCCTCATCTGTGAAAGGAGGGGTTGGACACGCTGGAGGGCCCTGGCAGCTGCCTTTCTAGAACCTTCAAGGCCCTCAGCTCAGCTGTGGGTGCCCAGGAAGGCACATCGGTGGCGAGGCCTGGTCTCACCTCACGGCTTGGCCCCGGGACTGTTCTCTGTGGAGGCTGGCGGTGACGAAGGTCACCTGTCAGCCAGCTGTCAGCCAAGTGTCAACACTGGGACAGCAGCTCCGGCGTGGGGCAGGGAAGCCAGACAGGGATTAGAGGAGGCAGCGGCCCGGGAAGGCCGTGGGCAGGGCCCAGGGAGCCCGTCCCGCCGGCCAGGGTGCGCGGGCCGCCCTCACCTTGAAAGCAGCCTCCGCCGTAGCCGCCCGTGTACACCCAGGCCGTGTGGTCGTAGCCGATGCCCCACACCACGCCCCGGCTGTTGGCCTCCACCACCCGCAGGTGGCCTCCCACCTGCCTCCAGAACCTGGGAGGATGGGGGAGAGGGCAGGCAGGAATGCCGGGCGTCCTGCCTTCCTCCCCCTCCGGCGCTGTGGCCTCCCGGGGACGTCCTATGTCTTCAGTCTCCAAAGGACAGGCTTTAGTAAGGACGCTGGAACTGGCCTGGCCCCTCCGGAGCCCCTGATCCCTGGGGCTGTGCACGCAGGGGGCGAGGTCAGCAGCCGGTGCTCCACGCTGCCCCTTGGGGTCTGGGACGGGCATGTCAGGGCAGGGAGCAGGCTGAGCCACAACACGGGCCAGCAGACTGAAACGAAGTCACGACAGGCTGCACGGTGACAGCGCGGCCTCCTGGCCGGGCAGAGTGCAGAGAGCAACTGCCACCTGGGTTCCCCACTTGCTAGCTGAGGCTCTGCCACTGTCCCCACTTGTCTGACTAGACACCAGGTACACAGGGCCTCAAAGGGTGGACAGATGCATGGACTCTCCCCTTCTGAGTGGGGTCCCCTGGTCTCACCTACGTCTCCCTGGTCCTCGCGGGCTCTGGGTGACTTTCTGGGAGCAACCTCAGGACATAATTGGGGGCACTGGGTCCCCTCCTTGGTCCCCCTCAATTCCTCATCCAAAATGCCAGATGCCCGGGGATTCTGCTCACACTGCCCGCCCTGGGTGGCCTCATTCCATCTCGTAGTTTTAAACGCCTCCTATAGGGCCATCCCTCCCTCGTCCTGCAACACCCAGCAGCTGCTCGATGGCGCTGACCTGCCCTGAGCCCAGGCAGTTCCGGTCCCGGCTTGGGGTCCTCCCACAGGTCCAGGAGGACTCGGGGCCTGGGGACCAGCGGGAGGCAAGGCCCCGTGTGGTCCTCCTGCCTGCGGCCCTCCCTGCTGGAAGCCCAGCTCTGGGTGCTTGGGGAGGGGCGGCCAGGCCCCAGCCCCATCGGGAGCACAGCCGACTCACATCTGGTCGCAGGGCAGCGGGTGCGCGGGGTCCTCCAGGTCTGGGCTGGGCTCACTCACAAAGATGTCTCCCTTGCAGGTGATGGACCAGATGGCCTGTGGGGACGGGCGGCCGTGCACCTTCCGGCTCTCGCAGCAGGACAGGCTGAGCAGGGCGAGCTGGCGTGGGGAGACGGCCGGTCATGGCTGGGAAGGGGGCGGGTGGCAGGCTGAAGCTGGGCTGCCCCGAGATGGCTGCCCTTTGACCCTCGGCCTGTGGGGACCACCGCCCACTCACCCAGTCGTTCATGTCCTGCTCTGTGGCAGCAGCCAGACGCACAGGCCACCTCTGCCGGGTCCTCTCCGGGGTGTAGAGGGCAAAGGAGTGCTTGGCCTCATTGAGCACGGGGACCAGCGCTGTCACCTCGTTGAGGAACACGTGGATGTACTGGGCACAGAGAGCAGACGGCAGGGCTGTCACCGGTGACAGAGCGGGACCCAAGGGGCTGGCGGCACGACAGGCCTCTGGGTGGAGCCCCCTCCGTGGTGGACGGACCGGGACGGCCTAGGTCACCCCCAATTCCACAGAGCTGATGCTCGGGGTCCCCAGGGGCCTGTGGGTCTTGGTGGGGGGCTCTGGGGCCCAGGAAGTTCCAGTACAGAAGCCTAGTCCATGGGCAGCACCTTAGCTACACTTCTTTTTTTTTTTCCCTGAGGAAGATTAGCCCTGAGGTAACATCTGCTGCCAATCCTCCTCTTTTTGCTGAGGAAGACTGGCCCTGAGCTAACATCCATGCCCATCTTCCTCTACTTTATATGTGGGACACCCACCACAGCATGGCTTGCCAAGCGGTGCCATGTCCACACCCGGGATCTGAACCGACGAACCCCGGGCTGCCAAAGCGGAATGTGCGAACTTAACTGCTGCGCCACCGGGCCGGCCCACTTAGTTACACTTTAAAGAAATGCTTTTTGATGCTGACAAGGGCACTTGAGAATCAGACTGATGGGGTTCAAACCCCAGCCCTGGATGAGCTGGCAGTCAGGAGGGGTGAGTGGCTTATGTCCCTGAGCCTGACTTCTCATTTGAAACACGAGAGCCTGTCACCGGGTGCTTGGAGCGGGGACATGGCTCGACGGGGCTGGCACACACCTGCCCGCCACTGATGGGGACAGCTGTCACCACGGGCCAGCACTTTCTAGATGCCAGATGCCAGTTCCAGACCGAGCACCTTGGGGCTGGTGTCCCAGGCCCGGTCCTGCACCCCCCGGCTCTGCACCCACCCCTGTGTACCCCTCGGGCACCCCCCTCTCCCCTGGGCATCCCCCTCCCTTGCTCCGCCCCCTCCCCTCGGCACCTCCCCCCAACGGTGCCCCCCACTGCACCTTCTTCTCCTCGTGGACCACGTAGTAGATGAAGAGGATGCTGTCCCGGGCCCCGTCGTGCCCCGTGAACTGCTCCAGGGCCACGCGGACGTCCACCCACTTGTGGGGCTTCCAGTTGCACCACCACTGCAGAGTCCCTGTCTTCACCCACACCGACTGTGGCACAGGCCCCGGAGGGCATCGAGGACAGAGTCACAGGCAGGCAGTCGGGTCCTGCGTGCACCCAGTTCCCAGCACCCCAGAGCCACCCCTGGCCCCTGGTCCCTTTGCTGCCTCACTGGGGCTCCCAGTTCCACTTCACCCTAATGACAAAAGCAATGCTTGCAGACACTCGACAGGCGCCAGTCCACGAGCCAGCACCGGCTATAGATAACCTCCTAATTCTCAAACAGCCTGTGGGGTCGGCAGCATTACCTCATGTTCTGGATGGGGAAACTGAGGCTCAGAAAGCTCTGTGCCCAGCCCAATGTTACAAAGTAAGTCACTGGCAAAGCTGGGACCCACACCCGGCCTGCCTGTCCTCAGAGGCCCAACCCTTAGCTGCCAGCAGGCTGGTTCGGCGCCACCAGCCCAGACGCGGCCAGGTCCTCCGAATGGAACCAGCCACGTGCTCCGTGTGACTCCTCTTTCCCAGCCCAACTGTGGGCTTCTGGGGGCCGGGCTCTGCCTGAGGGCATCTGAGATGGCCCTCAACCCTGTCCTGACTCGTCTCAATGAAACACGACACTGTCTTGGGATGCAGGGTTCCCTCCGGCAGACAGAGGATGACGTGATTCACCTCCCCCGTCCCACTGAGGCTGCTCTGTCTCTCGGTCCCCAGGCCCTACGTCGTCCCTGGAATGCAGTGGGGCTGAAACATCGCTCTTCAGGGCAGAAGAACAAAGGAATGGACTCATTTCTTTATCCTTGAATCTACAAGGGGCCTGGAAGGGACGGCTTCCCATCCAAGACGGACAGACAGAGGGATGCATGCATCCGTCCATCTGTTTCTCCCACGTCACCTCAGGGCTGGTATACAGCAGGCGCTCCATGAATGCCTGCTGAAAAGACGCGCACACGGGGGCCCCCCCACCTGCTCCACGGCCTGCTCGTAGTGTCGGAAGTTCTCCAGCTCCCGCTTGGTCCTTTCCGTGAGCTGCTGGAAGACCTGTTTCCTCCAGGCGGCCGTCTGCGCCGGCGTGATGGACAGGGAAAGCGTCTGCACCGAGGGCGACAGGCCTGCGGGCCAGCCAGAGCCTCAGGGCCGGGGCCTGGCCGGCCACAGCTGTGCAGCAGGCCAGGGCTCTTTATTTTTTCTTTAATCAGCCCTTTCTTTCTAAAAAGCTACAAACTCTGTAGAACGTCCCATGAGCCCTCCCCCCACCGTTCACCCTGATGAGAACGTTGACGTCCCCCAGTTCAGCCCAGAATGGCCACCACGGCTGGGACAGGGAGACGGGAGGGGGCGCCAGGCTGTCTGGTCTCAGAAGGCAGCAGACAGACAGGCTGAGCACAGGGGGGCGTTCAGGCAGGACATCGCCTGCCCGCCACCCCCGGGGGACACCCTCTGGGGTGGGGGCCCCGCCGACAGCCCCTTACCCAACTGCACAGAGAACCACTTCAGCACAGAGTGAGCCTCCACGGCACAGCCTCCTCCAGACACCCAGGCCCAGAGCGGGTGGTCGTCGGCGCCGTAGGGCTCCTCCAGGCCCAGGGGGAGGACCTCCAGCGAAGAGAGCCCGGTGGTCTCAGGAAGGCCTGCAAGCGGGTGGCTGGGCGTTTTCTTAGGCTCCTTCAGGTCGATATTGGTCCAGGGCACCTCAGCCGGGGTGCAGGCCGGACCAGGGCGAGGCTCAGGCCTGGGGGTCTGAGTGGCAGGGCTGGCGACCTCCGCGGGATGCTCTGTGGTCCTGCTGGTGCCTGGGCCGGAGGCCGAGCTGCCCTTGGGGTCCCCGGGACAGTCCAGAGACTCTGCAGGGACTGGCTGGTCAGGCCCCGGTCTCTCAGCATCCGAGGAGGCGTCCGTGTCGCTCGGGGCACAGGACTCGCCACTGCCCCTCACCTCGTCGCCAAAGAAGCAGCCAGCGCTGGGAACAAAGCGGGCAGACCTGTGACTTCCTGGGGGAAGGAAGACGCCCAGCAGGGGGCAGGCTGGCTCTGCTCCACCATCGACTACCTGTGCCACCCCGGGCAAGTCACAGCCTCTCTGTGCAACACACACGAGTACCCGCTTCCCAGGGACACCCGGGCACTGTGAGCAGTCCTGATGCCCAGGCCGCCCCAGAGCAATCAAAGCAACATATCTGGGGCTGGAGATTAGGCAGGAGTAGTATTTTTTTATTGCGGCAAAATACACATGATGTAAGATTTCCCATTTTATTTTATTTTTTGAGAGGAAGATTAGCCCTGAGCTAACATCTGCTGCCAATTCTCTTCTTTTTGCTGAGGAAGATTGGCCCTGAGCTAACATCGGTGCCCATCTGCCTCTACGTTATATGTGGGACCCCTACCACAGCATGGCGTGCCAAGTGGTGCCATGTCCATACCCGGGATCTGAACCGGCGAACACCAGGCCTCTGAAGCAGAATGTGCGCACTTAACCGCCACGCCACCAGGCTGGCCCCAGGATTTCCCATTTTAAATCATACAATGCAGTGACATTAAGTATATTCACAATGTTGTGTAACCATCACCACCACCTAATTCTAGAACCTTCTTATCACCCCAAACGGAAACCCATTAAGGAGTCACTCTCCATCCTCCTCTTTCTCCCCAGCCTCCTGGCAACTATTAATTTGCTTTCTGTCCCTGTGGATTTGCCCCTTCTGGACACTTCCGATAAATGCCATGGTACAATATTCGACCTTTTGTGACTGGCCTCTGTCACTTAGCATGATGATGTCAAGGTTGGTCCATGTTGTGGCATGTATCAGTATGTCATTCCTTTTTATGGCTGCATAATATTCCACTGTATGGATGAACCACATTTTATTAATCCATTAATCCACTAATGGACATATGAGTTGCTTCCACCTTTTGGCTATTGTGAATAATGCTTCTAGAACATTCAAATGCAAGTTTTTGTTTGAGCACCTGTTTTTAATTCTTGGGAGTATGTATCCAGCAGTGAAATTGCTGGATCGTATGGTAACTCTATCTTTAACTTCTTGAGAAACCGCCAGACTATTTTCCAAAGTGGCTACACCATTTCACATTCCCACCAGCGGTGTATGAGAATCCCAATTTCTCCACAGCTTGTCAACACGTGGGGAAGTGGAGCGGTGTCTCTTTTGCTTCTGATTTGCATTTCCCTAATGACTAACGATGGATGGAAAGATGAGCGCCTTTTCATGTGCTTCTTGGCCATTCGAATATCTCCTCTGAAGAAATGTCTATTCAGGTCCTTTGCCCTTTTTAAGTGGGCTTGTCTTTTTGCTGTCAAGTGGTAAGAGTTCTTTACATATTCTAGATACTAGGCCCTTGTCAAACACATGATTGGCAAATATTTTCTCCTATTCTGTGGATTGTTTTTTCACTTTCTTGACAGTGTCCTTTGATGCAAAAAAGTTTTCTTTTTTTTTTTTTGAGGAAGATTAGCCCTGAGCTAACATCTGCCACCAATCCTCCTCTTTTTGCTGAGGAAGACTGGCCCTGAGCTAACATCAGTGCCCATCTTCCTCTACTTTATTTGTGGGACGCCTGACACAGCATGGCTTGCCAAGCGGTGCCATGTCCGCACCCGGGATCCGAACCGGCGAACCCTGGGCCACCAAAGTGAAACGTGCGCACTTAACTGCTGTGCCACTGGGCCAGTCCCCAAAAGTTTTCATTTTGATGAAGCTCAATTTACCTATTTTTCCTTTTGTTTCTTGTGCTTTCGGTGTCATATTTAAGAAACCACTGCCAAATCCAAGGTCATGACGATTCGGCATCAGTGGCTTCAGAAGCTTCCCAGCTGATTCCAACATGCTGTTCAGTCTGGTAACCACCAGCCGAGGAGACTAAACCCTTGGGTCAATGTGGGCAGACCCTGCCTGGCCTGCCCCTGCCCTGGGCTGGTAGTGCATCCACGTGGCCACCACCAAGCTGGGGAGCAAAGCGTGTGGACCAGGGCGTGGGTCGGGCCCAAGCTGCAGGCAGGAACGCGGAGTGCTGTGGAGCACTGTGCCCAGGCCCTGTGGGCTGCACGACTGGGCAGGTGGGCACTGAGGTCCCCCGAGCCCCTCCCAGTGCAGCTGAGGCATCTCCAGCTCAGACGCGGTCACCTCCCTGCGCTCTGACGCCTGTGGGCAGAGCTGGGACGCCTCTGTCCACACTCTCTGGACCCACAGGAGGTCTGAAGGCACAGTCTCCAGAACCACAGCAGTGCACACCTGGGAGCTTCAAGAAATGCAAGATCCCAGCCCCGCCCCCGACCTATGAAACAGATGCTCTGGGGGTGGCGCCTGGAGAGCGACCCAGACGCCCAAGCTTGAGGTCCAGCTGTAGACTAGAGGGACCTTCCATCTTCTCCCCTGCCTTCCTTTGACGGAGCGGCCTGAGCCTCCACCCCACAAAGAAGCCTTTTCTCTCCCAGATCTCAAGACTTCAGAACCAACAGGCCAGCCCTGCTTGGGGACAAACCCCGGCTCCAATATGGACGGACATCCCAGCCTCGCTCACCTGTCACCTCCCACCTCCCACCCTCCGGCCGAGCCAGGACACAGGCACAGGAAAGAGGAGACCCCACAGGCTGGGCCTCTGGCGCGCCACAACCTGGCTTTGTCCTGCCTGAGACCGGGGTCCTGGTGAGAGGCCAGGTGGCAGCCTCCTCTGGACACTGCCCACTGAGGCCACCAACCCTTCCCGCCCCAGCTCCTCCGTGCCCTGCCGCCCCCAGGATCACCTGAGGAGACTCAAGGAGCTGCCGGAGTGCGACCGGTCACTCTCTCGGCCGGCGACAATGGCCTTCCATGTCTTCCCACTGAGCTCGCTCGGGGTGACGCCCTGACGGAAGTACATGGCCCGGTCGTCACAGCTGATGCCCCAGACCTGAACAGAGGGAGGTGCTGCTGGGTGGGAGGGTGGCGCAGACGCAGGGGCTCCCTTCCCTTTTGGGGGTGTGGAGGAGGACGGGATTGGAGAGAGCACCCCAAGGCTGGAGGACACGTCTGCAATGGCAGGCAGGAGGCCCCCCCCATCCGTGCGGTGGGGTGCGTGCGTGTACATGTCTGTTAGGGCTGGAAAGGTCGATGGGATGGGTGTGGGGTAGGTGCAGAAGTCAAAAGCAGGAAAGGGAGCCTGGAGGGCTGGGGGAGGGCATGACACCAAACTCAGGAGAGCAGGGACCTTGTCCTGGCTCCCCAACCTCAGGTGAACCTGCAGCTTTGGGGCGACAGAGGCCAGAGGAGGTGGTGGTGCCCATGGGCACGGCGCCCAGACACAAAGTCCACCCACATCCCCATCTTCCAGGCAGCCTCTGCGGGGAAGGAATCTGCTCCCCAAGTGAACCCAGAGGATGGTCCTGATCTTTTCAAAGATGCAAAGTAACCTCTTTGATTCTGACCTCATTCTCTACGGGAAAAGTGGCCAGGCGGGTGCCTCCTCCCCTCTGCCTTTGGGCACTGAGGAGGCAGGTGGGCTGGGCAGCTGAAGAGCCCAAGGGAGGGGCCAGGGAGGAGCCTGCGGGGGTGCCCGAAGGGCCGAAGCTGGCCTAGGAGTGACACATCAGGAGCCCCCATCCCGAGACCTCCGCTGCCCCCCGTGCGCACCTGGTCGTTCAGCCCCACATTCACCATCGTCATCTCTCCAACCATCTCGATCCAGCTGGTGCCACAGGGGTTGTGGGAATTGACGCCTCTGCGGAACCACACCTGGGACAGTCAGAAATGAACAGGCCTCGCTGGAGGGCCACCGAAATGGAGGGTTTTTCTGTCTTGAAGCCTCAGTTAGAACAAACGAAAAACTCGGATCCTTTGGTTCACGCCACGAACGAGCACGGCACGTGATTTAAAGGAAATGTTCATCCACGCCCCTCTTCCCGCGCCCCTGTCCCACAGGGCTGAGGGTCACCTGCCCCCAGCCACACCTGTCCTGGTGGCTTCCTGTCCATTCACTGGCTGAGGGCATTGCCCCTCCAGGAGACAAGGCTGCCTGAATCTTTCTAGAGCCTTCTCTCCACCAGTTCAGCATCTCTTGGCACCAGCAACAGGTGTCAGCTGTTTCACTGCAGACAGTTAGAGCGGGGAGGTGGTCATGGGTGGTGGTTGGGGGGCGGGATTCACATCGAACCCCAAATCCAGACGCTGACCTGTGAGCCTGACCGGTGACATCCCACTGCCACGGACCTCTGGGCATCCCCACCTTAGCTCACGCTTGACGCTCGGACAAGGCCATTTTATCCAATCGAGTTTGTCTCTATGTAAGATAATGGCCTTAATGATGCTATTTAGGAGAATCATTTTTCTAAACTGATCATTAGAATAAATAGCATATTTTGGGTCTATTCTTAGTGTTTATGAAATACTTTTTTCACGTCAACTTGTAAAAACACACACTATCCAACCAAATTTCTCTCAGGCCCAGCTGTGGCTCTGACACTCACCTGGTAGTCACACTCCACCCCTGACCCTGGTCCCCGCTGGGCTCCCCCACGACGGTCCTTATCCATTCAGGGCGCTGGCTCATATAAATACAATTTTCTGCTCATTTAATCCATTGCTCTGTGACCAGCTTAGGAGCGGGCTCTGGGAAGTGGGGTGCTTGGGGACACACAGAGGGGCAGCTGAGCTACATTTTTTCAGGCTGGGGTGTGGCCTGAGCCCTGGGGGCCTTCAGCACTGAAGACAGACTCAGATGTGTGGCTGATCCGGCCCCCTGGACACTATGGGATGCTCTTGACATGCGGTTAGAAAAAGATCGTGGAAGCAGCCCGAAATCAGATTATTTTCTTGGACTTGCCTCTGATAAATTGAGCATGACAAGCACTGGCCATGAGCAAGCGGAGGCACTGAATTAGCAGAGGGTTTCAGAAAATTTGCTTCTGATTATTTGAAATGTTACAGCCTCCTGAGTGACAAACACAGTTGTTCTGCCCTTGGGTTGGGGGGCGCAGGTCTGGGGGGGGGACTCTGCAGGCACCAAACATCTTGGAGATGACCAATGACGTCAACAACAGAAAAGGCACCGTGCTTGGCTGATGCCAGATTGTTCTAAAGGGTTTGCACCACACTAGCAAGAACAAAAAACCACACAACCCTCAACAATAAACAGAGCCCCAGCCCCAGCCCCCAGGGACCCCATCTTACTTTCCGGTCCTTGGTGATGGCCCAGACCACAGCGACTCCCACCGAGACGTGCATGATCCCGTTTTCAGATGTGGGAGGCTCCACCACGGACCAGGAACTTCCTACACAGCCAGGCAGCCCCCATCAGTGACAGCCCTGGGGAGAAGCTCGGCGCCCCCCTGCCCCAGCATGGGTGTAGGGCTGGCCCCAGAATGCCCACCTTTGGGATTGTTCCTGCTGATTCCTTCCCGGACCAAGGCTTGCCCCTCCCAGAGCGTAACCCACAGGAGGTCGTGGGGCCCACAGCTGATCTGGGCTGCCTCTGCTGGGGTGTCCATGAGGGACCAGGATGAGCCCTCGGGGTTGGGGTGGCTGACATCCTCTCTGTACCACACCTGGGAGGCGAGAAACCCACAGGGAGGGTCAGCGGGGTTCGGCCAGGGCTCCGTGGCTGCGTCAGCTGCCCAAGCTTGGCTGCGTTCGCAGCACAGCACACACGGGCCAAGTGGGGAGTCTTGGGGGACCCGGGGACCAGGGTGCCCTGACTGTGGGACTAGGTGACCCCCAACTCTGTTAAAAAAATGCAAACCCTTTGGGCCTTCCTAGGGGACAGATCCCATCCCTGATCTGCTTGTGAGAACCGCGCCCCGCCCCACTGCCCCGTGAGAACTCCAGCCCCAGCCCAGGTGTCCTGCGCCCCCTAGTGGTGTCATGCTCTCAGGACACCCGTCTCTAGGGGAAATCAGGGTGCCCGGTGATTAAATGGGAAAACTCCCAAATCCCTTTCATACGGATGTCCAAAACATCCACTTCTTTTTCTCCTTAATGCGAAGAGAATGAGCATAACCAACTATTTAAGGCTGAGCCACCTGTTCATATCATCCAAACTGGCTCATTTCATCTGGAGGAGGCAGTGCACTGCCGCACGGTCCAGGAGGGCTGGGGACCTCCTCCGGGGAGCTGTCGCCACACGGGGGACCACAGCTCCCAACCCTGCCACCTCGCCCTCACAGCCAGCACTGCAGAACCAGGCCTGGGCAGCCTCCCGTTGGCTACCTGCTGTTTTGGGAGCCCTGTTGTCTCCCCAGCTCCTCCCGGAGCCCAGGGTCCTGGTCACACCTTTTATGGATCACAGCAGGGGAGCAGGGCAGCACTGCCTCACAGCTGGCACCCGGTGACACGAACACTACTCTTGCACCCCCGTTCTCCCCATCCCTGCCTCCAGGGGGGCACAGCCCCTCGGCAGGGGCTCTGTCTCGGGCCAGCTCCCCCAACACTTCAGTGTGGCTCAGAGAAGACAAGTGTGGGTTGACCTGAGCCCAAGCCGAACAGGACCCAGAGGTAAGGCTGATAAAAACCTGCCGTGACTCTTCCAAAGCCAACCAGAGAATCTGGTCAATTTGTGGTGCAGAGCGCTGAGGAGTCACCAAGGGCCCCAAAACCACGACGAAAGAGCTGGAGCACCTGCACGCAGGATAGCTCTGTTGCTGCTGACCTCAGGGGTTGGTTTTGTTCTTTCACTTAGTTCACAAACTCCCTAAGAGAAGGATGTCCTCTTCTCTCTAAACCCCCACCCACCCACCCATCCATATACCCATCCATCCATCCATATACCCACCCATCTACCCATCTGTCCACTCATCTATCCATATACCCACCCACCTACCCATCTATCCATCTATCCACCCACCCATCTACCCATCCATCCATATACCCACCCATCTATCCAACCATTCATCTACCCATCTATTCACCCACCCATCCATCCACATACCCAGCCACCTACCCATCTATCCACCCACCCATCTACCCATCCATCCATATACCCAGCCATCCACCCATCTACCCATCTATCCACCCACCCATCTATCCATATATCCACCCACCTACCCATCTATCCATCTATCCACCCACCCATCCATCCGTCCATATACCCACCCACCCATCTATCTACCCACCCACCCATCCTTCCTTCCATATACCCACCCACCCATCTACCCATCTATCCACCCATCCACCTATCCATCCATCCATCCATCCACATACCCACCCACTCACCCACCCACCCATCTACCCATCCATTCATATACCCACTCATCTACCCATCTATCCACCCATCCATCCATCCATCCACCCACCCACCCATCCACCTGTCCATCCGTCCATCCATATGTCCACCCACTCATCCACCCATCCCCCCATCCACCCACCCACCATCACTCATCCATCTATCGATCCATCCATCTTATACCCACCTACCCATCCACCTACCCACCCATCCATCTGCCATACTCCCAGAGACTGCTGTGTGGGAGGCACCAGAAGGGAGCAGGCAGAGAGCTCAGAATCTATCTGAGGAGACAATATTGATGGCATCTGAGTTCATGGTGGGCACTGATCAGTGCTCCGGGGGCTCAGAGGAGGGACAGGCCAGGACCAGGCATGGAGTGGGGCGTCAGAGGCTCCTGGGAGGGGCAGGTCCCAGTGGGTCCACAGGACAGCAGGAGTCACAGGACGGGGGTTGTGGGAGCCAGGTAACACGCTGCCTGCTCGGGGAAGCCCCAGCTTTGGGACGGGAGGTGAGGAGACGGTCTCAGGGGCAGGCTTCCTTCCTCCACCTCCCACCCTCCACCCAAAAGGCCAGCTTCTCTCCCACCTGTGGCCGACCTCCCTCAGCCACCTCCCGTCCAAGGTACAGGGGGGCATGGCCTCACCTTTCCCTGCAGAGACACGGCCCACACAGACAGGCGGCCCACGGGCTCATCTGTGATTTCCCATCCCCCCACAGAGAGGTCATTGAAGGGGTCGGGCAGTTGCTTGGGGTCATCCTTCGAAGGGATCTGAAATGAGGTGTGAGGCAGTGGCAGTCAGGACCTGTGGGCACCTTGGCCAGTAGAGGGCACTGCTCCCCTCCTGGTGGGCGCCTGGTCCTGCACCACGGCCCCCACACGCCCCCTGCAGCCTCCAGCAGGCTGCCTTCCATTCTCCAGCTCAGCGCACCACCTGACCTCACAGAGCAGGCACATGAGGACAGAGGCGTCTGCCCTAAATCTCCTCTGCCCCATCCTCTATCAGCCACCAGGCCTGGGCTGCTGTCCCCGAGTGGTCACTGCTGCTCCAGAGTGGAAGGCAGACGCACATACAAGGTCTCGGCTCTGCGCTTTGCAGTGACTGACTGTGACTCCAGCCCCGTCTAGAAGGGAGCGGACACAGCCCTGTCCTGTGAGCCCTGCATGACGCCGGCTGTCACCTCGCTCGCTGGGCTGCTCCCAGCCCCACCTCACGGCCCTGACCCTCCGGAGAGGTCTGGTGACGGCCCAAGGGCTTCCTCTCGTTCAAGGCCGTGGAGGACCCGGGTCCAGGCCTCGTGTCCCTAAGTTGGGAGGTTTTTCCGGGTCACGGGAACAATGTGAGAGCCAGAGTGGCATCCATGGGGGTGAGGGGAGGAAGGGCACAGACTGAGCCTCAGTCTGGGACCGGACAGCGGAGACCCCGGTCAGGACAAGTCCTGTGCTGTCCCAGCTCCTCATGTTGCCATCTCCCAAATGAAGGGACACGCAGCGCTGCAGTGTTCCCAGGGCAGGAGAGGACTCGAGGCAAGGTCTCAGGGTAGGCGTGGTGAGGAGGGCAGGGGAGGCTCCCTGTGACTGCCTTCTGGGCCCCGCCCTGCCCCCAGCCCACCCCGCAGGCTCGACCTTGGCCCAGGAGTCGCGGGACTTGTATCTCCTGTACCGGATCCACCGTCGCCTCCGCACGCAAGAATTCCACTTCTTGTCCCTGGTGTAGGTGGCAGGGAAGTCGATGGCATACGTCCACCCCTGAAATACCAAGGGGGCTCTGTAGGGCTCTTGGGGAAGAAAGCTGAGGAAGGTGGGGGGCAGGCTGGAAGAGAGGGAGGGGACAGCGACATGGCCCAAAGCACCATCCCCAGCAACCCTGGGCAACAAGCGGGGAGTGGCAGGGCGCAGGCTGAGGTCGGCAGCCACAGGGCAGTGGGGACAGCACTGGGGGATGGACGGAGCAGAGCCCAAGACGCTCCCTCCCCACGGGGAGGCACGGAGGGAAGCGAGTTCACCTACCCCTTTCTCGGTGGGTTCCCCTCCAAAATTCTCATCCACGTACCAGTCTGATTCCCATTCCCAGTGCAGCGAGGGCAGCGCCACCCCATCCAGCGGCCGGTGCTGGAGCCCACTCACGTCACTCCACGGCCAGCGATCACTCGGCAGGAGCTTCTCACAGAAGCCACCCACGGGGTTCCAGCGCTGAGGGCCAGAGGCAGAGACGGGCCTTAGGCCTGCAGCTGGCCTGGGACAGCAGCAGTCTCTCAGGGAACATAGCACCCTGCCAGCAGGCCCTCCTGGTTGTGTCCAAGGTGGGAAGTGAGCAGAGGGCCTGCCTGGAACTCAGGGATCAGCAACTCCCATGACTCTTCACATGAGCCAGCACGCGGCCCCAAAGGGCAGAGACCTGGCCAGCCACAGTGCCCCGAGGGGCGGGCAGTGGAGGGCATGGCCCCATCCTGGGCCCCTGGGAAATGCCCGGAGCCCATCCTTTTGCAGATCTGGCCAGCCTGCCTTGGTAAAGACACAACAGGCACTCTGGTCCCAAAGACCCTGGATTCTATACCACTCAGATTTTAAATAGGATGAAAGATTTGGGAAGTGGCCAGGAGTCGGGTGTGGGGGCTTTATCTCCCAACAAACCAACCAACTCAGCAACCCAAACACACGAGACCCCACCTGATTCTCATAGGCCTCCTCCCGGCGGCGGATGGGGACGTCGCTGGCGCAAACGTACACATAGACCTGGTTGTCGCACGCGATGCCCCAGCAGCACTGAGTGGCCGCGCTGACCCGCTTGAACTCCAGCTGGGTGTCCTTGCACAGCTCCCAGTACTGCCCAGCTGTGGAGAGTGTGTACACCCTCCCGAAGAGATCCACCGCCCAGAGCACCGAGTCAGGCATGGCGGTGGCGGCTGGGGGACAGCTGGTGACAGGAGGGCCAGAGTCAGTGTCCGCGGCCCCAGGCTCCCAGTCTAGGGCCCTTTTTCATCATTGCCTTTCCTTTCCTCTAATTATGGGGATATTTTTCAAACATACAAAAAAGTACAGAGAAAAAAATATAACGTCAAAGTATCCACCGCCCCAAATTTAGTGAATATTATTATTCGGTCATCTTTCCTGTCAAAAGAATGAATGAAAAGCCATAGATTTAGCTGAGTCCCAAATATACACACATCTTGCTGCCCATGTGACCTTCCTGTATGGGTGTGGTGGGGACATCCACACGTGCCTGGCACCCCAGCCAGAGTCTTGTGTGGTCCTACGGGAGCCCTGAGGCTGGGTGATGGAGATGTGAGGGTCCTATCTTCACCCTCCTTGTGTGACCACCTCTCTCTCTGCCCCAATCTCACTCTTCTGTCAGTCTCCATTCCTGTTCCTTATTCTCTCCTCTTCCTTCCTATTATGTAGGGGATGTCCGTGGTGACTGATAAGCTCTTCAGTGAACTAGTAAAGATAAGCTCTACTAGTCAACTCCTCATCCCCCAGGCTGCTCCCTGGGTGTCACTCCTGGAGCCCTGGCTTCTGGAAGGGACAAGCTTCCTGCTGGTGGCAGGGCCACATGGTCAGACCCACGGCAGTAAAACAGAGCAGCTGGACAAGGGCGGCAGTGGAATGGCAGCAAGGAGCTCTGCCTCACAGGGCACCTCCCACATCCGAGACCAAACACTGCCCTGGGGCCAGGATCGAGGGAAGAGGCTAAAGGTGAGGACGCCACCAGTCTGGTTTGGAAACTGGAGCGACCAAGAGACAGAGCAACTCTGGGTGCCTGGAGGCTGGTGCCCTGCTGTTCCACTCTTGCGGCATGCCAGAGGCACGTGGGCACTTCAGAAGGCATGGAGACTGGAATGAGCACACGGATGAAATGTGTCTGAAAACAGGAGCATCTGCCATGGACAAACAGGCTCTTTCAGAACAAAGCATGTCTTACAAACACCAAGAAGAAAGAGTGCGGGCTGGGAAGGAAGTGACCGAAGGACAAGGAACAGAAAGAAGGGTAGCGGAAGCAGCAGGAGGCAAGCATTGGGAAACATCCAGAACAGGAAGAGAGATGACAGGAGGGAGCCTGACCAGCGGAGCGGAGCAAGCCCCAGGGGGCCCGCCACAGAACCTCGGAACACCAAGGCCCAATCAACCACATGGGAAGTCAGAACACTAGCCTTCTGATGCCATTTGAAAACTGGCATCTGCGTCCAGGTGCCTGAGCTGGAACCCCCGGAAGAGCTGTGGTAACCCCCTGATATCCTTTTGCTTCTCCCTGGTCAGGGATGAGTGTCCACTATCGCCCTCTGGCATCTATACTGTGACGAAGGGTGCCGACAGTCACTGCTGGAATTCAGGTCCTGCCTCCACCACTTTCTAGCACCGCCAAAGGCCAGGTAACCCCTCTGTGTCTTGATTTCCTAATCTGTAAAAGGTACGAAGGAATACTGACTGACTTAGATAGTTGCTGTGAGAATTAAATGAGATAATACAGGATCAGAGCTTATAATAAAGTTCTACCCAGCAAGAACTCAATGAGTGTTACTGATGTCATTTTATTACTTGGCCGGTAATACCACAAACTCCCACTTATCTTCTGTCTCTTCGAAAACAACAAAAAAATAAAGTCCCCTCCTGTTCAGCCTGAGTCTTCAGTCTCTTCATTTCCTCAGCCCCGAACAGTGTTCTGCACATAGTAGGTGTTCAACTAAAGTTTACAGATAATCACCACGACCTACATCCACCATACTGCCAACTCCCTGAGCTGAGATGGAAATACTGCTCCAGGGAAGCCAAAGTCATCAATGACTTAAGGTTAGAAGTAAGGTCATAACAGGTGGATAGCTGTGTGATAAAGCAAGCATAGTAAAAATCTTGGTGGTGGGTATGTGTTTACCGTATAATTCTTTCAACTTGGTTGCATGTTTGAAAATCATCATAAATTGCTACGGAAAAAGTAAAGGTTTTTTTTTTGGAGGGGGATGTCATTTCCTACAGTGTCATATTAATATGAATCGAATCTTCAAAGACAGATCTCAACTCACAGTTCACCACATAAGCAACCAGTTAACTCACGCTGTCTGCAGCTTGAGCTCAATGAATAGTGACTTTGACTTGTATGTGATAGACGTTCCTTCAGAGAAATGACTAAGCAGTAATTTCCGTGTAGACATAATTGAAACTTCTGGGCAGCTAACGAAAGACTCTGCTGCAGAGGAAGGATGAGGTTGGCGTTATGTTTGCATACTCCCTTCAGAGTGACTGGGCACCAGTCATTTCCTAGCTAAAGATGACACAGGGTGAACATCCTTGGGCAGCTGCACCTCCTTCCCACCTCTGCCAGAAGGCCGCCCCAACTCCTCGCATGCCTCTTTCCAGCTGTGGGATGATCAGGTAACCTGTCCAGGGACACCGGGTCACTGGGTCGGAGGACTCTCAAAAGGAGGGTTGGAGCATTGAGTCCATGATTCTAGGATCCTGGGATTTCTTTGTTTTGTAGGGGTGAAAGGACAGAGGGAACATCTTACAAGAAAGCAACCTCCGATTCACCAAGAACTTTTGCACAATGAATTCCAGTTGGACCTTCAGTCATTCCACTAAGAAGGCCAGCGCACCGCCCTCAGAACCATTTGCCTTTCTGCATGGGCTTATTAACAGATCTCTTCAGAGACCAAAAGGTCCCCAAGGGAAGGTGTGGGTGGGGGTATGGTAGAGGGTGCAACGCAGTCCCAAGGGAGCTCCTGAAGCATTTATTTCCTGGAATCTTCCTTAGGACGCCTTCCTGAAAGGGTTCCTGCTGGTTTGTTTTTCTATTACACCCTGTCATTCCCACCACCTGTGCAAACAGAGTGAGCCCCGGCTGCTAAGGTCTCTTTTACTGTCTGCCAATTGCGGGGGCTGTTGAAAGACGACATCAGGCTCCAAAGAGGTGAGAGGAAACAGCAGGACATGCATGGTAGTAAAACCCTTCCTGAAGAGCAGAAGGTGCCCTGAGGGAGCAGCCCTGAAGAGGAGCCCCCTGCCCGCCATCATCGCGGGCCGGTCAGCCTAGTTTCATTCCGGTTCCACGCACTTGGGCGACAAGGCGGGCTCCTTCCCTGCCACCAGCAGCATTGTCGGCGCCCCGCCCAGACCATCTGCCAGCGCTAATCCCGCGACAAGCAGATTTGCCCCCATCACTGCCCAGAGAAGGACCAGAAGCTCCATCCTCTAAACCCTTCAGGCTCCAGCAGCCCGATTCCCAAATCACTCCAGAGCAAAGGCTGGGGTGGGAGCGTCACCTGTCGCTGCGTTCCCGAGGAATGGCAGCGGCGCTCCGCCAACCGTGCAGGAAAGAGCACGAGCACAGCCCCTGCCGCCCTCCCCGCGAGTGTCGGGGCAAACGCAGCCGCCACAAGAGGAGGCGCCGCTGCCCTCTGCCGCCCCCCGACCTGTCCAGAGCGACCGTGGCGGCCGTCGCACGGCCGGGACCCGCCGCTGCACTCACCTGGGCCGGCGCCGAGCGGCCGGGTCGCGGCGATTGCCCCTCGGCGGCCGGGAAACCTCGCCGGCCCTCCCCCGCGGGCCGGCCGAACGGGCGGGCAGGAAGCGGCGGCCAGGCCCGCGCCCATTGGCCGGCTTCGCGGTGACGCGAAGGCCGGGAGCTCATGATTGGCTGAGACGTGTCGCGTCACGCCCACTTCCGGGGTCGCGGAGAAGTGCGTGCTGCTGGAGGCTCGTGGGGCGAGCTTTCCGCGCGCTCCCGGGAGCAAAGCGGACCCGCAGCCCACCTGCCGCCCCCACCAGGACCGCCCTCCGTCGGGACCCGGCTCGTCGATCCCCAGGACCCGGCGCGCCGACCCCCTCGGACCTGCCCGCCGGAGCAGGCGGTGTGTTCTCGGGGTGCATGCGAGGAGAGGGGGCGGGTCTGGACAGTGCCCGGGTGCGCCCCGCTGCAGAGACCGGAGGAGAGAGGAGAGCCGGCGAGTGGGCGCTCAGCCCGGGACATCCAGACAGGTGTCCAGCTGGTTTCCATCTAACTGAAACGTCGCCCTTGAGCCCACAAACGTACAGCTTTAACTTTCTTGGGAGAAATCCTTGAAACCTGTAATTTTGTGAATTCAGCATGGTGTGGTAGCAATAACAGGTCACTGTTTCGTTCAGACTCTTGTGTGGCCGGTGACAGAAAAGATAACTTGAGGTCGCTAATATGTGAGTGCTTGCGGGGTGCCAGGCGCTGATGGAAGTGCCATCTGTGTACCCTCTCATTTCGTCGTCGTCCCCCCCCCTCACCCCGACAACCCAGAGAGGGAGGTGTGGTGTTATTCCCAAAGTTAGGATGGAGAAAGAAAAACAAAACAAAGGAAAATGTGATTGATGAAAGGCCAGGCACTTATGGGCCTAGAGGCTGAAACAATGTCACTTGGACTTAGTTTCCCTCTGCCTGGTTCTTGCTCCTTTCGGAGGATGCAGACCGGCTTTTCCCTGGTCATGATGGCTGGAGAAGCACCACGTGGGCGGGTTCCAATGGGAAAAAAGGCAAAAGCCTCCAATTCACCCTGGATGGCTTTGTGGAGTCCTGTGTGTAACCTTGACCCTAGCTTGCACGTGAGGGAATGGCATTTGTGGACTGGCTTAGTCTGGAGATGTGGGTTGTTACGGACTGTATGTTTGTATCCCCCCGAAATTCATACATTCAAACTCTAATCCCCAATGGGATGGTATTTGGAGGTGGGTTCTTTGGGAGGTAATTAGGTCATGCAGGAGGAGCTCTCACGAAAATAGTGCTGCTATAAAAGAGTTCATGTGCCCTCCCCTTGTGAGGATACGGTGAGAGAGTAGCTGTCTACAGGCCAGGAAGCAAGCTGTCACCGGACACCAGGTCTGCTGGTGCCTTGAGCTTGGAATTCCAGCTTCCAGAACTGTGAGAAATCAATGTCTCTTTCTTTAAGCTGCCTAGTCTATGGTATTTTTGCTATGGCAGCCCACGCCACCTAAGATGCACAGCGTGAGGGCTCAGCTAGACGAAAGGGATGGATCCTCAGAGGAAAATTAGGGTCCTGTTGGCAGGAGGATGAGTGGCTGCTTGACTACAGAAATAATAGTCTGGAAGTAGGGAAACCTGGATTCTGTTCTGTCTGTGACCCTTTGTAGCCATTTCTCCTCTCTGGCCTCAGTTTCCGCATTAAAAAAAGGCATTGAATTAGGAGCTCTCCATGGTCCTTGTGGTGCTCATGTGCTGTGATGGAGTTCAGTAGCAGTTTTCCCGAATTCAGGATCGGACACAGCAGCCTTTCTGGGGACCCATGTTCCTCCCTCCTCCCAACCCTCCTCGCCGAGTCCTTTCAGCCTCTGCAGAGCTGACTCTCTTCACTTACTGTCAGGAGGTCTGCGTTTTCCCACCCTCACCGCAACTGGTAATTCTCATTCTCATTTCTGCTTTTTCATTTCAACCTTCATTTCTTCCTTGGTTTCTTTTCTAACCTTGCCACTTGTCTCCTGGGCCGGACACAGTGGGTTCAAATCCCAGCTCCATCCCTCTCTGTGTGAGTCACTGAGCCTCCGAGCCTGTGTCCCCATCTGTAAAACGGGAATAACACCGCCAGTGAGAAGGTGCGTGTAAAGCACTTAAACGGTGCCTGGCCTCCAGCGAGCGCTCACGTATTCCTAGTGTTACTATTATACTCTGTGTGTATTCAGGTTTGGGGCACGTGGCCATTGGCATCCCTGCTTAGTGAGAGTTCCAGAAACACTTTAGAAACAACACTTGCTTCAGCAGCATTCCAAATGATTGACAGAGGGCTGCTTTCAGGATGTCAGACATCACGGTATATATTTCTGGTATATGGACCAGGGAGGGATGGCTGGACTGATGCCAGGCTGGGCTTGCTAAACATCCCCAATGGTTGCCCATCAGGTACAGGAGAGAGCTCAGGCTCTTCCCGATGGCTTTTCCCCACCCGACTCCACCTTCCATGGTAGCCTCGTTTCTACTGAAGCTCCCATGAACCTTTAAGCTTCAGCCTTGGCAGAATTCACTATGGCAAGCCCTCTCTGACTCTGTCAGACCTCTAGGCTTCCCCCACAGGGCCCCCACTGTCCCACATGTCCTACCCACCTCCCTTCTTCCGTTGTCCATTCTCATTCAGCCTTACATCTCAGATCAAAGGCATCAAAGGTCAACTCTTACTGAACCCAAGGGAAAGCAGACCTGGGTTATCGTGCCTTCATACTTTGTCCATTCTCCATTCTAACCCTTCATGTATTGTACTATGATTGCTTGTTTTCCCGTCTCCCTGACCACATGGTGAGATATACATGGGAGTGACTTTCTTATCTGTATTGGAATTTCCAGGGCTTAATAATTGCCTAACACATAATAGGTACTCAATTTTTATTAACAGAATGAATATTCTTCCCTTAATCCCCCAGAAAATGGGTAAGTCATGCATTGAAAAATGTTGGAAGAGGCTGAGCAAAAAGGGCAGAGATTAGCAGAACAGGCCCGCACACATCTCTCTCTCTCTTTCTCTGTTTCATCCCCCACCTCTACCAGTAACGTATGCACTAGCTTGGGCCTCTCCTAACACTGCTTCAGGTAGGCTCTCCATGTGTTAAGCGGAGGGGGTTAAGTTGTTCTAGCTCTTTCTGACGGCATATCTCTTTGTTAACCACTGTTTGATTTTTCAGTGGAAACTATTATTTGCTGGGAGTAAACTCTCCATCGCAAGTGGCTCGCAGTGTTTTTACTTTTAATTCTTCTTAAGTCACTCCTCCCTTTGTAAAGCCACTGAGTCAAATGTCTGGCAGTGAGCCTGGTACTCCTGAGGCAGGACCCCGGACAGCCTCGTTCCTTGGCTTCAGCTTCCCCTTCTCACCACTCAGCCGGTAGTGCCCAGCTCCCGGGGTAACCCACACTGTACCCAGCCACTTCCTTCACACTCTGCTGATTAAATGAATTTCAACACTTTTGTTCTTCTTTGCGATATTTAAGATGCTCGATGAAGCAGCTAAAAATGTGGTGTTTCCCCCGTCTCTGGAAGAGGAAACCTTGCAGAAACTGTCTGTAGAAAAGTTCAACAAAGGGGCCGGCCCAGTGGCACAGCGGTTAAGTTTGCACGTTCCGCTTTGGTGGCCTGGGGTTTGCTGGTTCAGATCCCGGGTGCGGACATGGCACCGCTTGGCAAGCCATGCTGTGGTGGGTGTCCCACATGTAAAGTAGAGGAAGATGGGCACGGATGTTAGCTCAGGGCCAGTCTTCCTCACCAAAAAGAGGAGGATTGGCAGCAGATGTTAGCTCAGGGCTAATCTTCCTCAAAAAAAAAAAAAAGAAAGAAAGAAAAGTGCAACTCAAAGTTCATGTGCATGTCCAGATTCACATATCTAGATACAGGCAACAATGCCTTGAAGTAAAGAAGTGATGTTTTTCTTTCTAAGAGAAAACTTACGAAAGTTCCAAAACCTAAAACCCAAACAGACAAACAAACAATGGGCTAAACCTGGAAGCCAGTGATAGTCGCTGTCTCAGCTGTCAACCTTGGCCTGGTCACGCGGTTATGCAAACATGGTCGAGTCGAGTGTTCGTTGACACACATATTTGGAGTGCTTGCTGTGTGTCAGCTTCTGTGCCAGCGCTCGTGGGGATTCAAACTGGCCAAGGGACCTTTTCACCTGGAGTTGCCAAGGTCCAATGGGGGAGAGAAAAATACTTTAGAAGGCAGGCAAGACTGAAACCCACAGGGGTTTATTTAAATTGTGTTTATTATACAGGTGGTTAATTAAGGGTTAAGGAGGCGAACTGAGAAGGTTAATGGGAAAGTACAAGGAGCCAACCACTGGCTAGTGGTTAAGATTCGGCGCCCTCACCGCTGCAGCCCAGTGTTCGTTTCCCAGTTAGGGAACCACGCCACCCATCTGTCTGTAATGCTGTGACAGCAGCGTGTTGCTGTGATGCTGAAAGCTATGCCACCGGTATTTCAAATACCACCAGGGTCACCCATGGTGGACAGACAGGTTTCAGCAGAGTTTCCAGACTAAGATGGACTAGGAAGAAAGACCTGGCCATCCACTTCCCAAGTATTGGCATGAAAACCCTATGAATAGCAGCGGAACATTGTCTGACATAGCGCCGGAAGGTGAGAGGGTGGTGCAAAAAGACCGGGCAGGATTCCGCTCTGCTGTGCACAGGGTCACGAGGAGTCAGACTGACTCAGCAGCACCAACGACAAAGTACAAGGGTCAGGAGGAGACTGAAAGAAAGCCCAGGTTAAGCTACTTAACATAAACTAAGCTCCAGGAGGCAAAATGAAACTCGCACTGTCAGTCCATGACGTGTACGTACCACGAGGCACGTGGTCTCTATATTTATCTGGTGGGCCGGAAGCTTGTCAGGCAGGACCACCTTCCACTGGCTTTATGCATCGTTCTGCACCACACCACGTGACAGCCACTGGTTGACAGTCGTTTGAGGAGCTTCTAATGGCAATCAACTCTAGTGGCATCATCTGCCTCGTACCTGTGTGTAAAAGGAGCATCCTGTTTATTTGACTCCAGAAATAGAATTTGTCTGACAAACCGATTGCACCTAAAATGTCTTTCATTGTGTTTTACAATCATTTACACAAAGGAAGTTCATGATTAACCTACTCCAGGGTGACGTTGCCTATCCCAAACCCCATCAGCCCTCTTTCTAGTGCAGGAGTGGGGCTCCGCCGACTGCCGCCACAGGTGGGACCCGCTGGGTAGGGACTGAGGAAGCGGTTCCTGGCCTCGCTCTGCTGACCTCACCACAGCTCTCCCAGGCAGGCAGGGCCCTGAGAGGGAGGCCACCCGGCCAGTAGGGGTGAAAGCCGGGCCCAGATCCAGCTCTTCCACAACATTCTGCTATGCTTTTCCGCTCCTCTCCAAAAGCCAGGAATCTACAATGGCCGGAAACAGAATTAATGAAGATGTACTGCTAACTTTTTGCAAGAAGAAAAGCTTGAGGAAATGTAACAGACTCTTTTAGGAGTTAAAGAAGAGATGCTAGGACCAGAGGCATAAACCTAGACGTAGGGCCACTCTAGTTACAGATCTAAATGTGAAAGACAAAATGAACCTTCCCTTCTTGAAGATAACATCCTAAATATTTGAGATAAGGAAGGATTTCTACAAAAAAAAAAAAAAAAAAAAAAAAAGAAATGTAAAAAGCACCAACTGTAAAGGAAAAGATTGATACATTCGACTACCTTAATACTTAAGAACTTCTCTTTATCAAGACACCGTGAAGAGGGTAAAAAGGCGAGCCACAGAGCAGGAGAAGAATTCGGCAACACGCGCACCAACAGAGGGCTAGGATCCAGAATAGAGAGAGAACTCCTGCCCATCAGTAACAAAAAGATGAACATCTAAATTGAAAAAAAGGCAGAGAACTTGCATAGACACTTGAGAAAAAAGAGGAAATACAAATGGCCAACAAACTTAGGGAAACGTGCTCAACCTCAGCAGTAAGTGGGGGAACGAAAATTAAACCTACAAAGAGAGGCCTCCCAGATAGGCTAAGGGGAGGCGCAAGTGGGGCCTGACTGGGGAAATCAATCTAACAGGGCTGCCCTGGGGTCAACAATGCCTGAAATAATATACACACCAGGGACCCACACGAGATCATTATCAGCAGCACTGTCTGTAACGGCCCCAGGGGTCCAGCAGTGGAATGGATAAATAAATGTGGTATGGTCATAAAATGGAATATTATTGGTAACAAAAGTTGAAGTACACCGAAATGCAACAACATGGATGAATCTTGAACATAGGCCGAGTGAAAAAAGCCAGATCCGAAAGAGTATATATGACCCCTTTTATACGTGAAATTCAAAAATAGGCAGAACTCAATTACAATGTTTAAGGATGTGTGTTTAGTGGTAAAAGTATAAAGACAAGTAAGTGATTACCATAATGTCACCATAACAACCAGGATGTGGATGCCTTTGGGCACCAAAGGGACAGGCTAAGGCTTTGGGATTGCTGCCAATGTTTCAGTTCTTTTTTTTTTTTTTTTATTTTTTTTAAAGATTTTATTTTTTCCTTTTTCTCCCCAAAGCCCCCCGGTACATTTTTGTGTATTTTTCATTGTGGGTTCTTCTAGTTGTGGCATGTGGGACGCTGCCTCAGCGTGGTCTGATGAGCAGTGCCATGTCCGCGCCCAGGATTCGAACTAACGAAACACTGGGCCGCCTGCAGCGGAGCGCGCGAACTTAACCACTCGGCCACGGGGCCAGCCCCCAATGTTTCAGTTCTTGACCTGGATGGTGGTTCCATAAGTTCTGAATTATAACAATTCACAACGTTTACGTCTTATACACTTTTCTTTGTGCATTTTACAATTGAAAAAGGTTTTTAAAAAGAACATATGGTAAAAGCAACTGTCTTAGTTTTGCATGAATGGGATAACAGCAGTGGCATCTCACATGATTTTTTAGAACGCCATATCTCAAACAATCCAGAAAAAAGATAAGATTATGTGCCCTGGAAATCTGTCTGAGGCACAGAGCGGGCTCTGGGGTGACAGTGACACCAATGTCAAAGATGGAGAGAAGTTTAAGTAAAGTCATTTCCAGAAAAGTAAGGGCAAAGAACACTTTCTAAAGATAATATTTTCATATAAAATGTGATTTGAATTATGTGCATAAAACCAAATTAATCAATATTATAAATAGACATTCATTTCATTTTCATTCTCAAAAAGTTGAGACCAAGTCGACCACATTTTTTGCGGGAGCTTCTCTTCCTCTTTCCAGAAGAGTCTTCTCCATGTTCGGGCAGTGCCAGTAGCTGTTACCCAGCCCGCCATGACAGAGTGCTAAGGTACAGGGAAAGAAAGTAATTTGCCAGTGTTCGCACAGCTAGTCAGAAGTCTTGGGGAGCAAACCAAAACACAAAAGGGAATCCATGGCCACGGGTGTTGTGTAGCTTATAGAATCAACAGAAGTCTGGAAAGCCAGGCTGAGAAAACAGGCAAGAGCCGAGGGTACCTGAGAGCCAGAACCACAGCTCAGTTGTTGCCATAGCAACAGCCTGATCAGGATGTGGGCAATGATGCTGTTGGGCATCGCCTCATTGCCACCGTCTCCACTCAGCTCTGGACCCCGGATGCTGGGTGCTGCTGCCACAGGTGGAACGCTTTCCAATCTGTCTGTTCTTTTTGTCACTCACTGCAGACCCGAAGTCCTATGCTCCAGTGGGCCAACACCCAGTCCTTTGCCCATGTCTTAGGGACTGGGGGTTTGACAGAGCAAGGATCTCACCTTTTTGGGTCCCTACCAAGACTCCCAGAATTCTCAGGTGACTGAAGGGAGTTCACACTCTGAACAGTCAAAATTCCAGTCGTTGTTCCTTAGAGCCAGTCAGTGGCAGGGCTGGGACGACATGAGTTTCTACTGTCCCTTCTGTCTTGCTTTGGACCTGGGGACTGAGATGGGTGGTGAACACCAGTAACCAGTGGCAGTGTCCTGACCCCCTTGCATAGTTGCTAGGGTCAGATCCCTCATGAATGGAAAGCTCGCACTGCTGTGCTGGAAGCTTCTGAGCTCACCCCACACAAGAGAAGTCCCAATGGCAGCCCTTTAGTTACTTTCAAGCCAATAATCAGCAGGGTGAGGGTGGTATAGCTACAAGGAGCACAAAAAGAAATACTCCAGGCTCCTGTTGTCAATGGGCTCGTGGTCTAATCTCCGAAAAACATCAGCTGGATCTTACTGCTACCTTTAATGTAATGTCTTTAAAATGCCTGAATTCCTCTTTCTGGCCTCCCATTGCGTTTCCGAGTAGGTGTTTTAGGGGTGAAGTGCTCCATGCGAGATCTCTTTTCCCAATTTACATTTGACAGTTATTGCCAGTCTTCTTTCTCCCTAAATGATAAAGATCGCCAGTTAAAGGAAGCTTTAGGGGTGTGAATTTCAGGATGGTTTGGCAAGCTACTTTGGTGCCTGGTATAGTTCTTTCAGCATTGTCAGTACTGGATAAATGCTGGAGAATGGCCCGAGATGGGGCAGGGAGTGGGTGATCTTGAGAAAGTAGGGCAAGAGATGGGGGTGCAGAGAGGGAGCGGGGAGGGAGGGAGAGAGAATTTGCTTCAGCTTTCGGGGTGCTTCCAAAGGCAGCCAAAGAAAAATGTCTACTGATCCAAAGACAGTCAAATTAAGTAAAACTTCGTAAAGGAAATTTCACCAGAAAGCAAAAAGGGTCAGAGAAGGGACCGGGGGCAGCGTGGGATCCCTGCCCAGGGCCTCTGGACCACCGAGAAGGACGGCAATCCCACCCTGAAACCACGCGAGAGGCACCTTTTCTTCCCAGATAGAAAGGAGTGAGTTGGACGAGGCTGTGCGTGACCCAGGCGGCTGTGAAAGCCCAGTGAAGTCAAGTCCTCGCCTGGCCAAGGATGACGGTGGGGTGTGGGAGGTCCCACGGCTGGGAAGGAGGCAGCTGGGATTCAGGGTGCAGGCCGTCGGCCCCAGAGCCTGTGCTTGCATCCCGAATCCCGACTGCCTCTCTGAGCGCTTTGAGGATTTCTCTGATGAGGCGACACGTCAGCAGAGGCCTGAATAAAGTGGTGTGAGGACACGGGTCTCTCCCAAAGAGTGAAGTGGACAGAGGGAACGACGAGTGCAAAGGGCCAGGACCAGCCGGGAGGCCAGGGAGGCTGGAGCCCGGGGATGGGAGGCTGAGTGGTAGATGAGCTCAGAGCGCCCCAAGGGAGAGGTCCTCTGGGGCTGCGGCAAAGCCATGAGTCATAACGAAACTCCTGAGATGCGTTTCTAAGAAGCGCACACGAGGGTAGTTGTAAGTGCAGATGAAGGGTGAGTAACAGACTGTGCTTTGTTGGCACTGATTTCATTAAGTGAACGTGGCAGACAGACCCGAGGGGGGCCCCCACGATCTCTGTCCCTGGTATAACGCCCTGCCTTGATTGTTGACTGACCTACGACTTCCTTCTGGCTAGCAGAATAGTGCAAAGAGGAAAGGATTTTGCAGACATAAATAAGGTCCCAAATCAGTTGATTCTGAGTTAATCAAAAGGGAGATTATCCTGGGTCAGCTTGGTCGAATTAGGTAAAAGCCTTTAAGAGGCACTTGGCCCATTCTGAGGCTGGGAACTCTCCTGCTGACCTTGCAGGAGCAAACAGCCGTGTTGTGAAGGGCCTCTGGGGAGGGCCACGTGGCAGGGGACTTGGGGCCTCTAGGATCTGAGGGCGGCCAATAACCAGCAAGAAGCTGCGAGGAAATGAAACCTGCCGACGACTCGAATGGGACTGGTGGCGGATTCTTCCCTACTGCTGCTTCCAGATGAGAACGCAGCCCAGCTCACACATGGATTGCTCACATCTGAGCAGAAGACCAGCTAAGGCGTGCCCAGACTCTTGACCCACGGAAACCGGGTGGTAATCACTGTGCGCTGTCTGGAGCTGCTAACTTGGTGGTATTCATCATGCGGCAGGGAAAACTAATCTAGCGGGAGATCGCTAACGTGGGCATGTTGTTTTTCCCCCTAATGATCAAGTGATGCTGCACACTTGTCTCTGTCTGTTTAAGATGAAACAGGGAAATGCTTGGGACCAAGGAACAAAGCCAATGGCCCCAGAAAAAGCAGGAACTGCCAGCACCGTGGTTACTCATGAGAACCAGGAGGTGCCAGGCCCGGTGCTCACACACTAAAGCCAGGTAAAGGGCCGGACCAGCGGTGTGTTCCCAGATGGATGATACATCACCCAAATGTCCTAAAGAGATGACGCAACCACTAGGTTCCGTCCTTCATTTCTTGGCGATGGAATTTCTCAATGGCCTTGCTAATTTTTATAGAATACCGATAAGGCAAACATACATTTTTAACAATGCTAACAGATCAAGTCACTATTTCATAAGGACAGGATGAGGTTCATACGTCATAAAAACCCAAAGATGGGTCATGTAATGCCACCAAGCATGATTTTAAAAATGCATAGTTTTAGGAAAGAACCAAAACCTAAGTGAAGAGTTTGAGCTTTCCAGATCTGATTGATACGGCAAATGACACTTACTTATAAAAAGCAACTTTAATCTGATGACCTGTAGCCTGGTCTGAATTGCCTTGGGAAGAACAATCTAGATCCGGCCCCAGGCAAGGATCAGCCCATCGCGAACCACAGTGCCTTAACTCGGCTGGTTAGGGATGGTCGTCTTTTTCTCTGGGGCCTTCAACCCTGGAAAAATATCAAAATTTTACAGATGAGGAAACTGAGTCACAGTGGGCTCCTGGTTAGTAGGTCAAGGAAATGCAGGACTGGAACCCAGACAGCCTGTCTTCCTGGAGTCAGAAAGCTGTGGGGGGGCCCTCCCTACCCCTCACATTGCCGTCTCTCCAGCTGGGGAGGAGGATGTCTCCGAAAACAATGGAAATACCAGTGAACTAGGTTCCCATGAAAATGTGCCAAGTGAGGGAGGCGGGAACTCAGAGGACAGACAGGCTGGCCTGTGTGGAAGGGGAGGACTCGGGGGACACGCTGAAGTGCTGGAGTGGATCCCGTGGGCGGTGGAGAGCCGTTGGAGGGTTAAAGCGGTGGCTCTTCTGGATGATTCTCCCGATGGTCGGTGTGAGGGGCGTGCAGAGAGGCTGGAGGCTGGGAGTCCCCAGGGAGGCTTGTAGGCGACACAGGCCGGGACCAGCAGTCACAAGATGGAAAAGATGACTGTGTGGCCTTTAAAAGAAAGCGCGCACAATTACACCTCAATAAGGCAGTTTTCTTTTTTTAAAAAAAGGGCAGAGTCCGGGGCCTGGTTCCCACAAGTAGAGATAGAAGAAGGGGATATGTTTTCCCAAAAATCATCCTGCAGCCTCCAGTACTGCCAGTCAGTGAACACAGGAACGTCCCGGACAGAGGGGACCCTGCTGGGCCCCTCCTGCCAGCCGTTGCTTTTCTGGGTCCTGATGCTGGTTTTCTTCTTCTTTCTTTCTTTTTTTTTTTTTGAGGAAGATTAGCCCTGAGCTAACATGTGCTGCCAATCCTCCTCTTTTTGCTGAGGAAGCCTGGCCCTGAGCTCACATCCGTGCCCGTCTTCCTCTACTTTATATGTGGGACGCCTGCCACAGCATGGCTTGCCAAGCGGTGCCATGTCTGCACCCGGGATCCCAACCGGCGAACTCCGGGCCGCCGAGAAGCGGAACGTGTGCACTTAACAGCTGTGCCACTGGGTCAGCCCCATGACAGTGGTTTTCTGCACAGCCCCTGGGGACCCCCATTCTCCTGGCGGAGGCCTAGAAGCACATTTCCCTTTTGCTTAGGTCCACATTGGAGCCACAGAAAGGACTTGTCCTAGGAAAGTAAGGGAAATGACCGAATGACTGCTGGCCTCACTTGGGGGGGGCCCTGGTCTTGGGATGCAGGAGGCCGTTCATGCCTACTGGTGGCTACCAGCCTCACCCCACCTGCCTCTGCTGATCCTTTCCGGGGACACGGGAAGCAGCCTGACACTGGGCCTTTGTCTCTGGTGCCTGTCACATCTTGTCCTCACCTGGCTGGCTCTACAGTCACGATCTCTCATAAGTCATGTTTTTATCGAGGATGCCCTTGGCAGTGGTATTAGACAGGCTTCTGCCCGGACCGTCCCAGCTCCCACAGGCGAAATGCGGTCAGCGGTGCCGCCAGCAGCCTCTTCCTGGTGGCAGGACTCCGGGCTCAGAACCTGAGAATCTTCGCGGCAAGGCGGGATTGTGAGGCTGGATTCCGTGCCCCCCAGAGGCCCCGCCCTGCCCAGTTCCTCCCCAGCCTCCCCGCCCGCGATGGCTCCTCCCCCGTGGCCTTCTCCTTTATCACTCCTTCATGTCGGCCCCTGTCCATCTTCTGCTGGAGTGTAAGGGGGCTTTTCCCAGCCCTGTCCTTGGCTCCCTCCCACGGCCCAGGGGTGTCTCGCTGAAGTTAGCCATGTCCACAGTGCAAGCAGCAGGTAGGAGCCAGGGAGGGACGGCGGGGTGGGCCTGGCCGGAGGAGACGATGGAGGGACCTGAGAAGGGGATGATGGGACGGGGAGAAGAGGTGGGGGGCCTTCCTGCAGTAGAGCTGGCCTCTCTTCTTCCCGAGGACCCCTGGCCACTCCTGTCCTCTGCCCACTGGTTTCACAAGCTGAGGCTCCAGGCCACACCAGTTCAAAGCCTCGGTTTCCCCTGGCCTGTGGGAGGACTGGGTTCTGGGTACTGCTGGGCAAACAGAGTAACGGGTGAGAGGAGAGGCGGGACCCTTACAGGCCTTGCAAGGGCCTTGTACAAATCCCCATCTGGGCGTGGTCACACAAGTCCCTTCCTGACCTAAGGAAGTGACCTTTCTGTCTCAACTTGGGTGTGGTCATTTGCTTCCCGCCAACCAAAGAAGTGCCTGGTTGGCACCAAATGCAGTGCTCTGGCAAATGGTAACAAGTTCACTTGAAGTTCACCTCGGTTTCTCTCTACCATCATAAACGAAACGGGTACCAGGTTTCAGAGGGAAATACCGCCTGTATATCTGAATTCACTTTCACGGATAGAGGGGAGAAAAGCTTCAGAGGGCCATCACTTCCCCCGAATGATACTCCGTGGTCACAAGACACTGCCGAGTGACATCCCAAAGAGCGTCAATCATCTCAACAGGCATCTTCCCTGCTATCTGGGCACTCCTGATTTTTTAAAACTGGAAATGGCCTTCTGGAATGATCCAGACCTATTTCTAGCCTGAGAGGGGATGCACTTCACGGCCTATGGGCCAGAGCTCAATTCTGGAGACAGAAGGACCTAGATTTGAATCCTCTCTTATGAGCCACATGATTGTGGGCACGTGACCTTGAGTCCAATTCAACAGTTACCGAGCACCCACTGTGTTCCGGGCCCTGGGGATACAGAGATAAGACCCTCTCCTGGTCCACAAGGGGTTCCGTGGCCCTGACTCAAGGGGAGACAGGCTCTTTTCTCCTCTGTAAATGGGGGTAACGGCATGAGTATGATGGCCCTGATATGAAGGATGAATCATGACACAGTGCCCAACACACAACAGGAGCGTGACGAGTATGGGTTCCTCCCTCGCAGTCCCTTTTAGAAATGGCAATTCCGTCATCCTGGGGATGATGAGGCAAAAACGTCCCCAGAGAAGAGACATTGTTATAATGCTGAAAGGATGTCTGAAGACTCGGAGGAAGAAAGGCTGGCTCAAGAGGTGACAGGACTTGCTCAAGTCGCACAGTCAGTTTGTAGAACCGGCCAAGTGGGGATCAGGGCTTCCCACCAGAGCTCACTTCCTCCACGTGCCTCCCTCAACATCCAAATCCGGCTGAAGTTTTCTTGGGTTCCCTCTGCCCCCAGTCAACAAGTCTTGGAAAAGCATCCCGTTCTGTCACTTGGAATATGGCAGAGATGAAAGGCGTTAAATTCGTTCTGCGCGTGGTTGCCACAAATGTGTTGATTTCCACGTTTTAGCCTGTTATTAGTCCAGACCCATCAGTTACATCTATTAATAGGGCACTGCGTTTTAGGGGTTTTGAGTACAGCTGCTTGGAAACTTATTCAGCTAGAAACTTGCTATCCAGAATTTACTCTTTGTTCTTGTGAGAATTGCTAGAAAAATCTTGACTTAAAGAGATGCTTTCTATGTTTCATTGCACGAGTAAGGGCAGTCTACTGAGCAGAATTCTTTAGTGAGGACCACCTCTTGGAGAATGAAGGGCATACTGCGGATTCAAATATAGCAATATATATTTTATCTGTGACAAGATTTACCGTGTGACTCAACATGAAACTGTGGACTGTGTCACGTAGAAACGAATGCGCTTAATTTATAAAATATTTACAAATATGTGCCTAATAGAATTGTAAGGCTTACCATAAAACTGAAAACTCAGTGTTTATCTAAGATAAACATTTCGCAAATATTCAGCAAATATTTGGCGAGGGCTTTCTCTGAGCCAGGCACTTGTCATTGGTTACAGCCTTGGGTTTTGAAATCTTTGCTTCCTTTTTTTTTTTTTTTTTTTTTGCCACAATCCCAACCATGTGAGACACTAGCTTCTTGAATGTGCAAGAAGCTCATGTGATGGGTTATCAGCACTTCTCACAGCCTGCCAGAAAGGGCATGATTCCTGTTCTGGTTTCCTCTGGCTACATCCGAGGAGAGCCCTTGGTGGCTGGCAAGGTCTGGAGGACAGTGACACCTCCCCCAGCCCCCAGGCAGGGCCCAGCACGTCCACTGCCTGACCTGGTCCCCTCCTGAGTGCTCCCAGCGACAACATGTACACATAGCAGTTAAAATCCTATTTATTGGGGCTGGCCCTGTGGCCGAGCGGTTAAGTTTGTGCGCTCCGCTTCAGCGGCCCAGGGTTTCGCCGGTTTGGACATGGCACCACTCATCAGGCCACACTGAGGTGGTGTCCCACATAGCACAACCAGAGGCGCTCACAACTAGAGTACACAATTATGTACTGGGGGGCTTTGGGGAGAAGAAGAAGAAAAAAAGAAGATTGGCAACAGTTGTTAGCTCAGGTGCCAATCTTTAAAAAGAAAATCATATTTACTCACTTTTAAATGGAAATGGCAATACTAAAAATTTTTTAAAATATACACGATATAAAAGTGGATTAGAAGCAGGATTTCAGCTATCTGAGAAAGATGCACAGACAAAAAGGCATGTTCCAAGTCTTCTTCAGTGAGAATGTATTTCTGGTAAATCGACAAACGGTGGTTGGTTTTTCTTGGGCACTTGGCGTGGAGGCTGGGGGCGTGACGGTCAGGGTCATGCACTGGATTTGGGGTCTGAAGATCCACCTTTCCTGGTTGGGAGACGTGGGAGAAGTTACGGGCCCTCTCTGTGCCTTGGTTTCCTCATCAAGCAACTGGGGGATGTCGGTGCCCAAGCCATGGGATGGCCCCGAGGGTGAACTGCCATAGAAAGTAGGTCGTAGGTGAGATTATTCCCGGGCTCACTTCGAAGTCAGCATCACTAACCTCACGTCAGCTCTTACGCTGCCCCGCAGTCAGCTCCGGACTCTCTGGCCTGCTCAATAGCCCATTCTCCTCTGTGACTGTCACACCTTTCTCTTGTCTCCTGGGTCTCAGCTGCTGACCCTGCTTCCTGTTCAGATGGAAAACAGAAGCAGTCAGGAGAGAGCGCCCCCTCCGTCCAGCGCCCGCGTGCTCGGGCGCCCATGTGCTCTGCCTTCTCGAGTTCCTGTGGGTGACTCATCTGGGATCCTGGGGGGGCTGTCCCGCCCGGCGCTGGCCCCCATCCCCTTTCACCTCCTTCCTCTCCCCCGCCCTTTCTCCTGCATCCCCCCTCTTCCGCACCTGATTGTTCCCACCAATTTATAAACACGCCGTTACTTTCCGTCCCCTTAAAACGCAAGCTGGTCCTTCTGGCCTCCTCAAGGTGGACTGTCTGACCTCCTTCCTGACTCTGCTCGCCTTCTCGACGTGCCCACTCTGAACACCGATGTAAAATCGCACACCACTGCACCGCCTTGCCCGCCTCACTTTCTGTGCCCTTGACCTTGCTCATTCTGTCTGTAGCACTTACCCCTTTCCTACCCCGCCTCTACCCCGTTAGAGTGTGGGCTCCACAAGGCAGGATGTCACCAGTTTCACTGCATCTGGGGCAGAATGTGTGCTCCCTAAATGCTCGTCAGTGAGTGAAGGGCTGTTAGCCACCGAGATCATCACACCTTTATCATAAGGATAAGCCTTCCAGATACCTCCACGCACATGCCTGCCTTTGATTAGCTGTCGCTTTGGATACACACGCACCAAGCCAGCCTGTGCAAGCTCAGCATCCCCACCCTCCCCTCCAGTGGTCTTCTCCTGGTCCACATCCAGGTTCTGGCACCACTGTCGCCTGAGCCAGAAAGCTGAGGTCCTGAGTCTTCCATATCCACCCAGGTCATCAAGGCTTAATGAGCTCTTAACGTCTTTCACACCTCCGCCTCCATCTCCGCAGCTGTCCCTTGCTCCTTGATCGCCCTGCATCCCTTACTTTTCATACTGCTGCCAAAGTCATTTTACTAATATGCGAATCTGATGCTCCTACCTCCATCCTTAAACTCCGTGCAATTCTTCAGTAAGCTCTTAACTGGATGTGATCCCACCTCCAGTATCTGGGCACCGCCTCCTGGAGACCCGCCCCGGGCTCCGGCCACACCAGGTGACTTAGAGTCTTGGCATGCACTGGGCTGCTGCACGCTCTCTGGGACCGAAGTTCATTCTGCCTGGATGGCTCGTCCCCTGGTTCCTCGGGCCAAGTCACTGTTGGCCTTCCAGGTGGGGCTTCCTCCCTGGCACTCTGGGGGTGCTCACTGGTCCCTCTAACCCTCTTACAGCACAGACACCACCCCACTGCCATTTCGAGTTTTACTCTCTGGCTCCCTAGCAGACTGCTCCTGTCTGGTGTCCCCTGCCATCGTCTTTGTCCCCCCAGGCCTTGCATGGCAGAAGATGGGATAGCAGGTAACACTGGGCTTGCTGCTTGAATGAAAGGGCAGGACGGGGTTTGTGTCTGTGAGCAACACTCATCAAAGTATTGTTGGGAAATCTCCAAGCCCCATTCTATCATTGACAAATATGGATTTCCCAGCTAGGGGCTCTGCTGGGGTGGAAATCAATTATTGGAAGAGAAGGGAGCCAGAGGCTATGGATTTTGTGGAGTTTGATTACCAAATACTTCACGTGAGGAAGGGAAAATTAACCATGAAATTGACAGGCCAGCTCCGCCAATTTACCTTTAGTCTGATGGGAGAGGACATCACCCAGTGGCTGATGCTAGCAGTTTGCAAGGCGGGGAAGGACAGCGGGCCCCATATGGGTGTCCACAGCTGCCCAGGGGTTAGGAAGCCTGACCCCAGCCCACTTCTCCTCACTGGGTGATGGGGCATGGGGTTGCACCCTAGTTTTCGATGAGCCTGATTTCAGCTGCACTCACCTTATGGTCCATCTCTCACAGCTGCCCCCAGGAGCGCATGGCCTCTCCACCGCAGGCTAGGACCTCTGCTGGCCCTGAGGCCCTGGCCCTCCGACAGTCTCCATTCTTTTTTTTTTTTTTTAAAGATTTTACTTTTTCCTTTTTCTCCCCAAAGCCCCCCAGTACATAGTTGTATATTCTTCGTTGTGGGTCCTTCTAGTTGTGGCATGTGGGATGCTGCCTCAGCGTGGTTTGATGAGCAGTGCCATGTCCGCGCCCAGGATTCGAACCAACGAAACACTGGGCCGCCTGCAGCGGAGTGCGTGAACTTAACCACTCGGCCACGGGGCCAGCCCCCAATTTTTTTTTTTTGAGGAAGATTAGCCCTGAGCTAACTGCTGCCAATCCCCCTCTTTTTGCTGAGGAAGACTGGCCCTGAGCTAACATCTGTGCCCATCTTCCTCTGCTTTGTATGTGGGACGCCTACCACAGCATGGCTTGCCAAGTGGTGCCAGGTTCGCACCCAGGATCCGAACCGGCGAACCCCGGGACACCAAAGCGGAACGTGCACACTCAACTGCTGCGCCACCGGGCCGGCCCCAGTCCCCATTCTTGACCTGGCTCTCTCCCTAATGCTAGCCAGGCCCTTACCTGGCCCCTCCATGCCTTCCCCCCAGGGTGGTTGGGACCATGACCAGTACAGCAGATAAAAGGGAGATGGGAATGAGTTTTGCGGAGCTAAACTCATGATAAAGAAATAGGATGGTCTCTTCTGAAAAGTTAAAACTAAGGTGGGTCCAAGGGGGGCTATAGTCCCTGAGCCAGATCAAACTGCAGTCACAAGAAAAAGGACGGGAAACAGCAAAGGCCACAGAAGCCCCTGGAAGGGTGCAGAGGAGTGACAAATGTAAGGGGCCTTAAGCTTGCAGAACCTTCTTTTTAAAGTTTTATTACAAACCCGTTAAGCACTGGCGTGTGACAGTGAAAATGCGTCAGCCAGGGAGCCTGACAGGTCTTTGCGGTCAAGTTTCGGTCACTCCCCTCTTCTGAGCCTCAGTCCCCGGGCTGTAACCTGGGGAAAGAAAAAGCACCTCCTGGGTTGCTGCGAGGCTAAGAAACCGAAGCACAAAGGTGCAACAGTGCCTGTCACGCAGTGGGTGCTCACTACTTAGGGTGTTGTCCCCAGCGGGGGAGTTATTCGTAATCAGTGGCCACGGCCCCTATAAATTACCTAATATAATTTGTCAAGAAAACCCCCGAGGGAATGAACAGCAGCTGAGCGTGAGCGGGCACGGTTCACACGACGCTCCTTTCCTGCAGGGGTTTGCGCCTCCACTGACCCGGGCCGTCGCGCTGATGGGGATGCCGGGTCGCTCACAACGCCGTCACCCACGGGCGGTGACGACCGGGGGCGGCCTGGGGATTCGCCGCGCCAGGACCCTCCTCCAGGCCGACCCTGCCCGCCCCCGTTAAGGGTGGGCTTGAGCCTCCGGATCCCTCCCCCCCCGGCCAGGGTCGGAGATGGGTGGGACGGGCCCTGGCGCTGGGGTGGAGAGAGGAGTCCGCGGGCCATAAAGGTCACGACCCCAGGGCGGCGTCTCCGGGCCGTCGTGTCTGGGGGGGGCCCTCCTCGCGTTGGAGGTACAGGGACGCAGCTGCAAGATGAGTACCCACGCGGAGCCGCGGCCAACAAGAGGTCCGCGGGCAGCCTCGGCCCCTTTAAGACGCCGGCGGGCCCCGCCCCGCGCCGACCACGCCCCCTCCAGGCCCCGCCCCGCGCCGTCCCCGCCCCCCCGCCGGGCGCCGCCCCACGTGACCGGTCTTGTGACTGGCGGGGGAGGCGCGGGGGGAAGCCCGCCGCCGCCGAGAGGGGCCGCCCCGCCGCCGCCGCCGCCGCCACCGCCACCGCCTCCGAGGAGGGCCACCCCGCCGCCGCCTCCGCCTCCGCGAGGGGCCACCCTGCCGCCGCCGCCCGGGCGACCCCGCGAGGCCGAGCCGGAGCCGGAGCCAGAGCCGGGCGGGACCGAGCGGGCGCCGGGCCGGGCGCGGGGGGCGCCGCCCGCCATGGACCACAAGCCCCTGCTGCAGGAGCGGCCGCCCGCCTACACCCTGGAGGCCGGCCAGGGCGACTTCGCGTGCGGCCCGCACGGCTACGGCGCCATCCCCACCGCGCCCCCGCCGCCGCCCTACCCCTACCTCGTCACAGGTGGGCGGGGGGCGCGGGCGGGGGCGGGGCGCCGGGAGCGAACTTGGGGCCGAGTCCCGGGGCGACCCTTAACCCCGAAACCAAGTTTTCTCCGGCTGCGGCTGGGGGCGCGCCGAGGGGCGGGGGCGGGGCCGGGGGAAGGGCGGGGGGAACCCGCCGTCGGGTCCCCGAGTCCCGGCGCCGCCCCGGGGCCCTCCGCCTGCCTGGGGGTCGCGCGTCCCGGGCCCGCCGTTCCCAGGCGGCATCACAGCCCGTTTTCAAATTAACTTGGTGAACGCGGTGCAGTCTGCAGATTAGCACCTGATAAAGCCCGTAGTAGGTGCTTAGTGGAGGCAGCTGTCGTCTTGATCTTAGAAAGGACGGGGGTTTTCTGTGGGGGGAGGCGGGAGGGCAGGAGTCGTCCTCACATTCCCCCCCCCCCCCCCCAGTTTTCCTGCCTGCCCCTTCTGATGTGCCTTCCTGCCCGCAGGGATACCCACCCACCACCCCAGGGTCTACAACATCCACAGTCGAAATGTCACCCGGTACCCTGCCAATTCCATTGTTGTCGTTGGAGGCTGCCCAGTCTGCAGGTATGTCACAGGCCTTGGGGGCTGGCCCCCCAAAAAGCCTCTAAGAGCGCTCATACCCAGAAGCTCCTAAGACAGGATGTGGGGGGAGCGGGTCGGGCTTCACATGGGCCGAGCTGCTGGTGTGAGGTGTGAGGGAGAGTGGGTTCAGTCGCCCTTGGGTCTGAGCACGTTTTGTAGGGCACGCGGGGTGGGTTACCTTTCCTGGGGACTTGAGTGCTTTTCGGGCCATTGAGTCCTGAGTGTGCGGGATGCAGAAATGGTAAACTGTTGGACTGACAGCCTGTAGTCCCTGGTTCTGGGATTTCCAGTTTGCTGTGTGGTTGATTCTTGAAGGTAAAAGGTTGAAGCGGCTGTTCGAGGTGCAGGGGCAGGAGAGCCCTGACCCACAGGGCCAGTGTGTTGGAGGAGCTGGGGCTCCAGGAGGCCAGGGGAGCAACCCTGTAAGGGCTGCTTCATGCCCAGCAGGGCCGTTAGCTGGATGAGGCTGGAAGGGCCATGGTTCTCCATGTGGGGCAGGAGCGATTTTTCAAATCCTCAAACCGGGGCCTCCAGAATCTTCTGACTGTTTTTATTGGACCCGAGATACAGTTAGCTAGACGCTTCTCTGTGTGGGTCCTGAGGATTCAAATTCGGGTTAGACTTGGTCCCTGCCCTTGCTGGATTCGAGTGCTCAGACCGTTTAGAAAGTCAGCCGACTTGGCTCAGACTGAGTTTTCAGTGTCTCGGAGGGGGAAGTTGCAGTCTCCGAGCTGGAATTGAGAAACTCTAGTTTACGCTTAGGCTTCCTTTCAGAAGTGTATTGGGAAGGGCCAGGGTGGACCAAAGGGAAGTTAAGAACTTCAGAGTCACGGGGGCAAAGGTGTGGGAGACGAGGGCTTGGGAAGAGGGAGGGCATCCTGGAGATGCGGGCAGGAGGCTGGACCCCCGGAGCCAACCCCGTGCCTAGTAAAGGGGGCTGTGGGCCGGGGAGAGCCCGTGGGCTGCGCGCTGGCCAGGGGACCCCATTTGCAAAGCCCAAAACGGGTGTCTCTTCTGACACAGCTGGTGAAACGTTGGCCTTTGGAGAATGTGAAGGGGGAGGGCAGGGAGGGCACACAACGGGCCTCTCCTGAAGGCCACTTTCCATGCGGCCCCTGGGGCGGCAGGGCTGTGAGGGGAAGGCAGGTGGGTGGGCTTAGAGGAGAGGGGGCATGGACTGGCAGGCTGGCCATATGCTGCTGGGTGGGGCAAGGCTCAGGGTTTGGTCCCAGTGGAGAGAGCCGCTGGGAATCCTTCTGGGAAGTTGTCCGAGGAGGTGGGTGGCGGGAAACCGGCTGTATTTTGCCTTGAGGCTGGTCCTGGGTGCTCAGAGCCCTGCTGGGTGCACGGGCCTCTGTCCCCACTCAGCCCAGCCGGAGGATTTCAAGGGCATGTTCTTTGTGGGGAGGAGTCTTTGAGTGAGCCCCCCAGTTTAAGGGGGGGGTGTCAGGATGTCCCAGCCGGTGTCCCACCTGCTGGAGGAGCTGGGTTCGGATCCTGTTTCGTTGTCTGGGAAGTGGTGGGGGCATCTGATGGGCTGGGCTGCGAGGCTCTTGGCCAGCGGAGGCCGAGGTAGCCCCGGGCTCTGGCGCTTCCGTGGGGAGCCTGTTCCTGATCTCTGTCTTTCCCTAGGGTGGGAGCTGTGTCATTTCGGAGGCCTGTGGCTTCTGCTAACCGGGGCCCCGCGGCCCCAGTCATACAGAATCTGGATCAAGGTCAGGCTGTGCTCTGCTTCTCTGGGGAGGGGCTTGGGGCTGTCTGGAGGCCGAGGGGGTCGGCACCCACATTTGGGAAGAGGCTTCTTCCCTCTTCCGTGGGGATCCCCATGCTTGCGGCCTCTGGGTGGTGGGTGGCAGGCAGTGAGGGGGGCGGCTCTGAGAACAAGTTTGGGGGACCGAGTTGGGACCAAACGTTCTGACTCCGCCTGCAGCATGCCCTCCTGTCTGTGGGTCGCGAAGGACGGGGGCCAGCGCTGAGGGCCCTCTGAGCACTTGGGTCCTTCACGCACGAGGGCCCCTGCCCCGCCCTGTGCTCGCAGGTGGTCCCTTGGCCCCGAGAGGCCTGTGACTGTCCTGGTGGCATGTGGGGCACGGCGCCCAGGCAGCAGGCTGGGGATGGCAGCGAGATGGGCAGCCGGAGGGAGGGTGAGGCCGGCGCTCCAGGGACGCTCTGCTGTGGTCTGGGGAGTGGTGCGTGGTCCCCGGGGTGGCTCCTCTCTGGGGAAAATGGAGAGGTTCCCCTGGGCACAGTCCAGTGTGGCCTCTGTCTGTCTGGCGTCGTAGGGTCAGGAGACAGGCCACTGCTCATGTGACCACACTTCCTCCCTTTGCATCCCTGCCAGGCTCCGTCCCCTTTCCTCCCTGGTAGCTTGGCAGGAATTTGCCGAAGTCACACGTCTGTGATTCCCTCTGAGGCCTGACCTGAGAGGCCTCTGTCACTTGTCACTTTGCCATCGTCTGAGCCTTCCCTTAAGCAGCCTGACTCCATCGTCCCTTTTTAGCTGGCTACAGGAGCCTTTCTTTCGACCCTGACAGATGAGCGAGCATGCTCCTCACTTCACCCCTGGCCTGCCTGCCGCCTCTGTGGACCAAGCACCACCTTGGCCACACGGGGCTCCCGCCAGGCCCCCCAGGCCTCTTGGATGCTGGTCTTCCCTGGGGGTGTGGGCTGTCTCTAGATGCAGGCTGGGGTGGCAGCACCTGTGGCCGGGGAGCCCGGGTGGGCGTGGCCGGGTGTGCCCTGGGCTGCAGTGGGTGGCCTGTGGACAAGGCGCCCTGGGCAGCACAGGTCCGAGGCTGGAAGGTGTGTGAAGCGGCAGGCACAGGGCCTGGCCCGGCCTGGGCTCCCCGCCAACGCTTGCTGGGTGTCACTGGATGTTTGGTTTCGGGGCTGACCAGAGAGGCAGGAGGAAGTCCAGGAACGAGCGGGTCTTGGAAAGCAAGAGAGGGGCTCAGGGGAGAACTGTCGAGGTCAGATGCTGCCCAGACATCAGGGTAATACGCTCCAGGATGTGCCGCTGGATGGTGTGTGTGCAAGCTGCTGGACCCTGGGAGAGCCCCGGGGGTAGAGACCGGCCACGAGGGCATGACCTAGGGCATGGGGTGACAAGGTGGAGTGTGTGGAGGGGTCATGAGAGTAGGGGCCTGTGACAGAGCCTTGGGCTTCTGGACGGCGGGCCGTGGGTGGGCACGGGAGGGGCTGCTCCCTGTCAGCGGGGCACCAGCTCCTCCTGCCCTCTGTGCCCTCGAAGCTGGGGTGCCACCCTTGCCCTGGGGAGGTGGATGTGCCTGGGCTGGCTGGAAAACAGGCTGCCAGGATGGGCCCTGCCCACATTCACAGGCTGCGGGCTCCCCAGCCTGAGGGGGAGCAGCAGACAGATGAGCCAGGACTCGGGCGCTGAGCCACGCTGGGCAGGGTGTGCCACCTGTGGGGGCCCAGAGCTGGCTGTCACCCGCTGGCCTCCAGGCAGCGCTTGTGGCCTCCTCAGCCTGGCTGTCGCAGGACTGAGCCTGGGTGGTCCACAGTGTGTCTTGGGCAGGCCCTGCCGCCTTGGAGCCTCCCGGAGTCTCTGACCTTGGGCTCAGCTCTGCTGCAGGCGTGGGGTGTGACAGAAGGCCTCTAGCACCTGCCCTGGCCAGGCCTCTCGTCTTCTGCTCGGGGAGGCTTGAGGCTGCTTGGTGATCAGGCTTGTTCAGAATTGTCCCTGGAGTGGTCAGTGGTCCTGTGGGCGTCCTGAGAACTGCCCCTGACGAGGTGGCTCGCCCCACCTCCATTGGAGGCCTGTTCGAAGTGGAGACCCTGGGACAACCGGAGGCGGGGCAGATGCACTGCATGAGGGGGTGAGGTATGACCCACTGGCTGAAGGGGGCTGGCTGGGTGCTTTGGGGCCCCCAGGAGGAAGTCCTCGGCTCCCTCTTCCTGAAGAGGCTCGTCCTTCCAGTGAGGGCTGGTCCGGGGGTTGCTCCCAGGGCTGGATCCTGCTTGAGGCCAGCCTCTGTTCAGCAGACATGAGTCATTGGGCATGAGCCAAGAGGACTGCTGGAGCATGTGGCACTCACTGGCCCTTGTGGGGAGGGGGTTGCTCAGAGGGTGGTTCCTCCCTTCTGGGTGAAGTCTGGATTATTCCTCGCCACGCCACTCATTTCCTGAACAAGGCTCTCCAGTTTCCGGGAAGGGGGGCAGTGATGGTACGTGCGTGGGGGTTGCTGTGAGGAATACAGGAGGTGGCGAGGGTGAGGTTCTCACTGGTCGGGTACCCAGCCTTGGGATGCTCTCGGGGCCTGTGGGCTGCAGGGCCTTTCCCATCTTCTCATCCTGGAGCCCCACCCAGGCCGGTCCCTGGGCAGTCAGATGCCAGTGGAATCGACTGGCCGCTTTCTCCGTAAGGTTGGCATCAGGAGGTAAATAAGCATTTTCAGAATCAGTTCCCTACCTTCTCCAGCTTCCGTATCCTTCGCTGACCCCCATCCCCCTACCTGTCGCTCAGGAATCGGGGAGGGCCCTTCCAGCGACAGCCGGAGCCCCTTAGTAGTTTGGGTTCTGAGCCGGTTGATAAAGAGTGGAACTCATCCTGAACTGACTGGGTTCTTCCGGGGCTTTGGAGAGGGGGCGGGGAGTGTGAGGCCTGTGGGAGAGGCCGGCGGGAGGCAGGGACCCGCACAGGGATGGGCTGCTCTGTTCCCGAGTCATGATTGGCCTAGAGACCAAGTTGAATCTCTCAATTGAGAAGATTTTGGATTTAAAAAAATTGTAAATTATGCCAATACTGCTTTTGAGGTCTGGGGCAGTAATCCTAGTCAAAACGTTAATATTTTTACAGTAAGACACAAATAAATACATTAAGTGGATAAGTTAAGACTACAAGTGGCCACACATCAGGTCACATGTGGCTACCAGGTGAGTTTGCCACAAACTTATAAAAAAGTTCTGCTTTCAGAGCCTTTTGGCATTTGGAATTGTGGGTATGAGCTGTAGGTTCTTGGGGTGGCAGGGGTGGCGCCTGAGGACTGACTGACCCCCTGCTCGGAGGCTCCCGCTGAGTGGGCAGGTGCTGTTTTCCTGTCCCTTGTCCCCGGAAGCAGTGTGCTGGGCCGGGTGGTCGCTCTCAGTGGAAGCTGGTCTGGGTCTGGATCACAGACTTGCCGGCAGGGACGAGATTCTGCGCAGCCCCCTCAGGCCCTCTCTCTCCCTGGAGACACGGTGGCCTGGTGGCCCGGCCCGGCCATCTTTTTAAGAGCCAGCTGGGGGCTCTGCTCTGCGTGGGCAGGGCTGGGGAGGGGGCGCAGGGGTCTGGCAGGTATCAGACCCGTACTCCTGACTCGGGGGGCCCAGCTGCCAACTCTGCTCTGGCTGCAGTAAGGGCCGGACCTGGGCAGCAAGCACTGCAGGTGTGGGGAGGGAGGAGGGTGCTCCTCGTGCCTGGGACGCGAGGTGGACCGGGTCAGCCCGGGCTGCCCTTTGCTCTGCCTGCCTTTTAAGTTCCCAGAGTAGCTCTGGAGGCTGAGATGCTGGGCCTCCTGGGGCTGGTCTGGCCACTGCTGGGACTCTCAGTGCTCAGGTGGGGCCAGTCTCCCGGCCTCATGGCCGTGGGGGCCCGGATGAGAGAGTAACCAGCTTTCCTCCACTTGCACCAGCTTTAGACAGTGTCGACCAGCATTGGGGTCTAGTTGGAGAATTAGGGAAGAGGCAGGTGGGGACTGCCGCCCTTTGACGTTGGACCCCAGAGGACAGCAGCAACCCACAGCCGGGACAGTTCATGTGGACAGGTACACTGTGCGGCCCAGGGAAGGCCTCCGTCTCCAGGCATCTCCACTGCAGGGAGACTGCTCCGCTCCACGGCTTCTCCAGCGGGGGGGGGTGCTGGGTGCTCGCACACTCCCTCCAGGGCACTGAGGGCGGCAGGATAGGACCTGCCCCGGCCCCAGCCTCCTCTCGGGCCTCTCTGAAGTCTTTGAGCAGACGCACTGGGTTCTAGGCTCTGTCTCCTAACAGCTTTGATCCTGAAGTGGAATAACGTGGAGTGTCCAGCCCCGGCAGGTGCTCAGCCGGGTGGTCACTGTCCGCGAGCCTCCTTGGCCCCTGCAGGGGATGTGGGCCAGGTACCCTGGTAACCCCTTTAGAGGTTGGGCTTCTCTAGAAGGTTCTCAGCTAGGGCAGGTGAGTCAGCTGTGGGGTGTGGGGTTCCCTTGTGCCCTCTGCCTTTTCCTCGGACATTCTAACCAAACATGCAAACCGATGAGGTTTTCAGGGTTTTGGCTGTAGGTAGAACAGTGGTGTAGACCCAGGAGGAAGCCGGAGTAGAGCCTGGGCGGGGCCATAGCTCCCGGAGTGGTCCAAGGTCACCTCCAGCTGCTGCGGAAGTGGCCTGATTGGCATCAGTAGTTGTAGCTGTTGGCCATGACCATGGACGAGCAGGGCTGTTTCCAGCCTGTCACGCCCACCTGTGTGTGGGGACACAGCCGGTGGCTCGGGGCCTTCCTGAAGCCCCCACCTCTTACTTCGGCAGGGTGGCCTCAGGTGCTTTTTCAGCTGGGTCTCATGCCGTGCGCCCTGACACGTGGTCTGAGGGCCCTGAAGCTGGGGCAGGTGTGACCTGGCTCTCACGGGCAGGCTGAGGACCAGCATGACCTGACAGCCTTTGTGGGACTTAGAGCGGGGCTCCTGTTACAGGACTTTTGTAGAAGTCTATACAAGAAACGGTGACGCTGCTGACAGCAGTTGAGGCCTCCCGATTAGCTCTCCCCTCCTTTGGGTGTCGCCTGTGCCCACTCCCGCTGGTCAGCACGCATGCACAACGGGCAGTGCCAGTGAGTCTGGGAAACACTGGTGAAACAAAGTTCTGCAAGTGTCTTTACTGCAGGACTTGTCACTGCCTTTCCTACACTCATGCATTGTGACTCCAGGAGAGTGAAAGAGGCAGTTTTCCAAAATTGGCCAAAGACTCCCCCCTTTTCTTTTCTGCAGGGTTATCAGGGGGACTGGTGTTTCAGGATGAGCCCCTTGGAAACTGCTGCTAGAACGTACTGTCCTTTAGGTGTATTTAGAGTGGGAGGAGGGGGGTGGGCATTGGGTTTGACTTTTTCTGAAGGGAGTTGAGAACCAGACTTCCTCTTAGCCTGGTCTGTTTTCACCATCCCCGCGAAGCAGGAAGCAGGGAGCAGGTCCCGCTTTGATTCCTGGAGCTTGGCCTGGCGCCCGCTCTGCAGGGCTGGGGTGTGTGTGCTGGAGCCGGATCCTGCTCAGGTCAGTGCGTGGGCGCCGGCCTGGGGGTCAGGATGCCGTGAGCAGTAGTGTCCCCACACAGGCCGTGACTTCCTGAGAAGGGGCGGCAGCAGCAGTTTTGGCATCTTGAGTTGAGGACACCCTCTGTTTTGGCGCTTCGGCTCGACACTTGTTTGCTCTCTCGTTTATTAAGCTGCACCTTCCTCTCCACACAAGGTGGCAGAACGAGGAGCAGCTGCTTCCAGAACACTGTGGGCATAAAGGCTCCCTAGCAGTATTTGAAGACGATGGGGCTGAGGCGTGGACAGTGACAGTGGCTTCAGGAAGACCGAGGGAGGTGGGATGAATGGGGGCAGGTGTGGGAATGGGGTGGGGGGTGACGTGGTCCCTCCTTCAGCATTGTGAAGGCACGTTCACGGAGCGCTTCCCGTTTCCAGCAGCAGGCCAGACCCGTCCCATGCCTCCACCAAGCCCTTCACGTGTCACCTCCTGGAGGCCCTCCCTGAACCCCTCTGCCATTTCTCCCTTCGCCGTCCTCAGCCGGGCGTGATTTGGCGCTTTTGTTCTGGCGGAGTGCCTCGCCCACCACAGGCCCTCAGCTCACAGCGTGGTGGTCGAGGGCTGGAGTGGCCCCGGGCACCCCGGCCACCTGGGAGGACCTAGTTCCCACTGGCTTTCCTGGCTCCTGGGGCTGTCTGGTGGGTGTGAAGCATTTCTCATTAGGGCTAAGCTGGCTATTGGAGTTCTCTTTAATTTCAGTTCTGTGTCCAGAATTTCTAGAAGTAGCCTAAGGAGCAGTGGCAGAGCTGAGCACATGGCTCCTGCCTACCACCTTTGGGGCCTTTTAAAAACGACCCTTGAATCTGAGTGGTGACTAGGCCATTGGCCTATGATTTGGGTGCTGGCCCCTCGATGTCTTAGGTATTATGTATTACGCACATGGAAGGTCAACTTGACTGTTTTGTGAAGAGGAAGCTTTGAGATGAAATTTCTCAAGATACATGGCCTTCCAGACATTTGTACGAACATGGCTGACTTTAGTCCTTCACTGAAATCTGTCCTGTGTCCCCCTCCCCGCAAACAATACAAATCAAACTTCCAAACTATCACTTCTTTGGAATTTCTCTCTAGGGAATGGAAAAATAAATCTAAAACTTTTCAACATTGGGGAAAAAATACTCTAAAATGATGTGGTTTCCTTGGTATTTTCAGAGATACAAGAATTTTTACAGAAGTTAGCATTTGCTGCTTCTTCCTTTTGTAAGAGGAAACACGTGGCAGGTTATAAGGCAACTGAACGTTCTTGCCTTTATGAGTGAGTGATGGTACCTTCAGGTGACTTCATCTTCCCCTCATCACGCGTTCCATGTGGTGACTAGCAGTAGTTGCTTGCCCTCGGTAAGTGGGCACGTGCAGACAGTTCTGGTGGCTCTCAAGGCCGATGCGTTTATTGCTGGAGAGGTGAAGCCTGCCGTGGGGGGGGGGTCCTGTGTCATCGTCAGCTGTCGTCTGTCCCCGTGTGTGAGGGTCGGGCCTTCCCAGGTGGGGAGGGGCCTCTGGGTCAGGGCTCCGCCGAAGGCCCTAACCCCAGCGCCCCCCCTCTCTCTTCACAGAGTCGGGGTTCTGGAGGACTCCTTCACCTTCCTGGGCATCTTCCTGGCCATCGTCTTGTTCCCCTTCGGGTTCATCTGCTGTTTTGCCTTGAGGAAGCGAAGATGCCCCAACTGTGGAGCCAACTTTACTTAAAGGGAACACCACACCTGGCTTTCCTACATCCAGCTATCTTTTTCTAATGTAAATGTCGTGTACAATAGCTTTATTTGATTAAGCTTCAGGACTGTTTTGTAAAGTGAGGTGGGACAGATTTGGCATGTGCTAGCCAAGGTTTCCCGGGCACAGGGGTCATGGAGTGTGGACACGCAGCAGCACTGCTCCAAGGGTTAATGACAACTCAATAAAGCACTGCTTTTATTTTTTGCAGTCTTCAATTTGAGAAAGGTGAGAAATACTGTTTTAAATAAATGAGATTCATACCATTGTTTACCTGGTTCTGCTTATTCAGTGTCTGCACACTGCCACTGACGATAGAAAGTTTTGTCATGAAATAGAGAGCAGAGTAACAGACGCATCGCGCAGCTTCAGCGTTACCCAGTATTCATGGCCAATCTCCACCTTCTGTTAGTCCTCGATAGGCATTTACAGCTCAAGAAAATGTGCTTGTTTTCAAGTTCTCTTTTATTATTATAATGAAACATAATACCTTGACATTTACAGAACATGCACCTCAGTGCCAAGGACCTGAGGCAAGCCCTCCCAGCCTGTGTGAGGCAGGTAAGTGACCACTGTAGTCCCTTCTGTGAAGGTGTGGACTGGGGTTGGGTGAGCCAGGTGGGCCTGCAAATTGCATCTAATAATCCCAGGACCTCTTGGGTCCCTGTAACAGCCACAAGATCCCAGAGTGGAACTCTAGAGGCCAGGGCCAGGGCGTGACACCCCACCCTCTCATTAACACACTTCCAAAATCTACCCCTCATTCCCTCCCCACTGTTGAAAATAGTGGGCTTCCGTGAACCCTGCTCTTCCTTAGATGGTGAGCGGAGCATGGGCCACTTAACTAAATGTGATTGTTTTCTCTGCTGGCTGGAGCGTCTTGAGACAGGCGGGCTGCTTGACACTGTAGTTAGCCTGATCCAGCCCTGGGGGAGCCCTCCCAAGGTCCTGCATCAGCAGCCCTCGGTGGGGTTGCCTGGTTTGCTGAGCCATCCGGGAGGAGGACAGGACCAAGAACCTGAAGTGTCACACACTTAGACCAGCTTACCTGCATTTGACCTTGACCAGTTTCCAGCTTATAGAAAAATGCTGTTTATGGTGAGATCAAAGGACCTGTGACAAGCAGCAAGCCCCGCTTCCCTGCCTGCATGCAGGGCATGGCCTGGGTGTGAGTTTTAATCGATTCTCCACTCCTCCAGAGCAGAGCCTCGTCCCTGACAGCCAGTGACGAACTTGGCCACTGGCTCAGAGCTCCTCCCACAGAAGCGCAGGTTCCCAGTGCCTGCTGGCAGGTGTCAGCTGAACCCAGCCCTTCCCTCACCCAGACTCAGGCTCACAGGTCCTCCTGGCTTTGTAAGCGCTATTTGCAGGTCAGTACCTGCAAATTTCAAAAGTGGAGAAACTTGGACCCCAAGAGGTTTCGGAGTAAATGACTGATGGAGGCAGCTTTGGTCAGCTAGCTTAGGGAGAGGGCCCAGGTTTCCACACGTGTGGAGTCCTCAGATGCACTCAAATGTATTATTACCCTATGAGCCAGGCCCACATGCAGCGTGGCCTGGTGTGTTTTCCTGGGTTGATCCAGTTGGTAACTCAGAACCACCAAATTCCGTAGCTCTTGGAAATTCTTCAGGTACTAAATATGGCTGTGAAAGGGATGGGCAAAATGTCTTAGCACTCTAGAGCTATTTCTAAGCTGTGGGAAAGTTGGAGATTTCTCCATCTACATTTGTATTAAGTTGATAGCTCTACATTTGATTAAACAAAAATTAAAAAATTTTAAATTAAAAAATAAAATTTTATACAATATTCTCATAATTTATATTGCTTAAAATTATGATTTGCATGCTAAGATGCAAATTTATACAGTATTTTCTAGATAAACGTAATGCTACTTAAGAGCACATGCTTTATAAAACAAAAGTGTGGTCTCATCTGCATTCAGGTACAGAAAGCCAGTCATGAAAGCACAGACCATCCCTTATTCTGGCTATTAAAAAAGTAATCATGGAGTATTTAAAAAATGATACGGTAACAATTTGGAACCAAATTTACTGTGTTTTGAAAGAATAAGGAGACAGTACTTTAAGTGATTGAGTTGGTCACTAAACTATTACTCATTTATCCTCTTAAAGACAGAAATGTGTAAACCCAACTATGGTAAATTGAGAAAATGCATTGATTTGCTCAAGTAGAATACATTTAAAATCAGGCACCCTCTCGTGAAGCTTTACGACAGTTAACAGCACATCTCACACATATACACCTATCATTTGCAGTGAGAGCATAGCATTAGCGGAACCAGAGGATTCCTTGGCCATCTTTTCATCGAATGATTGGTGCTGATCGATCGTTTGTCACTGTTGGCCGGAGTTTCACAGTAGCAAAGGGGTTTTCTCCACTGCGGGGGAGAGAGAAAAATGTCTGCAGAAATGCTACAAGATGGGAATTTGGTTTTAAAGGAGCTAATAACTCTTGTTCTTGCTCTCTAAATTATATAGCTTATATAAATTCCAGACAGCATTTTCTGAATATTAAAGTTTCACTCTGTGGCAGTTCTCTCCGTGCTGCCCATTACAGAACTATCCAAACTTTCAAACATTTTTGACATAGGAGAACCCACCCCTCTGTTGTCCTCTATGGGGCGGGGGACGGGGCTTATGTGGGAGAGCCAGCTATGGCACGGTCTGGATTAATCTGCCAGATGTGGCATGTGACCAGGAGACGCGCCTTCTGGATCTAGGCAGATGCCGGGCGGGCCCTTGGGGCCCTGCTCCCTGGCACTGTGATGAGACCACATGGCTGCATTCTCCTCTGACCCTTTCTCAGGGTCGGGCCTCCTGGGCTGCAACCAAGGCAGGCCTTCCAGGGGACGCTGCAGGCCCCTGCGCAGCAGGGAAGGCAGCTTCCAGCTCAGCAGGGCTTTAGGGAGAAAGTTGGACGTACCTGAGGAATGGAGGCTTCGCAGTCCCATTTGCAGCATTCTGTGAGGAAGAGAAAGATGAAGTTTAGGGAAGGCTCACGAAGTGGGGGCATTTTTAATAGACCTGAAGGTAAAGCATAAGGGACTCTTTAAAGGTACTTGTTAAAAGAGTGCCCTGTCGTCTCATTCCCTTGAGACCATCGAGGTCTCTAAGTTCACTGGGAAGAGGGAGGGCAAGAACAGGAGACATGCTGGAAGCAGGGAGGCAGCCTCCCAAGTGTAGGGCCATCTCAGACTTGGAGGGAAGACGCGGGGCTCGCTGCTCCTCACGCACGACCTTTCAGGTGCGACGTGCAGGTGGCTTTCTGGGAGCCCAGTCCTGAACAATGCCACAAAAAAAGTCAGTGAAAATAAAACCTGGCTGGGTTCTGGTGCCCACAGATGGTGCCAACTGCTAGCCCGAGATCTTGTAGGAAGTTCCCTAAAGTGAGGCAAAGAGCAGATGGAACGGTGCAAACACACTGTCCTTCAGGAGCCGCCAGAGCCTGGCAGCCTTCATGGAGCCCTGCGCCTCCGCTTCCCAGGACTCGGGACTCCCAGTGTGGCCAGGGACCAGGTGCGTGTGCGCCTTCTTTCCTTCATTCCAAGAAGCCTGCGGGCTTTAAGAATCTGCTTTAGATGTGCTCTGGCTGTTCTAAGAAGTCACTGGCCTGAGCTCTGGAGCGAATTCTCAGATGCCTGCCCAGGAGAGGGCAGTGTAACGCCATCTGACCAACTGGCTGCCAGAGCGAACCTCACTGTCCTGGAGGGTCCAGGACTCCCTATAGTCTCAGGGCGCTCAGACCTCTGGACACTGACTAGACGAGCACCTCTCACTTGCCGCTGCCAGCCCCAGGGGTTGAAGGCCATCCCTGGAGGCGAAGGCCCAGGCCAGGGCTCCTTTGGGACAGCCTCTACTGTGTGTTGGCCGTACAGACTCAAGGCAGAAGGCAGGCTGCAGGCTGGGGGCGCCGAGGCCGACTTCAGACCCGCCCTTGCGCTCTCCAGGCCTCTGAGGATGTCACACCTTGACCTTGAACTCTGGGGCCAGCAGGCCAGCAAGATGATCCTAATGGGGAGCCCCAGCACCAGGAGGCAGTCTCTAGTCAGCCCGATGCCCAAATTCAGTGTCTGCTTTTCATTACGTAAGCACAAAGGAGCTGCCCTGCTTGCTACATCCTAATAGAGCTTTAAATGGTTGCAAAATGCTTTCTTCCAATAGGGCATGCTGAGCTTCCTCAGCGGACCTCAGAGTAAGTCATTTCTGGTGTAACATTCGTCATACGTGATGATTAAGGGCTAATTTATGATTTATATTAAACACACACCAGGATGCCTGTCATGCAATCCCACACGCACTTTGAGTGCTGGTGTTAACGTCCCACCTAGAGCAGAAGGCCCAGTGAGCACCCCGAGGGCGGGGGAGGCCTGGGAGTCCGCGTCCGGTGCTGCTTCGGCCCCAGAGGTACACCCAGCCCTCCTCCTCTTCCACACTCACTGGAAACCCCCTTCTTTCTGCCTTTCCTTGGGGCTAACATTCCACATCGCCCATGTGTATCCTCAAGTTTGAGGACAGCTCTCTGTGCGTCCCAAACTGGAAACCAAAAACGCAACAGCAGCTGGGAGTACCCCCAACTGTCTTCAAGGCAAAAAGCCTCGGAGCTCGTTCCCAGAGGGCCTCCTGGGCCCTGACTGATCCAAATGAACTTCAGAAGGGGGTTGGCCACGTTTTAACACGCTGTGTTACCTGGGTGCTTAGCCCACAACGTTTGAGAGATAAAAACAGTAGAAGAGATGTATCACAGTCCATCCTGGAAGTAAAGTGGCAAGAAGTAACCTGCGCTGTGAGGGAGGAGGGCAAAACTGACTCTTAAGAAGACAGCCTGAAGCCATTTAGTGGCAGGGCAAAGCCAGGTCCTGTGCGCACCTCGGCAAGCCCACGGGCCCCAAGACACCTGCAGGATGCTCAGAGCAGCCCTGTCCTAACAGCCCAAACTGCGAACACCCAAATGGACAGCGGCCTTCTGTCAGACAGCAGAGCGTCACACAGCAACAGAACACACAGGAGGACACGCTGCACGGGTCTGTCTGTGGGAGGGCCAGACCAGACCAGTGCGGGAAGTTGGCGCAGTCTAGACTGAGAAGGGACAGTGAGGAGAGGGACTGCTGAGGGGCTGGTAATGTCCTAGCTCCTGGTCTGGTGCTGGTTATACATAGTCACTTTGTACAAAGTCATCGTGTACTTTTCGATACATGGTATTCTTCAATGTTTACTTACAGGACATTTTCAGAAAGCTTTCCCCTTTCTGAAA